ACCGATGGACTTAATCCAGCCTATGGAGTTTTCCTGTTCCGCCTGTGGAGTCGTAGGCTTCCTCTGTGACTTGAGCTTCCTCCCTGGCTTGGAGGCCGACAAGAAGTGGGGAAAGGAATTCTCCTGCTCTGGGATGCACATGAATGGATTGTGTGCCTGGCTAGAACAGTGTATCATTCTAGAACTAAACAGAGTTGTAGTGTAGTTTTTAACACATTTTGGGCATGACCTTCATTTGATGCTTATTTCCTTTTCATCTGCTATAGGAACTAGTAGCATTTGGAACATTTTCTTACTTTATGGCTGAAATCTCAATAACAAAACCTTTTGTCCCCTCTATGATACTGGAGTGAGTTTCTCCTCTTTTTCTTTTCCTTTTCCCTTTTTGCTTCTTATCTTTTCTAAGTGTTTTTGTTCCTTTCTGCTCCCACAATATGCCTTTGCATCTTGCTGTGGGAACAAATCCTGAGTGTGGCAGACATGGGCACACTGAAGGGGCCCTGTATACTGCTTTGGCTTCCATCTGAGAGAAGCCACCTCTAACTCCTTCTCAACATGCAACATAGCATGGAAACCATTCCAGGACAAAATTCACTGGTATTAGCAATACCCGCCTGTCTAGTACAAACAATTTCAGCATTCCCCTTGTCTTTTTGGAGCCACTCATCAATACTGACAATATCAAACAGATGAAGACCAAAAAGAAATGACACACTGATTCCTGGGACCCAGGGACCCAAAACAAGGAGAAAAGGACAGCTCATAGGATAGGATCTAGCACTGAAGCAGAGATTATTCAGCTTTGATCCAGCGAGCCTCCAGTAGATTGATGTGTCAAATACCCATACAGCTACAAACAAAGATTGTCATTCCTTGGATGAAATCCTCTGTCTGGCTCAGTATTAGAAGGCGGGTCCCAGGAAACCTTTTTGCTGGAACTGTATTTTCCTTCCTTCAGCATACATCTCTTTGAAGCAATTGGTCACCTCAGTGCTGGCACGCTCTGCCAGTTTCTTCAGCATCCTCTGTATGTTTCTTCACTACTGCAGCAATATACTGCAGGAAAGCCATATCTTTACTGACCATGTTGTTATTCCTCACACTATTTTGATTAACTTAAATCAACTTTTAACTGTGAAATATAATACCCTCTCACATGCTATTTAAACTGTCTGCGGATCAGTTACCCGAACCTAGTACTAAACCAGATTTTATGAGTCTGACATTTCTTCCTTGCCCTCTTCTTCTGGCCAAATCTTTCAGGACATCATTCTGAAAAACTTCCAGAAGTACTACAATCTCCATCAGCATCACTGTCCTTTGTGAATCAAACATTGAGTAATGACTCCTAAGTCCAAGACAACTCTACTATTCAGACTTGACTTGAACTTCCTTTATTAAAATATCAATCTCCAGTCTGGACACTGCAGTAGATTATCAGAATTCCCTCTTCCTGTTATCAGACCTTATAATATCAGACCTTATGCAGAGAAAATTATGAGTAACCAGATCTTTTGCGCTAGAGATAAGGGTCCCTTGATTCCCATGGTAGACCTGTTCTCCAAGAGAGTGCAGCCAGACTCAGCACCACCCTTGACCATCTGGTTGCTTTCTGCCTTGCTTCATGTGATTAAACAATCACAGGGAAAGCCTCCACACTGCCTCCTGCGTCTAGGAAAAGAATGGTTCTTTTCTGTTTAAATATACCACTTTGAACTCATGCTTAGAAGCACCCCAATTAGAGATAAAACAAAAACCTCACTCTGCCACTGTGGATTCAGTAGGTCCTAGAATATTCTCCGCAGCTTCATTCTCTCTCAGAGTGGCTAAGGATCAGGCATGTACATCACCCTTTCAACAATTCTTGTGGGTCAGACTGCAACTTTCTTTGATTGCCTCCCAAAAGATGTTAAGAATGTGGTAATGATGTTCCAAACACAGCCTGCCACATGCCTGACTTCAGTTCCAAATCCATAGCAGCTGCAATGTCTCTTAGATGCTAACTTACACCATGCCTTCATTGGGAAGCCAGACTGAGAGTAAACCACCTCTTGGTCACTGGTGAGGTTCTGTTCAGCACATCCGCAGCAATATCTTGGCTGCATTCACAAAATGAAAACATGCTGACAAAATGGAAGCAGGTTCCCAGTTTAGGAGCCTGAGAGGAAGAAAAAGTCAGACAACTAGATCAGATAGAGATCAAAAGTCTAAAGTAGACTTCCCCAAACTGATGCGCACCAAATATTTTAAATTAAACATTCCTTCATCCCTGTCCATTGGTCATACTGGCTGGGGCTGATATAAGTTGTATTCCAAAAGATCTGGAAGGTACAATGGTAGGAAATGGTAATGTAACATCTGTATTTCCTGATTATTTAAAAGTCCTGACTGCTGCTCTGGTTCTAAACAATAATTAGTGTTTATCATGCACATGGTAGGCATTATCAAAAATGGAGCGGGCTGGAGTTGGGAGTCAGACTAGATGACCGGGAGACCCCTTTGACTCACTGTGTTTCTTTGTTTCTTCATAGTTGTGATAACTGTACTGACAAAACTGCTCAGTTCAGACATAGCTCCAAACTGTATTACACTTCTGTGAAGATGGCTTGGTGTGATATTGAAACTGAGCTAATCTTATTTCAGAAAAGGATCGTACTGAGAGCAAGGGAGTCTTGAGCTGATTAGATGGACAGGTGGCTGTGGGAGATAATGATCCCTTAGTTGCTTGGTCACAGTGACGTAAATTAGTTAATGTTCCTGAAGCAAATCCAGTAGTAGGATTTACAAGGCTTGGAAATGATTCACACCTATGTGATCATGATTTTGCCCAAATGCATCTTTGAGATTTTAATGATCTAAATTTTGTCTGTACCATATAACAGATTTGATGTGGAGTACCTACATGGATGCAAGTTTGTTAGGGCCTGTGTTTAGAACAATAAATCTACTACTACTGCTATTACTACTACTACAGCATAGATACAAAAGTTTACCTAAGGCTGGAGTTCACACTCAACATGAGGAGGGTGATAAGAATGGTGAAGAGGCAGAGCTGATGTTCATTCTCACTCCCCTAATGTGTTCAATAAGCCATGAAATGTAGTACCTGGGTCTGCTCCATTTTTGTGTTTGGGCTGGTCCATGCAACCACTTCCATACGGGATCCTTGCCCCAGTTGCTTGGTCATTGGATGTTCCAGCATGGGCTTTGCAGAGTTTGGTTTCATTTCCCATTTTATTTAACATCTGCATGAGAAAGTTGACTATGGTCATAAGGAGTTTTGGAATGTGCTGTTATTGGTCTAGCAGTTGCACACAGCTCTGCTTCTCTTTTTCATTAGATGAGGCTGTGGATGTGCCTGCCTGTGATAATGGACTAGATAAGAACTGATGAACTAAAACTCAATTCAGATAAGACCAAGAAGATTTTAAAGGTGGTTCTTCTGGCTGGATGCTTTAGTCTGTTCATGTTGGAGTTGCATTCTCTGAAGGAGGAGTTTGTAACTCCTGGAACCATTGGGTGACTTCAGTTGCATGGAGTGTCTTCTGGTAACTTTGGTTGGTGGTCTGGCTACACTCCTATCTGGAAAGAGATACCTGTTTTTAGTTTGCTTTGGTAAATCTCAAGTTAGGTTACTGCAGTGCATTGGATTGTCTTGGTTAGAAGCTGCATCTCATACAAAATGAAATGGCCAGGGGCAAGAAGCTCTGAATGTATTGCACCGATGTTTCCTGCTAGCACTGGCTTGCCAGTATTGTTCTGAGCCTAATTCAAAATACTGGTTTTGACCTATAAAGCCTTCCATAGCTCAGGATCACAGATGGAGTACCTTTCCCAGTGTGAACCTACCTGTGCACCTCATTCATAATTTAAGGACCTTTTCTGAGAACCTCTTTTGAAGGAAGCCTGGAAGGCAGCAAAGAGGCAGAGGGCCTTACCAGTAGTGCCGCCACCCCCCCCCCACTCCCAAATTATGGAATGAGCTCCCTGATGAGGCCCTTGGCACCAGCATTGTTATTTTCTCAGAGCCAGGCTCAGGTCTTCCTCTTCTTTCAGGCATTTGGCAGCATATGATGATGGAACTGGTCCTTGATTTTTCTTGCTGTGGGTCATTTAAAACTGTGTTAAAGGTCCATGTATCTCTCTGTGTTATGTTTGTTTTTATACTTGTGTGTATTTTTATAACAAGTTTTAAATATTTTAATGTTTGTAAATGCTCCAGAGATCTTTTGCTATTGGGAGATACAGAAGTGTAATAAGTTAAATGAAATGAATGTGAACTCTGGAGTTGCCTGGCAACTGTCTGGTATCTTAGCTCTTAACTTGAAACTTAATGAACGTAACATTAGAGGACATCAGAAGCGACAGGCTGAGCAATCTGTGGCTTAAATCTGAACAAATTGGCACTGTGGTTAGCTGTTTCCTTGGTTTTGTATTCCCTGCCAGGCAATTCTTGGTTGTTGAGCTGGGTGCAAGTTGGGAAATGTCAGGTTCTACATGCCTTGTTTAGCACCATTGACATTTTTGTCCATTTGAAAACTTTTCCTGGAAAGCTGGCAGGCAGCTATGAGCTGAAAACACCTGGATTTAATCCTAGAATCCCTTGTTGTTCTCTGGAGAAACTCCATTGTATCTAGAAAGACACAGCTTGTATTAAGATCTCATTTCTCCTGTGAATGAACTTCACATCTGCCAGCTTTAGAAAAGAACAGATGTTCTACAAACCAGATGGTCTACAATCATGCATGCTTTTCGGAAAGAGACCTTCTGCTGCAGGAATGCCTTCCTTCTCCTCATTCAAATGCTAGGTTCCCAAGCAACACAGGCTTGATTTGGGCAGACCTGGGCAATGTTCATTTGTGGATATTCGTTCCAATGCAGGGCAAAACGCTTCATTTTGACACACTCTGAAGTCAAAAGTAGCTTTAAGATTGTCTTGTTTAGCTGTGACTTCTGAAGGGCTGAAAAACCTGTATAACATTGTTGCTTCTTGATTTTAGGTATTTGCAGTGGCTGCCCCGCAGGAAAAAGAAAATGATGAGTGATGCAAGTGAGATGCTGGCTGCAGCTTTGGAACAGATGGATGGCATCATTGCAGGTAGAACATTAACCGAAATTATATTAATCTGTTCAATTGTCTTTTTGTTTATTTAGGGTGGTGCATTCTGGGCTAGGGAAGGCACCAGGTATTATGCATATTTCTCTTGAGAGGGACAGAAGAATCAGAAAGAAAGGGCTTTCTACAAATTCATGCAAACAAGGCCGTCAGCATGCTCGAAGCTCTCTTCTTAATCTCTCCTCCTGCTTCTTAAGCTGCCAACTAATGTGGCCCTATTTTTGCAATCTGTTTGAGGCGGGGGCATTTTTCAAATATAGAAGTGTGATTGAGAGTGCGTGACACATGTATGCACTGGAAAGATTATTGAGAGGTAGGGGCAGAGGTGAGCAATCTGGATGAAAGCAGGAGATGAGGTAGTAAAATGATTCCTGGACAGCATCTCTGACTGTGCAGGTGAGTGATTGTCTGTCTGTTGAACTGTTCTCCATGGGGGTAGGGATGGGGGACTAGATAAAGAAATTTATACACATAATAAACTAGCATATGAAGAATAAAGAGGCTAGTCTTGGCTTGAACCCATGTATTAAATGTCCATTTTCTGTGGACAGGGAATTAAACACAATATTATGAGTAGCATTCTATTGTCAACTGTTCCACTACCCTCCTTGGCAGCCCAAACCTGATATAATCCAGGAATGTCTTGACCCACCTCCTCAGTATTTTGTGAGAACTGAGCCTTGACTGCTCTGTTTTCTACTCAATCCCAAAAGGAGATACTGAAGGAATGCAGTTCCGGCCAAACACACTAACATTTTGGTTTGATCACATGCCAAGCCAAGCTGTGCAAGCAGCTGTTTAAACTAGAAAAGTATTTTGAGTGGGTGCAGAAAAAGTGAAGGTGCCAATTTTTCAAATTTAGTTACTTTATTCCCTCTTGTAACATGCTTTCATAAATGGACATCAGTATCTTCTTTCTTTCTCTCCACTCTCCCACAGCCTCACTATGTTTATAAAGATGTATGTCATAAATGTGTCCAACAAATGTGATATGTAATTTCTTTCTTCATTTGCATTGCTCTAAAGGAAGTTGGGGCAGACTGATCTTGATCAAGCAACTAAATACATAATGTATAATGTCCAAATTCTCAATCGCAGTATGGAATCTTTTTGAAAAAATCAGCTATTACATTTAACTTTCAGAATACATTAATTTTGTAATTCAGGAACCTTTATGAAAACAACCACCACCCAAGGCTTAACTTCCATAAATTTGTCACATCTTATCAGCTGTGATAATAGAATGGATGTTTCATGTCCGGAGAGAAAAAACAGATAAATAACAGATTTGAGACAAACAGGCAGGCCTCTTGGCTTCATGCACTGCCTGTGAACTTTCCAGAGTCAACTGGACCAGACCTAACCCTAACTATGCCTCATCCAGCAGGGAAGTTCTTGTGTGTGCTATATCCAGATGCTCTTAAATCATTAATCTAAAGATACACAATGCAGCTTTGTAAACAAGTTCACAAAAATTACTGACCTGCAGATGATGATAGTAGTAGTAGTAGTAGTAGTAGTAGTAGTAATACCATCTACTCATGGCTGCCAGAGTAGGGATTAGAGAGCTCTGTCCCTCCTCTAGCAGTTCACCACTTTTTTTAATGAAGAAGGTTTTGTTCTCTTGTAGTCCACTTGGTTTCTGTGCAGGGCATGGAGGAGGAAGAGAAGACCCTGTCCATCCTCCTCCTACCTGCTCCCCTGCCTTAATGTGGTGGCTGCCTGGCAAATATTTAAATACAAGGCTGCTGGAAGGATTGGAGAACAAGATGGGCAATGATAGAACCTTTAGGGTTGAAGACTGTCTTTTTACGGTGTGGTGGAAATGATCTGAATGTACATTGGCTGTATTTGAAGGCAAATGTGTGTTCACACTGTTCCACCATGGTTATAGCACAGTCCTTTGCTTGCTTAAACAGAAGTCTTATTGACTTCACTAAGATGTACTCCCAAGTAAGTTTATACAATTGTAGCTGTAAAATGTTACATTTCTTTCTGATTTTTAAGTTCGATATCTATTTTTTTGGAAGGTGGGTTCAGTCTTTTACCTTTCTCTTTCTAATTGTTTTGATCTGACAGTAGGTTTCTCAGATTAGGCAAATTTATTTATTTCCATCAGAATTCCTTTTAGGTGTCTTTAATCTTTGGGCCAGAACAGAATATTTATGAATATTACATAACATACAAGTATATCAAGATGGATGCTACATTCACCCCTCAAAGAAGTTCTTGTAGCATCTTAAAAAAAACATTTGTTGTGACATTTTTTTCTAGGACTACTGTCTATTTCATTAGACAACATTCAGTTGGCAGATACACAAAGATGTATATAAAAACAATTGTAAACAGCAGGGAAAAGAGCTGCAGTCTCTGATGGTATGACAAAATAATTTAAAAATGAGCACAATAATAAGTGATAGCATAAGTTGGGTTATCTTTCCTGTGCTAAACTCTGGGTCCTCATTTAGAGAAGTATGCTTTGCACCAACCTTACTATAACTGTGACACAAGGCTAATAAGAGCCATTTGTTCATGTGGTCTCACTTTGCTGCTGACTAATAAGTGTTATTAGAGTTTTATTATTATCCTGTGTTGAATCCCTACTTTCTTGGGGATAACAAATTGAATATAAATGGAAATAATACGTGTGTGCATGTGTGTGTTTATGTTTATGCTTCTGGAAGCTACATTTCCTTAATTCGTAGGAATTTAGACTTTGGCTATGTACACAGCTAAACAAGCAAATATTTGCTGTATAATCATGTATTAATCATAAAGTATGCTTGGTTGGAAGTAAGTGCCACAGAGTTTTGCAGGGTTTATTCCCTTTAAGATAAGATTTTTAGTTTATACTTTAGTCATATATATCAGTGATCATGGGGATCTTATTTTGTGTAAGAAAGCTTAATCATGTTAAATTTTTACTTAGCCATGGGAGCTATAGCACTATATAGCCAGGATAAGCCAATAATATTGAATGTGTAGAAGTCCTTTGAGTTAAATAGACAGCATTCCAGCTAAGTTTGTTCATTTTCACCTTGAGATCTGGTAAGAGAGCATTATATGGTACCTCATGAGAAAATAAATAAAATATGAAGAATAAACATGCATGATCAGAACAAAAGGTGATGTGCTTCTTCAGAAGGAACTCAGATGGGCATGAAACAATTTTCAGTTAGTCACAGGAATTAAACTCCTAGTTATATTTCATATGTGGTGGTATATTCATGCATATTGTGGAGCCAATGACGTGAAGTGTTGAAGCTGGATGAGAAGATCTAAGTTCAGGCTTTAACTTAGCTGTTTAGCTCATTTAGTCATACCTTTCAGTGTAAAATTACAATCCAATTGAGAAGTAAGCATCACTGAATTCAGTGTCACATATTCCCAGGTATGTGTGTATAGGATTGCAGCCTGTTTACCTAACAAGGATGCTTTGAGGATAAGACACAAGTGCCCTGTGTTCTGCTTGGAGGAGAAAGAAGTTTCCCATGATAAACTGAAATGCTGCATGTGCTTGTGTGTGTTGTGCTACACATTTAATAGCTTGCAACATGGAGTCCTGTGACAGTTTAGAAGTGGCCTTGACACAGAGATGCCTTCATGTGCACTTGCCTAGACTTGCTCCTCTTGCTTCCCAGGCATTTGAGCTTTCATTCCAGCTTGGCTCGTAACAAATGTTCAGCCTTACCTCTGCAGCATAAATCAGAGATTTCTTTGTCTTTGGTTTTCCCTCCTATTTCCTCTCTGTGGATGAATATTTAAAGGATTCTCTTACTAGCTGTGCGTCCAAACAATATTTTGTCATGACAAGAAGATTCTTTTTGGAGATCAGAATCCTGGCCCTGTGTGACTGTAGCATTTAAACAGTGGATACTGCAGTATTAGTAGTTAGCTCAATTATTATTACACTGGAAAGGCTGCCTTGTAAACAACATGACCAGGGGCCTGCATCTAATTTATACACTTAGTGTTAGCAGCAGTTTACATAAAATTTGCAGAATGACTTAAGGTTCAGGCAGAGCAGTCTTAAAATATATGGCTATACATTCAACCAGATGGTATAATTCATTTCTGAATATAGAAAGCACATGTACATAATCTGGTTGATTGGATTTAGTGTGCAGTGATTTAAAATAGCAAACTTGTTCAAGACAGTAATTATGCATGGGATACCATCAATATGATATAAAGAATATGCTGTTAGATTATTCACCTGAAAAGACCTGGGTTCAAACTTTGAGAAAGTTACCATATATTCAGTGAGTTTTTAAACAAATAATACTCTCTTCCTTAACCTGCCTCACTCAAAATGTAGAAATGGAAAGCAGGTTTGCATGCTCATGTAGTAATTACGCCATAAACAGCATAAGATGCATTTGATTTAATGCCCCCAAAAGCCGAGCAAATTCAGAAGAAAGATGCATGTATTTGGCTAGATTCCTAATTTTTGGATTTGTAGCAGCTCTTAACATTTTAAATGCTGTTTTCCCCTGTCTTGCACAGATACGTTTCATAAATGTAGATAATGTGGTACTTGACTGATAAACATGTTGTGCTCCCTAGGTTCTAAGGCTTTAGAATATTCTAATGGCATATTTGACTGCCAGTCCCCAACTTCTCCATTCATGGGGAGCCTGCGAGCACTGAACCTTGTGGAAGATTTGCGTGGCTTATTGGAGATGATGGAAGTGGATGAAAAAGAAGGATTGCGGTGCCAAGTCCCAGATTCGACAGCAGAAGTTTTGATTGAATGGCTACAGAGCCAAATGGTATGGTGGTATTTTGCTACTTTGGTCTAAAAGGAAAGGCTGATGTACCCTTTTGTTGGACTCATCAATATCACGTAATATTGCGAATGTAAATCCAAGCCGCACATTATTACAGGGCAGTTTCAGTCAACAACTTTATGCTCTTTTGTCAAAGTAACAAGTTTTCTTTGCAGCATTGCTTTTATAATGATAAAAGATGTGTTTTCTCTAATTCAGGGTGCATTTAAGTTTCTTAAGAGGATTCTTTCAAAAACATTCTTCACCTTACTGCTTCTTTGAATATGCTAAATATTGGTTCTGGGTAAAACTTTACAAGACTTACATTTTTGTTGCACTATTGGTTCAGTTGACCTGGGTTTTAATGTGCCTTACAGTTATTACTCTTATTTTTTAAAATGTGATATCCATCTTAGGATATCAGCCCATGTTGAACAAGGCCAGAAAGGCAGGGTAATGCTAATGCTGTTCCAAAGATTGTGCAATTAAATTCATTTATGGTGAGTGAATTGTCATTCAAGATAGTGAGGAGCTCCTGCCAAAAGATGTCTTCCCCGCACCTCATTAAAAATGCCGGTTTAGTAAGGCACAGTGTGATCCTTTCCTTCTCTCATGGCGAGCACTGGCTGTTTTCTCCTTTAAATCTGCAGTTGGCCCTTGGCATTTTTACCTCCCTTTGTACTGAAATTGAAATTGTTGTTCTTTTTTAATAAGGGATGAAATATTTAATGAAACTGTATAGTAATATAATGTATTAAGAAGCCACATGCAACATATCTGTTGCCCTTGTGGTCCAGCACTGGGAACAGAGTGAACTGGCAAAGATGTGATAGGACATTTTTGCAAAACACAACCTTCCATAGGTTTAATTGTTTTTAAACTGGCTGAGGGTGCCATCTAGTGGCAAAAAATGTTTATGTGAAACTTTGAGTGAATTCTCATTTCCGTGTAGCTTGCAGGATACAAACTTGGGCTCTGATCTTAAAAGCATTTTTACTACATGAAAAATATTTGTGTTCTGTTTGGAATGTTCCTCATTAGTGTGTCTGACTAAAGTCTTTACTATCTAATTCTGATACAGAATTTTGGTTTATGGGATAGATGGTTTCTAAGAACTCTGGCTGTAAGTCTACTTAACTATATTGGAGGACATTTTCAAGATGGTGGAACAGTTGATCATTTGACCCCACCACACACACTCACCTATAGACTGAAATGGCATAACTCAGGCCCATGTTTACTACTTCAGTAAAAATTAGGCCATAAAACTTCTAAATCAGTACAGAGTTGGCTAAAGCATTGTACTTGCTGCAACTCTTCCAACTGTTCAAGTCATTGGGGATTCTTCTTGTCTAGAATCTGGTAATGCTGGCATAGTTTGTCCACTTTCTGGACCACATCCAGTGTCAAGTTGGCATGCACCAGTTACTGCAGTAGGATTTTCTCCCTCTTCTTTGGAGCTTTCTGTAATGCCCAGAAATGTGTTCAGGCCTCCAGAGCAGATCTTGAAGGCAGATAAGGTGCAGCAGCTGGAAGGAGGAATCATTCCCTTCCAATGCCATTTACAGAGCTGCGCCAGTAAAGACAAACTTAAGTAGGTCAGAGATGCTTAATATTCCTACCAATTTATGGATAATATTTCCATATACAGAGTAAGGTTCTGGTGTGCTTTGATAGTCATACCTGAACTGGATTAAGTTTGAAAGCAAAATGTTAACTTGAGTGTTCTTTACCACAGAAATCCCACCTGAAGTTCTCGTCCATTCCTTGTTTGTTGTGCCTTATGCTTGAAGCAGCTTCCTAATAATTCTCTGTAGTGCTGCCTCCTTTCTTGAAATGCCAAGTCAAACCTACCTGTCCATGACATCTTTGGCTCAACCCTTTAGTCTTCACAGCCAGATGAAACAAAGTCAAAATAATGAGCAGCTGCGTCTGTGCCTGTCCTTCCGCTGTTACTCTGGCTCCCATGTTCTGTCCCTTCCCTCATTGACATACGTAGATTATAAAACCCCCTGAAGAAGGGACTTGCCTGTCTTTTGCTGCTGCTGATGTCACTACTCTGCAAAAAATGATGACATCATAGACATTTTGAAATAAGATCTACCCCAAGAAAAAGGGGTTAATTTGTTCCATATTCTTCATGAAAGTAAGAGAATTAAACAGACAATTTGCTGATAAACTCTACTTTATGGGTTTAGCAGATTTGGTAATCTTTTGGCAGCTGTAGGGTCATTTCAGCTTGGATTTAACTTTGCATTTAATCCAATTTAGCATGGATTTAAGTGTGTTAAGTAGCAATAAAGTACCTATACGGAACATTGCAAATTCTCAACAAGAGATCTGTAGCACTGAAGCGCAAAACAAAATCACTGCGAAGTATGACGATAATCATTCTAACAATATTCCTTTCTGCCATACTGCTGTGCAGCCTTTGTGCATTTGTATCAATTAGGTTTGCTTCAAGAGTAGCTTATTTTTGTTTCAGTGTTCAACCATGATTCTTCATCTTGCAACCATTTTTGGAAGTGCTGAATGTGGGGGAAGATAATTTGGATCACGAAAGACCAATGTTTTGCTTGTTTTCTAAGTCACCCTCAGTCTTCTGGTGCCCAATTATGTTTTTAGTGCTTCAAGTGTACCCAGTCCTGTCTTTCACGTTGCTCTGTCTCTGAAACTAAGAAATTATCTTACACATGCTTAGATGTTCCTTGTATATATGAGTGTGTATTTCATGATAAATAAAATTTGGTTCATTGCAGTCCCTTTTAAGCAAAGAAATTTTATTACTCAACCACACATGGGTATGCTTCTTAGAGTTAAAAGTTATGGTCTAAATCTTAAGAACCCTAGGCAGTTTTGCTGTGGGGTTTCCAGCTCTTCCTTCCTTCAGGAGATTTCTCAGTGGTCCCAAAAGCTGATTGTAAGGTTTTGGAAAATCTCCTGGAGTGGTGGTCAGAGAATTGCAAGGGCTACAGCAGGAGTGAGCAACTGTAGAAGGTATGGGGGCCACTTTTACAAACTAATCCCTCTGAAAAATAGAATAAAAATAAAATCAACATAATTTGTGGTGGGCTTCCAAGATTCCATGGTAAAGCACAACAGAATGAGTCCTGTGAGGTTTGATGTAGTTTTTGGTAATCAGTAGGGATCCATTTGACCCAAGGTTGTATATAAGAAGACCTTTACAGCTTATGTGTGATAATATCTTAATTAATCTTCCATACATTTACCCTGCTGACCACTCATTGTTTTAGTTGTCTTCTCCCTAACCTTAGCACTTTCTTATGGTGGCTTCTGAGCTTCTAGCCTAGCCATCTCCCAGTAGCAGCTTTCTGTTGGGCTCAAGAATTGTCTGTATAGAAATTTTCATGTATTATTAAACTAGTTCTGCATTGAGAAGCCAATCCTGGAAGCCTTTTTAAAGCTACGTGGGCTTAAAATAGGCATGGTTGCAACTTCTCAAATGAGTTTAACCCCTCTCACCATAGCCTCTCCTGTTGAAGAGGTTATGTCCTCTTCACATACCCCCAAAGTATGCATTAGAATCCACAAAGTATGCAAGTAACTGTTGCTCTTTAAGGTAGCCTGATAAACAGCAAGCACCTAATCTGGATTTTGGTAACGCCCTTCTATGCTAGCAGACAAATGCAAGGAATGTTGTGCAGCTTCTGTGTCCTAGTTTACTTACAAGAATGAATGGTATTTCAAATAAGTTTAGTGGTTAGTCATTTAGCAGTCTACTAAATCAGGAAAAATAAGTACAACAGCAATGGTACTGGCAATAATGTCTTCCAAAGATATCTTGTTATTAACTTGCTTCAAATTGAGGGAAAAAAGGGTAAAAATGGTGCCATAGAGCCTAGAAATTTTGTTTTTTATATATTGATGAATATGAATGCTTTGATAGTATAAGCAAGTCATGGGCAAACTTCAAGTTGGGGTATCTATGTTGACTTTTACCAAAACCCTACAATTTACTATGCAAAGCCAGCTGTAAACCTCTGATTCAGATGTACATAGAGTAAGAATTAATGAACAGGGATTTTTGATTGATAGCAGAATTTAGCTTACAAAAAGCATTCTTTTTCAGCAACTAATTCTTGGCTGAGTGGTGAGAAACTTTTTATTTCCAGTTGCTATTTTATTTCCTTATTTCATTAATATTTTATATCACTCTGTTTGCTAAAAACTCATCAAGAGAATGCACAACTAGTTTTAAAATAAAAGAGTAAGATCATTTAAAGCAATAAAGCCTGTTCATAAGCAACTATTAGTCAGCCATGTTGTTCTACTAGAAACTGTCCACTGTTAACCAGAGAAGTTTCAGAGTAGATAATGTTGCTGTAGCAAATGCATTTCACACGGGCTCAGGATTTGGCCAGTACTGATACATTCACCATGGGTCCAGTAACTGGGTCAACAATTTGATCTTGGACCAGTGACAGGCAGGTCGTTCTTGTTTTGATTCCAAATGAGCTCATTAAGACAAAGGTAGAAGGTGAGAATTTGCAGCAGGGGGAAGATGGCTGTTTTCCTCAAAGTGGTCTTTCAAAGCTTATAATGTTGCTGCATAGAAAAAAATATCTAGCATTTACAAGAAAGCAGGATGCCTTCTGGATCAGTCCAAATTGTCCAGTATCCTGCTGTTGTCTGGAACTAGCCTTTTCTAGACCCTTAGAAAAGCATAAAAATGTAATACCAGATTTTGGTTTTGCTTGTTTTTTAAAACCCATCATCCAGGCTTAGCTTCCAGTAGGTCAAGGGCAGGGACACCATCCTTGTTTGTGGGAGATGCACCTTCTACTTGATAGTTTCTCTTTAAATGCTTGAGTTGCCAACAGGTTCGCCTGCATTTGCCTATGGATAGCTCCATTCATATGTGAGGATGAAATAATGTGTATATTTGAGCCTTGGAGTTGCATCCTCAAACACCTGTGGCATTAATTTGGTGTTTTATTTAGTTCTAAACATTGAGTTGTACTGATAGAACTGTGTTAGGGCAGGCCAGTGTATTCTTTATTTTATTTTCCAGACCAATGGCCATATATCTGCTAATGGAGATGTATATCAGGAGCGGCTTGCACGTTTGGAAAACGACAAGGAATCTCTTGTTCTGCAAGTAAGTTTTCCCCCCAGTTAGTTCATTCTTTGCTTCTCTATGCATAATAAAGCTTTGGATGTTGATCTGGACTTACATAGCTGTCTTGGCATGTGAGCCTACTCAACTCTCATGTCGCTGTCCCTGTCTTCTAAAATTGTCTCTGATGTGCTGTGATCATTGATTGAAGATAAGGGAAAATTTTGTAAAAAAGGAGGTGAAAGGGAGTTTTCTTTGAGACATGTCTCAGAGGAGAAGAGCAAACAGTGATTCAGATTTCAATTTTTCAGTATGGCAGTGCTTTCTATTTCCATCTTCATGTAATGGTTGCAAAATAAATCCTGGCTGGAGGCTTGTCTCCAGTCACAAACCCACTTTTTAACATACTCAGTCACATAGATCTGTCGTACTAAAAGGCCGCTTGCTTGTTGATCAGTGGTATGGATTACAGTGGCTGTCTTTTTGCCTATGTTGTGCGTTTAATCCATAAAGTTTTGCTTCAGCTGTGGAAAAAGCAAATTCTATGCTAGGAATTATTAAGAAAGGATGGAAAATAAAATTTCCAGTATTGTAACTTCCTAATAAACCACTGCATTTGAAGCTTCATGTCCAGTTCTATTAGATCAATGTCAAAAAGTCTGTTGTAGTGCTGAAAAAGATACAGAGAGGGGCAACCATAACTATCAAGTATCTTCAGTAGAGGGCAAGATCAAAACATGTGAGGGCAAGATTAAAAGCATGTGGGAACAGACAACTAAGGGAGGAGGACGTGATAGGGATTTAAATAGTTATGCATGGTTGGAAAAGATTGATTGTTCTATCGCTCTTGCTTTTGCTCTCTCTGTCTCTGTCATATCAATAATCCATGTCTTCCAGTGGAATTGATTAACATTACATTAAGGCCAGATGAGAAAGGAAGCACTTTTTCATGCCATTCAAAATTAATTTTTGAAGCTCTTGCTGCCACCTGATGCCCTCTGAATTATGTGCCTTTAAAAGGGAATTGAAACAAATTCATCATTGTATTGGCCTGGATTGAGAAGCAGCATGCCATCAAATAACTATGGATAAAGATGGTTGCCTTCATGGTTTCCCATGTTTTAGCCACCATGGAAAAGAGGATGCTATTCTAGATAGACTTTTCCTCTGACCCAAAGGGGTTCTTTTTAGACGCATATTATAGAACAAGCTAACAGATCTATAGGAAAAATTTGTTCACAAGAGGATAGTCTTAAAAAAGTGCAAGACATTTTGACAAAGAACATCTGTGAATATTTCTGGTGTCATAATGGTGCCTCATCAGTCCTGATTGCAATACAACCCTGATATTTTTGGCAGTGATTGAAATAATTGTAAATGTTAGTAAACTCTAATTAATCTAACCATCACACAATAATGATAGACGAAACTTGCTACTTAAAGATGAGGGACTTAGAGAGATCTGTGTATTCTTCTTTTTCAGGTTAGTGTACTTACTGACCAGGTGGATGCTCAAGGGGAAAAGATCAGAGATTTGGAGAACTGCTTAGAAGAACACAGGGAGAAATTGAATGCCACAGAAGAAATGCTACAACAGGTATAGCCAAAAAAATTTGATCTCTTTCTCTCTGTGTGTATCACACGTGTGTGCGCACGTACGCACATGCGCACACACAATGAAATTTATGTTATGCTTCTCCCCCCCACATATTCACAATCAGCAGCCTTTTTTTTAGATATTTTGCTTTTGTTAATATTTCTATTTAGAATGAAATTTTAGAGCCTTCTAAGTGATAAAAAGGTAACTAAAACGTGGGACTTTAGATTGTACACCAATTGAATGTAAAAATTGTATTGATGGTTGCAGTATAAATATAATTCAAAATGTCATGTTGCAGAGTCTTGCAGAAGTAGTTATCCCAACTGGACTTCTCCATATTTTCTTGTATTACAGCATGGAATTCAAATGGATTCATTAATTTGTTTATTTATTACATTTATTTATATTTTCACTGGCTGTCAGTGTGATGTGAGATTGAATTGGCTTTGTTACCACTTTGTGTACAAAGATTCTGAACATTGAGGGTGCAATATATTTTTATTGTGGCACAAAAGCTAAGTAAACAAAAACAAACTGGAACTTGCTGCTTGTATAACTGTTCTCCCCTTTGCTTGTGACATGTTTAGATCTGATTCAACCCAATGCTTCCCTAAGTCACATACCCTAAATAATTGAATGAAGTCTGTTATGTGCAAGTCCAGTGCTACATGATCTCAGATGAAATGCAACTGTTTCTGGAAGGCCTCAGAGTTGCTTGGAGAGCATATTTAAGCAAACAATATCATAAAAACTAAGGAGCTTTAAATACAACTCTGGGGTAGACTTATGCTGAAGCACCAATCAAGGCTGGCTTGTAAAAGAAAACAACCCAAACGATGAACACCCTCTGGACCCACTGTTTAATCCGTTGTTACAGAATGGAAAGAATATGGCTTTGGCTGCCTCATTGCCTAGAGAAGGCCATCCACTGAAACTCAGTGATCAGATAAGAAAGGCATTAGTCACAAATGTAATCAGCGATAACTGTGAAGGTGCTGGAGAGCTTTGCAGCTGAAATGGACAAAACCATCCCTAGAACAACTATCAGCTGGGTACTCCACAATGCAAGGCTTTACAGAAGAGTGGCAAGGATAAAGTTGTTGCTGAAGCAAGCTCATATTAATGTCTATTTGGAGTTTTCAGAATGGCGTGTAGGAGACACTGCAAATGTGGAAAAAAAATTGATGAGACCACAATTGAACTTTTTGACTTTTCTGCAAAACATAGTGTATGGCATAAAACCAATGGTGCTCATTGCCCTTAGAACACCATAACCACAGTGAAGCAAAAGAAGCATCATGGTCTGGGGATGCTTTTCCTTGGTGGAGACTGGGAAACTTAGCAGGATTAAGGGGAGGATGGGCAATTCGAGAGAGAACTTTTTTTAGTTTCTGTGAGACTTGGAACTGGGGTGGAAGTTCATCTTCTAGCAGGACAGGAACCCTAAACAAACAGCAAAAGTGGTTTAAAAACAAGAACCTGAATGGCTTAGAATGGTCCAGTGAAATCCCAGACTGCAGTCCAGTTGAGAATCTGTGCCAAGACTTGTAAGTTGCTTTTCATCAACAATCCCAATCCAACTTGACAGAGCTGGAGCCATTTGGCAAGGAAGAATGGGAAAACACTGCTGTATCCAGATGCACAAAGTGAATAGGAACTTACCAAAGAAGACTTAGAGTTGTAATTGCTGCCAAAGATAGCTCTATGAAGTATTGACTCGGGGATAAATACTTACACAACAAACAAGTGCCAGTTTGTTTTTGTTATGTAACTTTTACGCCACAATAAAAATATCTTGCATGTTCACAGTGCTGAATATCTTGTGTACATGAAGTGGTAACCATGCCAACCTATTTCAGTTCCAGTTTGCAGCACACTGAAGTGTGGAAACATCAAACTGAGTGAACCCTTCTGCAATGTGCTGTAATGATGTTCTGTTAATAGGGCACTAGATGCAAAGGAGTTTACTTTAATCGCTGCTAACAAATATGACTTTTGACTGGTGTAGCTCTTTTTTAATGAAGGGTGTGGTGAGGCGTGAATCTGAGATATTAAAAGAGAACTGCAGTTTCTCATTCCTTAAGAGTACAATTCTTAAGTGCCTCCCAGGTTGCAGCTAGGCCTTGAAGAAGGCAAAAAAGGGCATAGTGGGGACAGGGAAGAGGCTGGGGTTGAGTCTTTCTTTGTTCCACCCTGAACCTAGCCTCCTGCATCCCCCCTCCCTGGTGAATTATCTAGATGGCTGAGTACATGGTGTGAAGCACAACGGTTGCAGAGACCACTGCTGCGGCACCTTGTTTCATGGATTGGTGAAAAATGTATATGATCTCAAATTAGGAGCTTCTCAAATTAGGAAGCATACATGCAGAGAGGGCACAGGGCAATGGATTGCACCCTTAATCATTCTTTCCTAATTTTTACCAGGAGCTCTTAAGTAGAACATCCCTTGAGACTCAAAAGTTGGACCTTATGACAGAAGTTTCCAACTTGAAGCTCAAGTTGACTGCAGTGGAGAAGGATAGATTAGACTATGAAGACAGGTTCAGAGACACTGAGGTAAGTTAAAGTGGATTAGCCATGTCTGAAACTAACTTGTATTTCTTATCATATACAGTTGTAGTTGTTGTTTTACTGTGATCATAGCAGAGGTGGGAGAGTAGCATTTTCCTATATGAAATTGCTTTGCTGGTGGTGGTATGTGCTGTCAAGTTGTCTCTGACTTATGGCAGTTCTGTGGATGAATGCCCCCTGAATGTCCTTTTCTTGACAACCCTGCTCAGCTCTTGTAAATTCAAGACTGTTGGCTTCCTTCATGGAAGTAATCCATCTTCCTCTTCTCTTCCTTCTCCTTGTCCTCTGTCTTGGACTTTGCATGTCTTGGACTTTGCATGGTTGTTTTCTCCAGGGATTCTTCTCATAATGTGCATGTTCAGATATCAAAGAAGTTCTACAAAGCCCAGCATTTCCCAGCCAACATGCTGGCTGCTCATTCAGGCTTTGCCTATGCCATAACAGAGCAGAGTTGTGCAACTTGTGCCCTACTAAAGCAATTGTAACCCACCAGCTATATAATGGAACTTGCAAGATGTTTGTCAAATGGCCTGTTTTGTAGGCATGAGGGAAAGTCAAGGCATTTGTGGTCTGTGTTCTGTTTGATTGGCTATAAGTTGTTAAGACCCAGGACGGTGCCTTGGGTAGCATAAATATTTCTTTTCAGCTTCTTACTTCTTTTTAATTTCCACATGTTCATACTGATGGCTTAAGTGAAATGCATGTATTGACATACTGTTGGAAAATAAGGGCTTAGAATAGTTGCTAATAATTAGAATCTGTATATAGTCATCAAAGTTGGCTTGCCTGAATATTTGTCTCATTAAAGGTTTTATTTAAGTGCTTGTAAGAACAGTGAAAAGTTAAAATTGCTTTGGTTTATATCCTTTTTAAACAGGGTTTGATGCAGGAAATTAATGCATTACGCCTAAAAGTAGGAGAAATGGATACTGAGAGACTTCAGTATGAGAAAAAGCTTAAGTCTACAAAAGTAAGTAGCTGACAGTAAAAGAGAAAAGAGCTGTGCATGACATTGACAATGATTTTTTGCCATTTAGTATTTAAATTCTGCCTCATTCAAGATAGCTAATTTTTAATATAGAATAGGCTGCTATTCTATTTGATAATGCATTTAATTATAGATAGGAAGGACAAATCTGTTTGGTTTGTTTTCCCTTGTTCTATCATTTTTCTTGAGTTTGCGTTGTTCTATTTTTGAAACAGTTTGTGGGAAAATGAAAGTTTACTTGAAAATGTGTATGCTATTTCTTGCATGTTTTCCCCGTATACATACTTTTTACATGATTTTTTACAACACATGCAGGTTTTTTTCCTGATACAGTGAATTTCATACAGTGTTACTAGAGGATAACTGCATTATAAAATTCAAAGAAAAACTACACAATATGTTTCAATTCACATGCTGGTTTAGGACATGAAAACTTGGTAAATCCATATTCAGTGCAAATCAGGTGAATTGCTCCCCTTCCCTGAGTCTAGGGTTTGTTCACAAATTTGGGAGGCTGCAATCTGTTCCCTCAGTGCAGGTTGATTCATGTGTAGGTGTGATTTGTATGAATGGGGATGGCCAGATAGGCCGTGGTATACATGGTAAGCCCAAGGTGAGTGACGTTAAACATTTGAGATATTGGAGGGCCAAGATATACACAATCCCATGGAGATGCGGTTTTATCCAATGCACTTATAGTAAAATTATTGTCAAGAGCCAGCTTATCTTGCTTCAGCAGAAAAAAGATGGTACTTATACTAGCTTCATTTTAAGAACTTTGAGTTTTTGTTGTTACATCATGTGGTTGCTGATTCTGTCTAGTAATTTATGTAATGGGGAGACCATGCTGGAGAGGTGCAATTTGGTTACTTCCTGTGCCAGTACCCTAGCTTCCACTGGCATCCAGTTAATGCAAGAACTGGCTCTGAAATGCTAAGTATGCTTACTTCAAAGCAAATTTCATGATATCCACTGGTTTCACAGAAATATCTTTCACTGTCAGCCCTCCATTTGAAAGTTAGTCACTTTTAGCTTGTCTTTTTCTATCTTTACTTCTGTTTCATTCCTCTGTCTCTATTACCAGTCTTTAATGGCCAAACTTTCTAGCATGAAAATCAAAGTGGGCCAGATGCAGTATGAAAAGCAGCGGATGGAACAAAAATGCCAAATGTTAAAGGTGTGGTAGATTGATGGGGCCTGGTTTTTGAATCATTTTTATTTTTGCACAGCTTTTGTTGAGCCTGTTTTTCATCTTGTTTGTTTGTCTGTATTTTCAAGTATTCCTTTTGATACAGAGCATGTAAGCGTTTTCCCCTACTCCTATAATCTAACTTTAGGTGTTTTCTAAACATTTGATTTTTTGAATAACATCTTTGGTTTTGACTGAAGACTCTCTTGGGCATTGCCCAGGTTGACTTTTTAAAAGATTTGTTTCGCTTATATTAATCTGTTGGATCAAACGTTAATTGATACTGGCCATATCCACATTAAAGTCCTAGTTTGTTTGGTTTTACAGTTTCTTCTGCTAGGAAACCCTTGAAACTAGTCCTGTGAAGGGACGCTAGGGATCATGAAGAGAGCTTTCACCACTTGCCAAACTACAGTTTTCAGAATGCTTTGGTGAATCAGTGGAGTTACAATAGGTATAAACTAATATTAAACAGAAATGTAGATAAAGCTAAGATGATACAGATCCATGCTTATGGACCCAAATGAAAGTTTATAAAGTATTCTGTCCAGTGTTTCATACCTTTCCTCTTAAGAAGTTCCAGAAATGATAGCAGAAGTCCTTGTGATGGTTGTTTCTGCTACTTGAAGTAATTGTGCATAGGCATATGGCCTCAGACCCTGCAAATAGCTGTATCCCCTGCCACAAGTTCAATGAATGGTACAGATGTTGTAGGCATGTAAGCCCAAACAATGTATTGCAAAGGAATGCAAAGAGAGTGCAAGCATCTCAGGACCAAGTCCAGAGAAACTGACTCTGCCTTTAGAGAGGCCAACTCTCCCAAAGAACAGAACAGAAAAGTACCCCTTAATTAATTTACATAGCTGTTTGTCTCTTTAATATTAAGACTGAGCAGTTAAATATGACCTATCCATGAGTACCATGCAAAAATGGTTTAAACCTCACTAACTGACAACTTGAAGCTGACTGGCACCTGTCTTAGAGATCAAAAAAGGAGCTATGCAGTGCACATCTCACATGGACAGGCTTCTGTAAAGGTGTATCTTTGGCCTGCTTCCACAATCTATGAGCTGCATGGTCATTTAGGCCCAATGGTAGAAGGGAACAAGTAGTGTGAAACTGCTCCACTCCTCATGGTGGACCTGAGCTTTAGGTAGGATAGTCATTTCAATAGATAATGCTCAATTAACAGTACTGCTAGCACACAGGCTCTAGCAGCATGGCAATAGTGCAAGCTGGCAACCTGGGAAATCCGTCATGTCAGTTGGTGCAGCTGCCATACCAGTAGAGGTTGCTAACATGGCACGATACTGGAAGTCCCCCCATCTTAGGTTTTCTCCTACGTTGCAGGACAGAAAGGTAAAGTGCAATCAGTCTGTGGTTTTGCCTTCTGTAATTTAAAACATGTTACTTAAACATGCATGTGAACTGCGTTATCTTTATTTCTGCATCTCTTTTTTTACAGGGTGGCTGCTTTGTGATACTACATGGTTTTATTTTTTACATTTCATTGCCAGCTATGTGTATTGATAAATTCATTTTGATCTGAGCAAGACAATTCATGGGGTTTAAATTCATAAGAAGCTTCCATATGTGATTGTAGTACATGTCAAATACATATAAGCTTTCCCTTTCCATCCTTCCAACAATATGCACATACACACATTACTCCACTGCACTATTAGATTTTATGATGTGCGCATGTCTAGAGTTGTTTGTTGTTCATCACCTTAAGACTGCTGTCTTATGCACATTCACTTTGGAGTAAGTCCCATTGAAAACAATGGGTCTTCTCAGTATAGAGGCTTAGGATTGTTTATCTACTTGATGTTGGTTGAAAGTGTCTCATGCATGTCTAAAAGGTGAATAAACTCCATAGCATCATTTTTTCAGATTTAGATCAAGACATTTTTGTACATTTAAATTAGAGATGGAATTGTTTTGGCCAGGAGACTGTTTTCATGTTTGTGTTGTTTTCCCAAAAGAAATATGGTTTGCTGTAAAGATTGGCAAGGCCTGACAAAATTTATAAAATAAACGTTAATTGAAGGTCATCTCTAACTTAAATGACAAACTTCAGTTTAGGATCACTCCTTTAAAACATAAAGCTAGCTTCTAAATAAATATGTCAATTTTCTGTTTGCACAGGAAGAACTATCATCTTTAAAAGATAAATTAGAACAGAAGGAAGCTGAGATAAAACGACTGCAAGAGAAGCTGGTTCTCCAGGTGAAAGGAGAAGGGACTGATATAAATGACAGAGGTAAGGCAAAATTCTTGATGGGCTTGCATGCATCTTTCTCTGCAGGGAGAAAACAATGGCTTGAATTGGGTTGTGCCACCTCTGTTTGAGCATGATGTTTCCCATGCCACCAAAGTCCCATTATTCTTTCTCCCCTACATACAGACTAAAAAGTCATAGGTCTCTTAAGTGAGCATAATAAAGTACTGCTGGTCCACCCAGCACTTTCTCCTTGCTGTAAGGGAGAGAGGCGTATTTGCATGCCCAAGACTCAAATCAGGTTAAGAGTCCATCCTAGAAAGTAATGGTTGAACAGCCCCGGAGAATGATAATTTTTGCATAATTAAAGTAATCAATCATTTCATATTCTTACTGAAATTTTAATCCCAGTGTGAATTCTGCTCATCCCTCTGTGAAGATAATATATAGCTGCTTCTCTTTGTAGGATGACGTGTCTTCTGCTTATCACTAACAATATTGCAAAGATTCAGACATAAATTTAAATTCATTTTCTCTGTGGTCTGCATGTTGTTAGTTTAGATATGTCATAGATTGCTGTAGGAAATCAAGTATCCTTTCAGGTATGTGACTAGAAATAAAGGATATGTCAAGCTTATGTTCAGTCCATGATTAACTTAACAGTGTTAAGCACAATGCAAAGAGAAAGGGATTATCTCGTGAAAAGATACAAAAGAGCCTTTAATATTATAAACTCATGACTCATTTACAAGTAATGCTGATTTCATTCTGTAGTAATAAAACATTGGTCACAGACAGGTTTACACCACATATGGTTTTATTTTCATTCATGTTGAATTTCCTTTAATGCTTATGATCTTCATCTAACTTCAAATCCAATGGGTTTTCCTGCACAGATGAAAATTGTAAAAAGAAGCTCAAAGACAAAAGTAAGGTTTTTAGTGTCTTTCTACAGGCTCATACATTTGACACATTTTTCCAGTACAGCTTTCTGCATGTATCACTGTAAAACATTTTTTAACAAATGCTGCTAAACTGCTTCATCTTCCATCCTCAATTTCAATGGAAATCAAAATAAAAAAGAATGAAGTTTTAGATTTTAAACACTGATCCTCCCACCCTCTGGAATTTTGGATTACAAATAAATTGATTTAGTGGACTGAGAGTGTGCTAAACATCTAATAAGTAGTCTTGTTGTATTCATCTAATTATAAGGATTTGTTTTGGCGCAGGCTATATCTGCATAGATTTGTTAGAATAAATTTTTTACAGCTAATTTGCTAGTTTTCATTTTAAGAACCCCTCAAATGGAAAAACAATGGGGCACTATCCAGCTCAAACATAAGAATTTTTTGAGACAATTGATTTTCATTGTCTGCAATAAAACATAACTCTTGCTGGTTGACTCAAACATAGTGCAAGGCTGTAGTGTGGCATTTCCTCTCTATCAGCTGATTCAATGGCCACCAAATCCAAAGTAGGCAAAGTATGCTTTGCATGATCCATTGATTGTCTGCAAAGCAGTACTGCAAGCCATGATTTAAACAGAGTTTGGCAACAATTGAGCACTAATGATAGTGTGCCTAATTTGGACATAGTTAATGCTAAGACTTGTTGCTAAATTGGCATTCAGTAATGAAACTGGGGCATGTGTGGTATAATACCCCATCATGTTTTGGTGTTGTATCAGTGCAAAATTGCCATTGGACTGTGGATTTAGAGTAAATTTACATACAGATTTCTCTCCATTGACACCCGTATGTTAATAGAGGGAATAAATATAAATCCTGAATGAATTGCAACTTACACTTTTATGAAATACTTGATTCTGTTTTTTTCCCCCAAAGCTGATTTTAATAGGAATGGAGATCATGGTTCAATGATAATAATTTAATTTGCCATATTCCTATTTTTTCTACTTTATAACTCTGAATGGTATTGAAGGTTCACTCTAAATGAGGATTAAGGATGAAGCTCAGTTTGTTCTGATCCCAAGTTTAAACTTTGCGTATGTCTCTATGTGTGTTGCAACCATATATTTTAGCATGACTTTTCATCACAATGTATACACCATCCCATCATGAATCTTTTGTTTCTACAACCATTCTTGGTTATGGCTAAGTATCACTATGCCATCCATTTCTTCCACCATTCCTTAACATCATGTTGCCTAATTCTCTTTGTAGTTGAATTTGTGAATTGCTGGCACAATGAAGAATTGATATGTTGCATACTGGGAAGTGTGTGTGTGTGTGTGTGTGTGTGTGTGTGTGTGTGAGAGAGAGAGAGAGAGAGAGAGAGAGAGAGAGAGAGAGAGAGCAAGCGAGTGTGAATCTCTGAGGACCTGTTCAAGAGATGGACCTAGGTCAAGCACTGCACTACATTTTTACAGATCCATGCTAATGCAGTGTCAGATGATATTGACTTGTCCTACAGCTTGTGTTGCAATGGTTTTATTGTAATGTCTTTGAATTGCTCTAAATGCTCTAATGTACAATAGGAGTGCAAAAGATGATTATAATAATTCATTTTCAGGCATTATCAAGACGTCACTTATAACTTAGCTTTTCATTTGTTTCCTCATGTTCATCTTTAAAGTATTTCTAAAATGCATAAGGAAATTATTTGTATTTTGACACAACTACTTTGACCAAAAGTATTGCTTTTTTATCTTTCTCCTTGTCCTGAAACTAAATAAATATTTCTGTTATAGATATTGAGGTGCAAAAAATGAAGAAAGCTGTGGAATCTCTAATGGCAGCAAATGAGGAAAAGGTACTCCAGTGTTTCTTAGATACACCTTGGTTGTATGGAACTGCATCTTTTTTTCAGAAGAAGGGACTGTAGCTTAGTGGGAGACATATGCTTGACTGTCCCAGGTTCAATCCTCGGCATTTTCAGTGATGTCTAAAAGAGTCCTTCCTGAAATACTGGAGAGTGCTAGTGTCAGTCTGTGTCATAGTACATGCATAATGATAACTCGTTCATTTAAACCATTGTTGTCCTTTCCCAGGTTTGTCTGGCAGATGATCAAAACAAATCATGCTTTGTTTTTTCAGTCCTTGTGTTGTTTGTTTTTCTCCTCCTTTGCCTTTTCCCCTCCTATGCTGCATCTGGCTTAAATGGCACTGAATTATCAGCATGTAAAGAGACTGGGATATTGAGTCACTCTTGCCCACTGTCTCTGTAACCCCATAAACAACCCACAATAGCCGATTCACATGTAACAACAACCCATGGTTTAAACAACTCATCATTTATAACTTAAGTGTTCTCTTTCTGGGTTGTTCATGGTTAACATAATTAAACCATAGTTCAGGGTTTGACAACCCAAGATTTGACAGCAGCCCATGAATTAATGACAATCCATACTCAATTCATATTTTGGATTGTTATTACACAGGAATACAAGAGGGACATAAACTGTTGTCATTCACTACCAAGTTTAAATGGAAAAGACCAATATCATCAGCAAAACTAAGAGTTAATTATAATAGAACAAGAAGTATCAGTTCATATAATCCATGTAAATAATTCTGAAGTGCTCAGTTATTAAAACATGGGATCTATTAACTTATACTTTAAAAAAACAACTGTTTTCCACCAAATAGTTTGATATCATTTTGTTTAGTAACCTTTGGAAGAGAGGTGGGAGAGCAAAAGATAAATTCTAAATAATTAAAATATTCCTTCCTTCCTTCCTTCCTTCCTTCCTTCCTTCCTTCCTTCCTTCCAGGATCGGAAGATTGAAGAACTTCGACAGTCTCTCAATCGTTATAAGAAAGTACAGGACATGGTGATACTAGCTCAGGTTAAAAAAGGTACAACACTACGAGTATCTTAACACTTGTGGTATTCCATGCCAGCAAAAGGACGTGTTTCTTAACCTTACAGAGGAACATCATTCTTTTTCTGTTTTACTTGGACAAATAATCTTGGAAAATGCTGTTGAACCTCCTTCACCTTTAGGTTTGTTTGCAAACTTCATGTCTGTTGGTGACAAGAAAAAGTGTAATAACTGGGGATTCTTTTGTTGCCGGTTTTGTGCTTCTAGAAAATGGAAATGGTATTATTGCCACAGGTTCTTCTGTGTGTTATTAGGGCTGATTCATAGTTTGGGACAGAAGTTTAACTTGTAAACTCTGGAAGCACATTCCAGTGACAATTAAGCACTTGTGAGTTCCATGAGTTCAGTGAGAGAGCTAAGAAAGTACCCCAGTCCCTGTTCCTCTCAAATGCAGTGAAACTTGAGTGTTCTGAATTTGGGTTGTTTGTGCCCAAAGAATTCTGTATATCTAGCTGCTCTTCTGAGTCAAAACTGCTTTTTGTAAAAAGAAGCAGTCTATTATTGATTAGAATTGGAGAGACCCATCAGGTCTGTAAAGTCAGTGTAAAAAAAAAAAAAAAAGGTTGGCAGAGTGTATTTAGCCAACACTTAAGTTGACAATTAAGCAACAGAGTTAAATGTGATTGATTTTGGGGGAATTGAAATGGGTTGACAGAAAACATCACATTTTAGTTCAGTAATTGATTCTAACTCTCCATTTCCCCTTAATTACTGCTTGCAGTATTGAGTTGCTCTTCGCTGGGGTAAGGATGATTCATATGGAGAATGATGGCAAAGCCAAAACATACTGGATATCACACAAACAATTTAGCTGAAATATTCAAATGGGGATTTTAAAGTTTCAGTTATACTTTGGCCAAGTATACTTTCTCTCTTTTTCCTTTTCCATTTTCCAATTTTCTCCAATTTCCCCCTATTTTTTCCTTTTCATTAATGGGTATATGTGTAAATAGTTTGAGTATATGGATAGGTTATATGGTATGTTCTTTCTTTCTTCCTTCTCCCCCAGTTCTTGTTTTTGCTTGTTATATTTATATTTGCAAAGAAAAATCAAAATATTTCTCACACCTGCCAGGCAAAAGCTACCTGTGATTAAATTAAAATGTAAAATTTTATATGTACAGTTTTTAATGTGAAATTTCTGGTACAAGGACATGACTGGCCATCAAATATTGAATTTTTTACTGTTTATAAATAACCCTAACACATTCTATAAGAGATTAATAAGGCTGCATACTATTAATGTATAGGATACTGATTTGTCTTTTGAAATCTGGAATGATTCACAGCACTCTTTGTATAACTTGCGTGTATGGTACTTACTTCCTCACATTTGGATCAGTATTGTAGAATGACATTTTCCATTCTTATTCCCCCCACCCTTTTTTCCTTCAACCCCTTTCTATCTGTTTGTGCTGAGTTTATTCAACCATGTGTTTATGGTGGAAGCTTCTAGCAATTCCTTCCCAGACATTTCTAGACTGGTCCATTATTGCTCATGTTCTGTCAGGAACACTCTCGAGAATGACAAAGACAGTTATCTGTGAAAGAAGAGTATTAGAAACATAGAAACAGAGAAACAGAGTGAGTCAGAAGGGGCCTCCCGGGGCATCTAGTCAGACCCTGGCTCCAGCTGGGTCCACTCACAACATGCCCACCATGTGCATGCGCAGGCTTTCTTTGAACACTCTCACCAATGTGGGTTCAACAACCTTCTGTGGAAGCCCATTCTATATCCTCGGGGTCCTGAATGTCAGGAAGCGCTTCCTGGCATCTGAATGGATCCTTGGTTCCCTAGCTTTGCTCTGTTGGAGCGCGTCCTGCCTTCCTCTGCAGGGGAGAACAGGTCTCTACCTGCCTCTGTGTGACATCCCCTCACATACCTGTATGTCACCAACAGATCCCCTCTGAGTCTCTCTAGGCTGTAGTTACCCAGTTCCCTCAGTCTCGCCTCATATGGCATCCCCTGCAAACCGGCCACCAACCTTGTGGCCCTACGCTGCACTGACTCCAACCTGGCTATATCCTTTCTGTAATGAGGGGCCCAAAACTGAACACAATACTCCAGTTGCGGGTGCACCAGAGTCGTGTAGAGTGGTAGTAATACCTCTCTTGATCTAGAAGCCACACTTCTGGCTATGCAACCAAGGGTGGCGTTTGCTCTCTTAACCAGCACATCACACTGTTCCTCAGTTGTAGCCACTGCCCCAGTTTTAGTATCATCTGCAAATTTGATCAGCAGACTGTTCACCCCTTCTTCCATGTCAGTGATGAAAAGATTAAACAGGATTGGTGGACAGAGCCCTGGGGGACCCTGCTTGTCACTGACCACCATCCTGATGATTCCCCACTACTGGTTACCCTCTGCTTTCAGTCAGTCAACCATGCCCTAATCCATCGGACAGTGCTTTGGTGTATTCCAAAACTTCTCAGTTTCTCAACCAGGATATCATAGTGCACTTTGTCAAAGGCCTTGCTGAAATCCAGGTACACCACATTCACTGTATCCCCTCCATACAGCCATCTCGAACCTTGTAGAATTCCACAAGGTTTGTCTGGCAGGACCTGTTTTTGCGGAAGCCGTGTTGTGTGGCTGCCAGCCTCCCTTCCCTATCCAGCATCACTTGATCTCTCGTTATTATGAGCCTTTCCATTGTTTTTCCTACAATGGACATAAGGCTAACTGATCTTTAATTCCCCATGTCCCTTCTACTACCCATTCCTGTCTGTGCTTCTGGCTGAAATGATACCTGTATCTAAGTAGGGAGGCTAATGTTTGGGTAGACTAGCTTCATCTTTCATTATTCTTAGACTGCAAGTCTATGTCTGCTTGCCTGAAGGAAGTATAACTCAATTTCAGGATTTACTTCTAAGCAGAGATGTATAAGATTGCAGGTACTGTGCAGGTTAGGATGACAGGTACTGTGCCTAAGAACTAGTGCAGTGAGCATGTCCATTCTCAAAGGGGGAAAACAGTACTTCATGTATCTTTTGGAAAATGATTAATCTCTTAAGCACTGATGAAAGTTTAGTAGTAGGCCTTGTTGCCTTGACTGCAAAATTAAGTTCTGTAGACCGGAAAGGAATTTAAAAAAACCCAACCCACACACATACACTATTTGTCTCCATGAATTGCAGTGAACATCCATGAGGGTATTCTACAGTTAGAGTGATAACATTCATAAAGAGGATGAAAAGTTTAATTTTACTTTCTGTGTTGTTAGGCAAAGAAGATGAATGTGAGGAAACAGCAGATCCAGAATCTGTTTCAGTAGTCTTGTCAGATGCAGAGAATCTACATGAAGCTGAGAAAAGTCCGTCTGCTTCTCCAGCTGCTGGTGCTCCGAACCATGAAGAGTTTAGAACAAAAACTCCTGAAGAGGTATTTCTTTAACATTTCCCTCTCCCCTAGGCTCCTTATAAACTGAATTTGCATCTCATCTGTGTTGGTAGAAATATTGTCATTTATAAAAGGAACAAAAGTTAGATATAACTTTGTGCAGCCTTTCTCTTAATGAATATAGAGCTTTTCTGGGTTGTATGGGTAGAGATGAATGCAACAAATGATACTCTGTGGACTAAATGATTAGTTTTGTGTTAAATCCAATATTGTGCTAGCTGGCATCTGTTAGCACAATGGGTGACTCTCTCTCTCCTCTCTTGCCATTTCTGCCAAAATTCTTCTCTGTGGGATTTCTCATCTCTCAAGAGGAGATTCTGAGGAAATACATGGGAATGGCGGGATTCGCCTTGCCCCCAGTGTCAGTGGTGGAGCTGCTTTGGTTAGCAGAATGATATCTCTGGATTCAGTATCAGATTTAGGATCATTCAGAATGAAGCTTTACACAAATGCTAACCATGGGTATAAGCAATTGAAGCAATGACTATGAACCAATCATTCTTTCCTTTCTTTGTTCAAGTTCTTTCTGTCTTGGCTCCCTAGCCCCACCTCAATTACTTAAGCATGGTCAAGAACTTTGGGAAGAAAATTTGAGCAGTCAGGTGGGGGAAAGAAGCCCTCTTTCTTGATCTCATAGCCCTCTGTTGCCTAGATAATCTATAATAATTCTAGAAGCATTACAAGATTCCTGCTGAAATCTTGTGTGCAGAACCTTATGTAATGGAATGAACTGCATTGACCACAGGAGTGTTTACCTCTGAGGAAACATGTATAGGATTGAACTACACTGTCCAGTTCAAGTGTTATCAATAAATACTTAGTTGGTTAATACACCTATATTTAATTGATGTTTAATCAGTTAATTTTATTAAAAACTTTAAATTAAGTGAAGTTGCTGGTTCCATCTTAGAAAAGGCATTGTCCTTTCTGTTTGAAGCAGAAAGACCTTCTCTATGATAGTGTCTGGTGTACCATGCCTAGAACTCTAAGCTGAAGACCAAGAGCATGTTGTTTCTTCCAAGTGATTTTCTTTTTGATCAGGTGTCGCCATACATGATTTTTGTCAGTTGTATGTTGCCTATCTTGACCAGGATACAAGGAGCCTCATGCCTAATCCTGTGTGCCTAGGGAGGTTTTTATTTTATAAAATTATTGATATGCTGCTTTTTGGTTCTAACAAGGATCCCCAAAGTGCCTTATAAATACACCCATACATACTAGACTTTGGACTTCTATTTCACAAACAGCAGCCCTATTGGAAACATATTTTTGAAACTTTAGGAGTTCTTTAAAGATGATTTGGGCTACTCAAAGTGGAAAACTGAAAGATCTCATTTAGACATTTTGGCTGGGCTAATGCAGCTTACTGGATCCTATCCTCTGATTAGACTATTGCAATATATCTAATTTGTTGTTGAATATTTTCATTGACTTTTAAATCCAGGAATATATTTTTGGGTGTGGTTATGAAACCCAGATCTTCAGAATCTCAGGTTTACACGTTTACCATAAAAATTCTATCTGGTTTAAATTTTATGATACAACGTGAAATGCACTGTTGTGTATATTGTGTATTGTGTTCCTATATTCAGCTAACAAATGTGTCTTCACTGCCTTCTAATGGGAGAGGTCACAACTTTTTCTTGTAGAATTCACTACAGATCCATACTAGTGTCTTGCAAGTTTCCATTCCTTCTTTTTCGTCATCGTTCAGACATCCAGAAGAAACTACAGATGAAGTAAATACTCAGTCAAAGATAGAAATTGCAAGGTATGTTTCCTTGACACACTAGACAACTTTATCATTACAAGCTGTCCAGTCATCTCCAGTTTATGCTGACCCTAGGAATGAATGCCCTCGAAAATGTCCAGTCCTTGACCACCCTGTTCAGCTTTTGTAAACTCAGAGCTGTAATTTCACTTAGGAATTGATTCTGGTCATATTTGGTTCTCCTCCTCCTCCTCCATTCAACTTTCTCTAGGGTGATAAAAATGTGCTGGACAATGCTATGAGTGAATATTGAATATTTGATACAGTAAATTAAGTTCAACAGACTTCCCTTAAAGTATGTAGTTGCTGGCAGAGGCAAACGTCAGATGGGAAGATTCCTTGCCCCAGTGCCATTTCTGGTAGCTGTGATGCATTGCTGCAATATCAGATATCAAAGAAGTGAGGGAAGCCTATGCAGAAAATAGAAAGGAAGGCATGTTTAATTGCAAATACTGCCAGGATTGGGAAAATGCAAGCAAGTTGGTAATGCTCTCCAAAAATTATCTTTACAACCGGATACAAAAAAGACAAATGAGGATTAAGTTAAATAAAGGTGAAAAGATCAATGGTAAAGCAACTTCTCTGCCCCTTAGTAACATATTTTCTGCCAGTTGGTACTTCTCATGTAGAATTGGGATTGTGGTAGGTATCCTAGTGCAAATATCAGATCATTTATGCAGCACAGTAGAAAAAGCATATTCCATATTAATGATTATTAGGAAAGGGTTTGAAAATAAGGTGGTCATTATCAGGATTCCTTTATATAAAGCAGTAGCAGTCACTTTTGGGATACTGTGCACTCCTGACAGCCTCCCAAAAACAAAAACAAAAAGCAAACAAAACAAAACAGTGAGCTGAAAAAATGCAATCAAAATGGTTACAGCACTTCCATACAATGAAAGTTTAGGGTTAGGGTCTAGGGGAAATGGCAAATTAGGGCAGATATACTTGAGAGTAACAAAATTATACATCTTAGGAACAGGCAGCCAGACAAGAAGGTAGGCCCCTGTTAAGGCTGCTGAACCAATGTGTGCTTTAAAGCATGGATATTAAAATGTAGTTGTAGCAGGAAAAGCATTCCTACAAATGTTTCACCTGAACCGGGCACTAAAAATTCAAAACTTTGTTTATGTGGGCAAAACCTCTTGGCATCTTAGGGATGTATGAAGCCCTGCCTCCAAAACTTGTGCTAGCCTTATTGAAGTTCCACTAGCTTCCTTCAAAATCCTTGCTGAGGTTCTGCCTGAGTAAAACACCCCCTCAGAGTTAGCTTTTTTACTTTAGCTGTGGGCTTTATTTATTGACTTCTGATGAAACAGTTGTACTTGAGCTATCCATTGTGTGGGTCAAAATTTAGCCGCCCATACTCATTCTATTCTGAGAGAGAATTCTTATCGGATGAGAATTTTTTTTCCTGGATGACTTAAATGTAACCTGTTCGCTATTCATGCTTTTTACAGTGAAAAGCAAACACCATTGGCTTCCACTGAAGCACAGCTAGGTGACACAAAATTGTAAGTACCCTACATAGTTAAAGTTAGGCATATTTTTTTAAAAAAATAATTTTGTTGAAGGGTTTATGCCAGCCTCTGACTTTGCTTCCATCTTCCTTAGTTCTCTTTGTATTATTCTAGCCTTGCTTTTCCTTTCTATTGCAGCATGAAACGTCTTCAAGCAAGTTATATAGCACCTGGGATTTACAGAATTTTGTAATATATTCCTAGATGTTTTGGCTGCCTCTTGTGATAAGTTAAATTGGGGTGTGGGGGGTTGGCTGTCTTAGCTGACTTCTAATATGTCAAAATTATTAATCAGTGTTATCCATACTTGTGTTACTGAAGTCATGAAATGCCTTGCTGAATTGAGGCAGAATTTCTAACCTAGTAGCTACCCTGCAGTGAGTAATTTTGTGTGATATTCTTCTTACACTCCCAATGGGAATACAAATGAAAGCATATTGGAAGTTTGTTGTTACTAAGTGTGCTTTGGTTGGATTTGGAGAATGCATCCTGGAAGAAGATATAGAGACTGAAGTTATAATGCCTTGCTCTGGAGGGAGGTTCTAATGCTTGCTGAATAGTCCTCAGCATCTGCAATGAAGGCGTTGTAGCTCTGAGGGAGATGCGAGGGAGAGAAGCAATTTGATATCAAAAAGGTTGCTGCAGTCCGTCTAGTCATTGCTGTGAGCATACTTGTTGGCTCCATATGTTTACAAAGGTATACAATATCTGCATTATGTCCTATGGATATAGGTCTCGATTCCATGGTTGCTTTTCCAGATTTGGGAATTGACCATGGGGTTCAGACTTAAATGCAGAAGCCTTAATGCAGACATTGCATTCCATCATAAAGTAGCTTGCTAATGCACACTTCTACGTGATGGATTGGAGAGACTCTTCATATACCATCTGAACAAACCCAGAATAATATAATCCCTTAATCAGAAACTAAGTGCAGGATATCACCCAAATGTGGCTAAAGAAACTTACCTCTGTTTTGATGCGGTGTTTGAATTACAACCAGAGTTATCACATTTGCTCCTTCTCTGGAGACTACCTCACCTGGAAAACTGAGCAGATGGAAACTGAAAGCAGACAACCAGGTCTAAACTTTAGTTGGCCTTTAGGTTTAGAGGCCTGTTTCATTTAAATCAGGCTGTCTGAATAGAGGCAGTTCGGTGTCATAGCTCTACCTTGTGCCCACACCAAATATTTTTGCCAGTGGTAATCCATTTCTGCTGTTATATAATTAACTATTTGCAATTTGGATCCAGAGGACCCCTTTAGAGTCTTGTCTGGAAATACAAAAATATGATTTGATTTCAAAATGACTCCAGTTTAACTTAAAAATTAGATTTTATTAGCATCCCACTTAAAAAGTAACCCAGCATACAAAACTTAATAAAAATGTATAAAGAACTGAGAGTTCTATTTTTGTTAGATACAAACAAAACAAATCTGCGATATGTGACTGGGGAAAATATGCAACCCAACAATTAGGCAATCCTCATTGGGCTGTCAGGAAGCCCTAGAGGAGAAGAGAAGAAAACAAACAGAAACCAAAAGAACCTAAGTGAAAGACTTGGCTCATAGTAAACAATGGATAGCGCCCCGCATACCAAGTAACATTTTAAGTAAGAACTCAGTCTTGCAATATGGGAGTATTAACTCCTGTGTCAGTGAAGATAAAGGAGCCTTCCTGGGGTGGAAGTGATTCTTTTGGATTTAGCCCTGGGATCCAACAGGAGTTCTTCAGATTTTTCTGCACCCACAGAAATGTACTTGATGCTTTGCTTTATTCTTAGAAAAACAGAACGAAGTCTACTTGATTTGCCCTTAAAGTGGTATAACTGCAAAAATGAGTTTATGATAAAATCTGAATGTGGAGTTATTTTCCTTCACATATTTTGAAGGAATTAGCTTGTATTGACTTAGCCACTTATAGTTTTGCTTTCCTGTTCAGTTCACTTGGGGTAAACAGAACCTTGATTGGTAGGTTGAATGCTGCAATTTTAATAGCTGGAATGGATGGAGATGGATCATTACAGGTTAACTCATAAGTTCAGAATTCATGAATTATTAAATAGTTCAAGTTGGCTAAAAAAAATTAAAAGAGGCAGCTTTACAAATACTGGGCAGCAGCTTTTGTGTTCTATAGCAACCCTACCACGTTCAGTGGGGTTAAGTACACTCAGCACAATGCAATATTGCTAATATGCAAATCCTGTGCATATTTGTTCTGAAGTAAGCTATATTATAGTAGGACTTACTCTCAAGTAAGTAAGAGATGAATTGCAGGCTAAATTATTTACAATAGAATGGATACAAATGTGGCAGAGGGCAAGAGTGAAGCTTGAAGCATTTGCATTAGTTAAACTATCATTTAAAAGTGATTTTTAAGCATGTGCATTATACTTCGATTATACTTCTGAAGTGTTTATCTTCCTTTGCCTCTGTAAATTTACATTTTGAATGCATATTTGGCTTTATAAACAGCTAGTTTTAACATTTAGTCTGAAATTAAATGTGGAATAATAACATTTAACCCATGCTTCTGGGTTGCATGGCTGAAACAGTGAAGAACTACTCTCTTTGCATACATTTGCTTAAAGCCTGGAAAATGGCATGCATTTGATGTTTTGGATATGTATTTACACACATGGTAGATTAAAAATTTGAAAAAGGCAAGAATTTTATAGTTAATGTTCACCTCCAAAATAATTTTTATTGGCAACATTAGTATAAAAATAATTTACATGACCTTTCATTGTATTCGAAACTCTTCGCTTCCTTAATTTTTAAAACAGCTATGTAGTATTAGGTTGGAAAATCACACATTAGATAAAAATTTAAGCGAAGAAATTGTCTAATTCTTAGCTTATTGTTCGTGAGCAGGCATGCTGGTGTGCACTGCCTCATCATTCATGATTGGTTCCTTCTGCTAGGTGGACAAACCAAATACCTACTAGTGTGGAAACCTGCTCATTGTCCACAGCTATTGGCATTTTTTCTAGTAAGTGCATTATAAGCCACAGTGTGTAAGCCAGCTGCAATCCTGGCTTCAAATCACAGCTTCTTAGAGGAGAGATAAACCAAGAGCTCAAGTTGGAGGTAACGCAAAGCCAGCCTTCCCTAACTCATTGTCCTCCAGATGCTTTGAACCTCCACTTCCTGGATTCCTGGCCATTGACCATGCTGGCTGGGGCTGATGGGAGTGGAAGTCCAAAACATCTGCAGGACATCAACTTAGAATGGAGTAGTCTGTTTTTACCCTGGTAAGTTCCAGTTCATGTTGTTGTTCTGCTCGCAGGAGGCGCCAAGGGGGAGCTATTGGTCAGTGTGCATGCTTGCTAGTTGTTATCAGTATCCCAGAATTCTTCATTGCTTTGTGCAGATGCAGTCATTATCTCACAAACACATGTTGCTAAACCCATGTTTGCCATGTGCAAACTTTAGAAATAAATAATTTAATCCTTCCTCATGCCTGGTGTTTCTTCCTGGCCTGGCCCAGCTTATTTCCAATTTCAGAATACAAATGGGGAAAATAATAAAAGAATTATTGATGAAGAATGGGTTTGCCATAGTGTGTGCATTTGTGCGTGGGGAAGTGGGAAAAAATGTTGAATTCCAGCCCTTACTATTCCCACATTGCAGATGGGAGTAAGTGATAACAACTTGACTATAGTTACCTGTTGATTTTATGACAAAAATGAGATTTGAACTAGAGCACTCTCTTTTTCACAGCTCAATCTCTTATCTGATACTCAGTTATAATTTTAATTGAGCTGAATATCATCCATTCAGATTTTTACACTCTATCTTGATAGTTTAGAAAAAAAAATTAATGTAAAAATGGGTTTAACTTGCTATTGCCTTACCTTCACTTGTCTAAAGATGTTGCAACTCATTTTGATGCTTATTCTAATTCAAATAACATAATTGAGACATGGGATTCACTTGCATATGTATCAATTGTGCTTGCTTATAGAACTTCAGCTCTGCAAAAATCCAGCAGCCTGGGGAACTTGAAGAAAGATGCATCTGGTGTGGGTATTTCTGTTTTTGTGTTAACTGTTGCTTTAAAAGTGCTGGCACATACTGTCCTTCTTCCCCCACCCCAAGTATATCCTCTGAGGTTCAGTTCCCATAAGATGATGGGATTGGTTGAAATATAGAATATCTAATGATGACATGCATGTGGAACAGCCTCATTAGTCTGAGGACAGATCATGGGGAACACGTGGGAGAAGACACTCCTTTAAATATGTTATATGGCTAACCACAGGTTGAGTAAATTTTATGAAGTGGGCTCTAACCAAGTCGTTTATAGTAACTTTCTCAATAGTTTTGGCTTAATGCTTTACAAAATGTAATACAGGATACTGAATTGCATCATAGATGACTTTGGTACAATTCAGTATCAAAGTTTACTGAATAGTTTACTGAATTTTATTTATTGAATAGTTGTCTTATGAATAGATTACTGAATTTCATCATAGATGACTTTGACCTAAACAAGTCTTACTTCAACGTAACTGGATATCTTACAGAATTAAAAGCCACTGATCAGAAATATTTAATACTTCCATTTCTTCCTTTATAGGACAAAGATTCTGGCCAGAAGCAAGAGGAGGTAACCAGGTTTCAATGAATCTGTTATTTTTCTTTGCCAAGCACAGGTTAATTCTGCCCTATTTCTGCATCAATTTGCAATCTTTTAAAAAAGTCACCCTAATATCCATATGTATTTTCATTTGCATGAATATTTGCATGTATTTTTGTACATAATTTCCCCACTATATACATTTTTGCAAACAAATTCTCGTGACAAATGCCTTTTTGTATGCCATCTAGAACGTGCACTTTTTCTGTGCTTTTCATTTTGCAAAAACTGAAGACTAATTGCATTCTGGTACTTCTGTTTATTCAAGAAGGGTAAAATTAGGCAGGTCCTGTTAAAATGCAAACCAGTTACTTACCCTTTCCTAGAAATCATTCTGTGCTGCTTATTTGTGAAAATTTGTGGGTGTAGTCTAGGGAAAGTTAAGCACACCTGTGGCTCAGTGAACCGGTTGAATACGGGTTGGCATAGATTACATTGTGCTCATTTTCCTAATTTGTTGACTGATATTAAGACAAAGTTTCCCTTTTCAAAAACAACTGGGAACTCTGTCCTATGGCAAGCCAGGAATTTCATGTTGAACGTGGCATACAACATGAGAAGGGGAGGGGCTGACTGGAGTGCTTGGCCATGGTTTTAGCCATGGTTTAGGAAGCCCTGAGCAATGATCTGAGTATAGTCATGTAATTATCTGATGTGTTTTCCTTTTTTTTTTTTTTTTGGATTTTTGCCTTTCATGGGGAAACCTGGAACTTAGCAATCACATTATCAGATCTTATTGGAAGCCTTTTTTACTTGCTACATTTTCTAAAGCCTTACATTTTATAGAGTACCAATTTTAAAAAGGAATTTCTCTTTCAGAGTTCTTAAAAAATAGTTTTAACAGAAGATTTTGAGTTCATTGTATTGTTATCAAAGCTTTGGTCAGTAACTGACTCTCAGCTTAACCTACCCCACAGGGTTGTTGTGTGCATAGATGGAGAGAAGGATTATGTAAGCCGTTCTGGGTTCTTTGCAAGACAAGAAAGGGCAGGATGTAAATGTAATCACAACCATGTTGTTGTTAGTCGCGAAGTCGTGTCCAACCCATCGCAACCCCATGGACAACATTCCTCCAGGCCTTCCTGTCCTCCATCATCCCCCGGAGTCCACTCAAGCTCACACCAACTGCTTCAGTGACTCCATCTAGCCACCTCATTCTCTGCCGTTCCCTTCTTCTTTTGCCATCTATTGTTCTCATCATTAGACTCTTCTCCAGGGAGTCCTTCCTTCTCATTAGGTGGCCAAAGTATTTGAGTTTCATCTTCAGGATCTGGCCTTCTAAAGAGCAGTCAGCATTGATCTCCTCTAGGACGGACCGGTTTGATCGCCTTGCAGCCCAAGGGACTTGCAGGAGTCTCCTCCAGCACCACAATTCAGAGGCCTCAATTCTTCAGCACTCAGCCTTCCTTATGGTCCAACTTTCACAGCCATACATTGCAAACCACAACCATAACCTCACCCGTAACTGCTGTCTTCTAGTTGAAAATTCATTATTTCTCATTTTTGTTTATTATGTTACACTTGAATATAATGCTCTCACTGCACAGATGTAGTTGACTAGTTTTGAATCTTTCTTTTCCTAACCCATCAGGGCAAAGCACCGATTGGGAGTAGCAAATATGGAACCCTCCCTCCTAAATCTCCAGGTGAGGAAGATGCCTTTGGGACCCGTAAAGCCCGGTCTTCATTTGGGAGAGGCTTTTTCAAGATCAAAAGTAGCAAAAGGACAGCAAGTGCGCCTAACTTGGGTAGGTTCAGTAGGAATTGGGATTTAGTATTTCCACTGTATCCATCTAAATTAGGTAGCATAGAAGAATATCTAGTATGAGTGGTGTCTTTAACATTTAAAACATGCAATAAGCAGCAGGCATTGCATAAACAAAAAATGTTTTTTAATGGAGGGGAACACTTCAGTGCAGATGCTGTGAATTGGTGTCCTGCACCAGCAAGGGGTTGGACCCAGTGGCCATCTTGGCCACTTCCAGCTCTATGATTCTATGAATTCTAAAGTGGCATGTGCATTCTATTTTATTCTTCTTGTGGTTCTGCATGTTTATTTCAAGTGCAACCTTTGGCATATGTTTCAGAAAGAATATGTTGTGTGGAGGCATGATATGCGGCCTAAATTTATAATTCACGTGCCAGTATGTGCTGGCCATCTTGCCTTTGAGCTGCTAGATAGAGTGCAGGTACGAGTGTCAGAGAACCAGGAACACATTGTGGGTGTAGTGAATTGGAACTGCATGGGTTCTTTCTTTGATGGAGACTGCTCACTTCCAAAGCCCTACAGTCCAGTGTTAGAGCCTTATGGCACTTCCCCATTTCCTCCTTCCCAGTCAAACCATTGCCTAGTAATGAAACCCTATTTTAGTAGACTGTCTGGTCACACATGTGCTCCGTATTTGGAGTGTAGGATCTTTATTTCATTGTGTGCTTAGCAAGGACAGAGCCTCCATTCCTCCTCACCTTGTCCTTTTCCATCATAGCATTGGAAGTGGTTTGTCATGTTTTTCTGATCATATCCCTGCCTCTACCGTGTGCAAATTGTGCTTAGGCCATAGAAAGAGTGCATCTTCAGCAATTGTCTTGATATTTCCTTATTGTCTCAAGTTTTGTGGGGATTTTATCTGTATGCGAGGCAGGTGACAATGCAGCTTTCACTGTGTTCCTATCAATTTAATAAGTCTTTGAATGTTACAGTGAAAGAAATGAATGATAAGGGCAGACTTCATCGTGCTGTTTGCAGAGATAGTAGGTAACGTTTCCAGCAACTTCCTTCAGGCTGTCCCTGTGAATAGCAATTTTTTGCTTAGTCTTATGTGTGAATGCAGCCAAAAATGTTTTTAAACATTTCCAAGAAAACAAAATAACTATCTCCTCCTAACTTGTCTGAAAGGAGATTTTAACACAATCTATTGTTGCCTTTAGAGTCCTGCCACATCAGTCACTGGGATCCAGTGGTTGAGTCCCAAGGATTTCTACAAGTCAAGCCATACTTAATAGTTTTCTAAACTATTACATTTTGTATAACTGTCAAAAATTTTATTCCATAGGTAATTTATATTTAATTACTAATGCATGCAAAAATATAGTTCATTAAAATATCTGTGAACATAATTAACATATCTAAAGATTTTTCAACGAAGGAGCAACTTAAATGCTTCCCCAAAGCTTAATCCTGTTCCCTTGTGTAGTAGTTGTAAAGATAAGGTGAGAGTATGATATATAGTCACCCGCACGTAAGATTTTTAAATAGTAGGTAGTTGTGAGAGCTAACAAAGACACAGACAGACACTGCAGCCTCTGTTTGCCATACAGGATCAATTTGTATTTCTAAGATAATAAAATAAATACTAATCACTCTGCAAATAAATGTTGTACATTCTTCCTTCCTGCCATTTATGCAGGCCTGAAAATGTAATTGGTTGGTGTAAGTGACTGAATGTTTGACAATTCTAATGTTGCCCATTTGTATGTTACTGTGTGTGTTTCGCATGCACCTTTGTTTGGTACTGTTCTCCCCTTGTGTTGCCAGTGTTAAGTTTTGATATGTCTTATCTTGTTGTCCCGGGTACCTCCCTCCCCTTTGTGCTGCCTGTGATTATGTGCGTTATTTGGATGCCTGAAGATCGCAGTCGAAGTGCAAGTGCACCCACCTTAGGTACAGTAGACCTGCATGCATTTTTTGCACCATGTTGTGAGATCCGCTAATGCTGAGCTGCAGGCATGCAGGCCCTACAGCAAAGTCCTCCTTGCCTGAATGTTCATTCATCACTTTGCCTTTCATCTCTTCACATTTCTTACATCTGCTAAGAGCCTGCTGCATTGTTTCACCATGATAACCCATGCTGACAAGAAATGGCTTAAAAAGCATCCATGAAATTCTAGTTGCCAGTGCTAAAGTCCAAGAATGGCAGTGTCTATAATTTTATGGTACTGGCATCACAGCTTTGCCTGAGGCCCTTTAATCATGATGCAATATGAACCAAGTGCTTGCGGCTTAAGGCTCCTGAGATGGCCTCACGTTTTAGTGCCCCGAAGCTACATCTCCATGTCATCATTAAATAAAAATAAGCTCAGTTTTCCAATATTCTGTAATCCAGTGCCATTTCATTTGTTGCTTTTCTCCTCTGGAGAGAGTTGCAGACTGAGCACTCTGTTCAGTGTAATAAATGAATAGTCTAAGTGGGGAAAAAAATCAATGGAACATGTTTCCAAGCAGTCTATTTAGGATTGCAGTATATGAATGAGGAAAGTGAGAAAGATCCTCAAAGGAAAAAAGCATATTATGTGTTGCAATGTGGCAGTCCTTCATGTAATCAAAGCAGCCTGCAGTCTCTTTTCCTGAATAATTTCAGCATTCAATACCTCTTTAAAAAAGGAAAGGAAAGAAGAAACGCTAACACAATGTTTCTTTACCTGCTTTGGTGAAATTTATAGTCTCAGCCTTTTTCAGTCCTGGCCAATGTTTTTTGCAATTTTCATAGTGTCATGTGGTCTGTCTCGTTGTTTTGAGCATTCTTTCAAAGCTTTCCTCAGAGTGGGTTCTCACGTTTATTTTTAGGTGCATAGTTAAGTGCGCACTTGGAAAGTTTAAGTGAGATCAAGACACTGGGGACCAGTGGACTTGCAGCACCTGCACTGTTTACACTTCCTTGTTAGGTTTGGCTGCAGCTTTTCCCCATGTCCTTCCAGCAATAAAGCTGAGTTCATTGTTGTGTAATGTTGGAAGAAGAATTTGGCCTTTGTTTTTGTTGTTTGCTCCTTTGTTTATCTGCACTTGCTGGCACACCCCTGCTGTATCATTGCATTGCTACTGTACGTGTAGTTTATGTGGGGCAATGGGGAGGGGTACAAATCCATATTTTAACTCATGTAGAAGTGTCTGCTTGTTTGTTGAGTCCAATACATGGAAAGCAGTTGTGATAGTGGTAACGTTAGTACTAATGTTGCATTTTTATGTGTTGATTGTGAATCATTTTTGTGAGCTAACTTGAGTGCTATTTTTGACAGGAAGGCAAGGTCCAAATCAATTTTTAAAATTTATTTTATTCCAGTAACTAATGCTGGTAGTCCACTGAACACAGATGATGTGAGACATTCTGTGGAGAGCAGGAGAAGTGTAGAGACTGACCTTGCTTCCGTGTTCCTCTTGTTCTGTAAAGTGCTTAGACGTCTGCTTTTGGCCGTCTGAGTGAGGCACTTTGGTGCAGGAGAGGACAAGGCTTGGGATCTCCCAGGTTGGCCTGTTATCCTGGTAGTGTTGGTTTCCGCACTGCCTTCTGAATCACTCCAAACTCCCTATTCTTACCTTTAAGGAGTAACTGGAGTGGTTCTTTCTGTTCCAGCTGCAAGTTGGGAGAAGGGGGACCTGAGCCTTGATTCCTATCTATGCTGTTGGAGCAATTTCCTGCTGTGTAGCTGGCTATCCAAACAAGCCTGTGGTTGTGTAAATGCTCTGTATAGAACTTGAGAATTACTTTATTTGGAAGCAGCATTTGAGAACCCTCAGATCATTCAACTTTTTTTCTCTTTGGAAAAGTCAGCAGGGGTCCCCAGCATTTTTGGACTTGTGAGCACATTTAGAGATGTACTTAGGCACCAAAGAAAATGCCTGATCAGTGGACTGCCGCTTCATTGTCTGTTTGTGTCTATGCATCTTACATCTTAAGCAGAATATTTGATTTATTTCTTCTGAACACCACAACAGCTCATTAAGAAGGGATTGTCTAATTCAGCTAATAGCTGGTGGTGCAGTGCAACTAGTGTTTCTTTTAATCATATATTTTGGCAATGCCCTGTAGTTGCTTCTTTGGGGAAAGAGGTTTTACATCAATACATTTTGTATTAGAACAGTCTTTAATATTCACTGATGTATAAGTTATTTTAAAGTATTTATCTGCTCCAAAGAATTGGCAAATGAAAGAGGAAATATATTGTTTAGACAGCTAAAATACTAAGATTGCAAAATTGGAAAAATAAACTATGGATTGAAGACCTTAAAGACTTCAATGAATAACATGTAGATGTCAGCTTGAAATTGATTCTTAGTTGGATATTTGGTCTGCTGGAAAGTTGCATGCATTTGCTAAAACTCCATTTATGTATATTAAAAAGGATTAAAATCAGTGTCTACATTGGGGACTCCCAAAATAATTTACAAAAAAAAGGGGGAGAGCATGCTTTTCATCTGTTTCCTCAGATTCTGTTGATGCTATTAAGTCAGAACAGAGCATTTCATTAACCTTTTTATACCTGATTAAAATGCCATGAAATTCTGACCCTTTGTCTTTCACACTTGGTCTCTTCAGGTGTCATTTGGCAATCAGAAGGCAATTGATTTTTCAGCAGTAAATTAGATTATTTGTACCTAGTTTCAGGTGTTGAAAGAGCATAAAATGAAATTGGATGTAATTGGAACTGTGTGGTGATTTGCAACATCATAAAGCACTTCTTATGTAAAAGACTCAGTGAAGCTTCCAGAGCTAACAGAGTTTTTGGCCTCTTGTAGAATTACCAAAAGTGTATCCTTATTAGATTTGTCTTATGTTTGAACATACAAATTTGCTTTGCAAATTTCAGAAATAACTGCCTGTAGCTAAGTATTTTGTGTGTTGTGAGAAGAACAGATACAGTTAATAGAAATTACAAAAAACTGGTTGAAGCAGCTCCCACATTTGCCACTGCGTACTAAGGTTGTATTAATAAAAAATAACAAATAACATACCATTAAAATATTCTGAAAAGGTTTTCCTGTCTCTTTACCACAGCACTGTAACTAACTAAACAAAATTGGTGCACTGTTAAACATGCAGTGTCAAAGTCCCTTTGTAACACTTGCCAACTATTTTTACTTGTATATGTTCCTAGTGAATGTCCAAAATATGAAGATCATTGATAGTTGCAGGAGAAAGTTATCAACCTCTTGAACAATTGGGACTAATACTGCTGATTGTTGACAGCAAACAGTAGCTGATGGCCAACACTCACCATTTCCTGATAACTTCATCAGTTACATAAGAGATTGTCAATACAATTGCTGATAGTCCTTGCCTTTTGGAAATTCATAGTAAGCTATACACATTTTTAACCACTGGTTTGCTTTAGAGCAATACTTGTTGTATCATATGTAGCTGTAATAGAAAGGGATTAGTAGAGGCTAGCCCTTGTGTAGATAATCTGGTTTGGATTTCTTAGGTCATTTACTTAAATTATGTTTTATAAATGCCTAGCAAATTATTATTATTACATTACATTTCTATAAAGCTTCTAGCCAAAGCTCTCTGGGTAGTTCACAACACTTGAAGTCACCCATCCAGATTTCAATGAGGCCCAATTCCTGCCTAGTTTCCAAGATTATGCAGGATCAGGCACTCTAGGCTATATGAAAGCTGCTATGGAAGTGAATGGAGGACACAGCAAATTTATCTCTTCGTATAACAGATGACTTTTAGTTAACATTATTTCACCCAATGGAAAAGGACAGTGAAAAAGAATCTAATATAAGAATTACAGATTAATGTTGTTAACTGGGGTTCACTTTTATTTAATAGCAGAGACGGAGAAAGGATCTGCAGATCACTTAGATCTGGCTGGCTTGCCTCCTCGACCAAAAGTTGTAGAAGGTGGGCCTTTGACACCACCTTCTCCTGACTCTAAAAAGAAAGCCAGAGGAATCAAGAAATTGTTTGGAAGGTAACCAAGTTATTACTCTACTGAACATCATAATGGCTTGAGTACCAGTATGGTATGGATTTTATGCTGAGGATTTCTTCCCTATGATTAAAAGATGGGGAGTGGGTCATGGAATTGGATGCATCTGTTCCCAGCTGCTGCACTCTTGGAATGAATATCACACTCACCCCTCTATCTTGTTTGGTGCTATATCAACAGTAGTAGCAGTGACTGCATTTTCTCTTAATTGGGACATGCTGACCAGCTTCAGTGTCCTTCAGAAGAAACTGATTACTACTATTGATGAGTAACCTTGGTAAAGTTGGGTGAGAAGAATTTGTTCAACAGAAGGGACAGTTTGGGCATGGCGATGGCGATGGGGATGGGTGAGCAACATCGGAAGTCCAGGAACTTCTTTTGACTCCTACATACCTTGTATGGACCGTAGTATGTGGGATGGCTGGAAGAAAAAGCTGGAATTGCTAGTCTGCTGCTGAAATTTGGAGGCAAAAGCATTCCGAGCTACAATCGTTTAATTTAGTATCTTCCAAGCAAAGTTTAGTGTTTTTTGACGTTCTGGAATTACAATTGATTGCCCAAAGGGCCAAATTTATCTTGGAAACAAACTAAAACTCAGCTGTTTAGACATCTTGTAAATGACCTTTGCCCTTTCATTCCCCCTCCCTCAAAGCAGTAATTTGCTTTAGAGTTTTGTTGCTGTGACTACGTGCGTGTGGAGGTGACAATATGGGGCTGGTGGACTGTGTGTTGCTGTCCCCTAGAGTAAAGAGCACTCCATTCCATGGACCATTTCTCATTGTCTGAGCAAAGGGATTCCCAGAGTTACTTCATCCAGTCCAAAATCAGTGCTTTGAAAGTGTTTGGTTAAGTGATATTGAAATTTTACAGATTTCAGTTTAAAGTTCACTTGACTATTAATCCAAAGATGTTAATGGCTTAATAGCATTTTAGCTTATCTAACAAGATGAATGTTGCTGCTGAATCTAAATTTTCTTTGATACTATATGTATCAAAGGGCACATGTACCCTTTTTTCTAATTTTGTGACCCTCATCTTCTCTGGCATCTGCTCTGCCAGTACTCTTTTCCTTCAACTTTTACACCTGAGCTCAGCATATGAGAGCTGGTGTGATGTGTCTCAAGTGTTGGATGAGTATTCAGGAGGTCCAGGTTCTAATACTGCTTGGCCATGAAGTTCCCTGAGTGTCTTTAACCAGACAATGACTCTCAGCTTGACCTACCTTGACAGGGTTTTTGTGAGGATAAAATGGAGAGCAGGTGGAAAATTATGTAAGCTGTCTTGGGTTCCTTGAAGGGAAAAGGGCAGGATATAAATACATTTTTTTATTTTTTTATTTCTATGCTGCCCAATAGTTGAAGCTCTCAGGGAAATTTGCAACAACACATAAATTACAATATAAAATACAAATAACAATAAAAATATCAGAAAATTAACCATTCACAATTTAAGCCAAATTTAAAACAAATGTTAACGAGTGGCCAATTACATCCTAAGTAGCCAACAAACTAAGTAGCCTCAAACTAATTAAGTGCCCTGTGGCAGAGGATAGTCTTAACCTGGCAGTGAAAATATATTAGGCCTTAGTGGAGAATTTGTTCCATAACTAGGGGCCATCACTGAAAAGGTCCTTTTCCTTTTTGCCACCAACCAAGCTTCCCTTGGAAGTGGCACTTGGAGGTATCTTTATATTTTTAAATGGCTGTGAGAGAACAATGAAGTAGAAAAGCTGTGGCTGTATTGTGGAGAGGTTTGTTATTCTTTGTCCACTGTCTTTTTTATGCTAGTTTAAACTGATGGATCTTACAAAACTTCAGGCAGCAGTGATAATGTGATTGCCTTTCTAGCCTGCATGCATTTGATTGGCCAGTGTGTGGAATAAGATGCTGCGCTAGGTCGGCCATTGGTCTGAACTGAGAAGGTGGCTCTTAAATTGTGAAGCCTCTTTGATATCTTCTCTCCCCCCCCCCCCCCGACTCACTCTGGCCTTTTTTCAGACTCAGAAGAAGCCAGTCTACCACATTTAATCCGGATGATATGACAGAGACAGAGTTCAAACGAGGAGGCACAAGAGCAACTGCAGGCCCACGACTTGGCTGGTCCAGAGATCTTGGGCAATCAAAGTAAGAGAGAACCACTGAGACAGCAAGGGAAAAACTTGCCTCTGTTTGCTTTTTCACTCATCAGCAAGAATGCCCTTGGATAAGTTGGGCTGAACTCAACTCGAAATGATTTACTGGCAAAGTGGCAAACTATTTAGATTTAGGGGACTGTAAACGGTTTCTTAAAGGTTTTGAGGGAAGAACCTTCCTCATACTTGTTGGGATCCTTGTGGGAGGTGTTCATTTCTAAAAGTTCATTCTAACATTTAAAATGTATAACCAACAGGTTTGAGTGACTATTGTTGCCAGAATCAAGAATCCCACACCTGAATTTGTAACTGTGGTGCTACGTCTAAAGTGCAGTTCTAGACCTTTTCCCCCAACACTTTTGTAACAAGGACTGCCTTGAATGGAATTTCATACATTAGCAACATATAAGTTGGGTTTCAGAGGCATTCTCAGAATGTATCTTTTTGTCTAAAGTGCCAGTTTTGAAATATTTATACATATACATATATATTTCATTTTTAGTGATTTGGATATGCCATTTGCTAAATGGACGAAGGAGCAAGTATGTAACTGGCTTCAGGAGCAGGGCTTGGGGTCTTACATAAATCATGGCAAACACTGGATACTTTCTGGCCAGACTCTCTTGCAAGCTTCTCAGACTGATTTGGAGAAGGTAAATATTTAAGTGGCATATTTGCTTCAGGTATAGTCTGTGCAAGATGAGTGACAGTTATAATAAGATGCTGATTTACCGGCCTGTTTTTTGTGAAAGCATGGCTACAATATGCTGTGTTGTTGATTTCACTGAAGGGCATTGTAATGTGCAACACACTGTTACCACGCTTCCTGGCAAAGCAAGCTTGGCTCTGTGCATAGACAATGCTAATAGCAGTACCCTTTTCAAATATGAATGACTGCCCCTTTTCCCAAGATTTGTTTTGCTTAAACATGAGAGTTGAACATTTGCTTTAAAAAATGATGTGTCACTTTTCTTGAACAATGTTCAAGGTGAGTCTGGCGAAACTGAAAGTTTGTTCAGCTCTTGAATGTTGAGTAGTTGCTATAAATAAGAAACTTCAAAGGTGGGTTTATCCAGTGAAGGCATAAGTGGTGGCTGTGCTGGGGAAAGGAAATTCCCCAAAGGAGTGTGTGTGTAGTAAGGGGTTTTTTTCCCCTAAAAGAAATAGAATACAGAAAAAAATGTGAAAGAGAAATAAGAATGCCAAGGGATTTTACACAAATATAACATATTTTATAACCTAGTATATTTAAAAAAAAAAACCCAAAATTTCTCTCTTTCTGTCATTGAATACTTTGTTGAAGCTCATTAAAAAGACAATTATAGTTCTCTAAGCCAATACATTTTTCAATTGCTTTGAATCAGTTATTAATGTTATTAATGATTGCATATAATTTGCATTAAAGTATAAATCATCAACGATATTTGAGACAAGTTCCATTTTGTTCTGCATTAATTAAACTGCATATAGTAAATTTTCCCTTTATCATTAAATTCTTCAGTTGGTCTCCCACAGATAAATTTTAAGAAAAGCATTCAGAGTGATAAATTATTAGTACTTTGTCACAGAATGCAAAAGTACCACATGCAAAATCTGGATGGAGAACAAAAAAGTACCGAAAGGAAGAAATTACAGATGAATATATATGCTTTTCTGAGTGCTTATATAAACTAGGCAGTCCTTCTAGCTAATATAGCACATTTTTTCAAAGGCATACTTTATCTGCAATGTGTGTTATAAATAATATTGAGTGTTGCAATAACAAATACATGTAAGATAATAAAACAAAATTTAAAACCTACTGTGCCCAACATTTGAAGTGTTTTGAGCAGAATTTTATAAAAATTTTAGAAGTTTATATTCAACCTTTTAGTACTTTGTTTAATGATTTTTTTAAACTCATAAGATAGCAATGACTTGGGCTTGGTCTGATGGACTGTGCCTTGGCTTCTTGGATGGAAACCCCCAAACTCGGACACCTCCCAGATTCTACCAGTAGGCATGGTGGAAGTGATCTTTTCCTTTCTTTCCTAAGTTATTTTATTTTATTATTTTTTATTTTATTTTGCTTTCAGCTCATCTAGCAATGGCAATTTGGAAGGCTAGGGGTCAAAGTTGGAGGAGCTTTGGGATCAATCATAGTCAGCTCTCTGCAGTCTCCTCCCCTTCTCATCCTCCAGCATGCCCCCTTTTACTTGCTGTCAGAGGTGTTGTTGAGGCAGTGTGGTTCTGCCTACACTTGCTCAAGGGGTCCGAGGCAGATTTCTGACTCTCCCTTCCAAGGTCAGAGATTTTCCAAGCCATCCTGTTGTCCCTGCAACACTTTCCCAGGGACCATAGGTTGGCGTTGTTGCTCATAGACCCACTGAAATCTGTGCTAATTGAGCTAGTCATGACTTAAGTTCCCTTAAATTCAGTGGATCTACTGAGACATTGCTAAGTTTAGATCCAGCCTATCAAATGAAACACAAGTAGTCTTAATTAGTAAACCTAAAAAAAGCTTACTTCACTAAACTTGTTTAGACTTTGTTTGTGGTTAAATTAAGGTCTGTTCTGAAGACAATGGGGCTTACTTCTGAGTAGATAGGAACAAGATTGCGCTCCAAGTGGGTAGTACTGGGAGAGTCTTGTCTATTATGAATCATTGTGAGTTATCCTGAACAATCAATTGTGGCTTTTAAAAATATATTAAAAATTTTAATTGTATTGAGGGACAATATATATTTTTACTCCACAAAAAAATAATATTTATGGATGTTTCCTTGAAAGGGTATACCAAAAGCAAATAAATGGGCAACTGCCAAGTAAATTTAATTTTTTAGAGGTATTTAAAAATTGCCCTTTATCTGTATTCTTATTTGCTGTAGGTTTTAGGACTTTGGCAGGGAATATAAATACATTTTTAAAAACTTGTTTTATGTTTCCTATTTAGGAACTTGGAATAAAGCATCCCCTGCATCGGAAGAAACTGCAGCTGGCACTTCAGGCATTAGGGTCAGAAGAAGACAACAACCATGGGAAGCTGGATTACAACTGGGTTACAAGTAAATTCTTTCCCCTTGTTTACCACACCACTTTGATCCAACGAGGTGTTCATATATGCATGTCCTTTGAGCATTTGGAAGATACATGTACATCCTACTTGCATTTGTAAAATTCCTTTCATGAACCCTGGAGCTCACACAGAGACTTCATGTACTCTTTATTAGGCTATGGGTTGGGTTGTGGGTAGACTCAGATACAAAAAGTCTGAAAGGTTCTATGCCATTCTGAACACATTTTTATAATTCACGGATTATTGCACCAATACTAACAATCACTGCATTAGTAATAGTAATCCAGATTAGTAATACAAAAGTGTAGTTAGTAATAGGAATACTGAATTTTGCTCTATGTATCATGTGACAGCAAACACCCTTTCCATCAGTCACTCACAATTTTAAACATATTTGTTGGACACATATTCATCATTTGTTCCTGTACATATTTGGGAAACTGTTGCACTTAGCATTTGGTGTTCATGCATGCTCACTAGCATCTTTTTATCCCCAGGATGGTTAGATGACATTGGCCTGCCCCAGTATAAGACACAATTTGATGAAGGAAAGGTGGATGGCCGAATGCTCCATTATATGACTATTGTAAGCAAAAATGTTTTTCTACCACTTTTGTCATTCAGAAAAATTGCCTTGATCTCTTGTCCTCTCTAAGACCTTGATTCTTCTAACTCCACCACCTCCAGGAACCCAAAGATCTCTGGTCTCTTGAAATCTCCTCACATTCTTCCATGCTGCTCATTATGTTCTCACCTCTCTCCATTCTAATCATTCTTTATCTTCAAATCTCACTGCTTCTGCAAATCCCTTGCATAACAGAACTCTTTCTTGACTATAGCAACATCTAAGCACAAGTGAATGCATTTTCTCACATTAACCCTTCTTGACCCTTGTGTTCCCCATCCTTTCCTTCCCTGTTTTCTCTCCTCACCATTGAATTTGGGATAGTAGATTGATTAGGCAGGTATCTATCCAGATTTCTCTTGCCAGATGTGTAGTACTATGTATGTTATTGCTCGTACATAAATAATGAATGCAGATCAATAATTGTGGAAATGTAGAAAACAATATTTTAGGGTGCCATTTTAAGCATGTATAGACAGAAAAAAAATCTTACAAATCTTACATTCTCCAGGCAGCATACATCTTCCATTTAATCATGGTAGTAAAATGTGCTAGCCATGCCTTTTCATTGTGTCCTGATTTGCTGTACATATTGTCTATTGCAGGATGAAATGAACAGGCCTCATGCATTCTTGTGCTCTTACTTACTTACTAGGACACTTTTGTTCTGAATACAGTGGTACCTTGGCTCATGAACGCCTCAGTTCATGACCAAATCGGGTTGCGAACAGACATTTCAGAAGAAAATTTTCTCAGGTCGTGAACTCCACATCGGGTGACGATCACGATTGCAACCGTTTTCCCTGCATGGGAGTGATCGCGGTCGTGCTTGCAGAGGGGGAAGATGGCCACGATTGTGCTAGGGAGTGGGGGAGCTGGCCGCAATCGTACCCGTACTCCCTGCCTGAGCGCGACCATGCTTGTGGCCATGCTCGTGCAGGGAGGCCGGGCGCGATCACGGTTGTGCTGGGTTGGGGGGAGATGGCCACGGTCGTGCTTGTGCAGGGAAGACGTCCGTGGTCATGGTTGTGCTCGGGGAGGAGATGGCCGTTATTGCACCTGCCTTCCCTGCATGAGCGCAACCACGATCATGCCAGTCTCTCACCCCAGTGCACCTGCGATGGTGCCCGTCTTTCCTGTGATTAAAAAAAATATTTACAGAATGGATTAACCTTATTTAAATTGAACCTTATGGGGAAATTTGACTTGGCTCACAACCAATTTGGGTTGTGACCAGAGTCATGGAACAGATTGAGTTTGTGAGCCAAGGTACCACTGTACTTAGAAATGACTTAGAATTTGGGTTCTTTCTTTCTAAAGTTGTTCAGAATCATGCTGTGCAGTCTGCACACATTTTCAGAACAGTAGAATGTGTTTTCCCCCTTTTAAATTAAGAGAGCTGCATTCAGTGAAGTTATATCGTTTCCCAGAATTTTCTTCTTGACTTACTTCCTGTAGTAGAAGTCTGCTGTTCTTTCTGAACGTAGCAGAGAAGGAAGAAGGAGAGATAACTCTATCCTTCAGTTTGTTCAAAGAATGTAACAGTGCATGACCTGAAATATATTTGAAGAGGAGACTGCACTGCTGTTATTTTCCATGAGTAATTCCTTGGTCACTGTGAATCATCTGGGAGTTAAAAGATGTTAAGGACTTGCACCTGTTAAAAGCAAACGAAAGTGTGTGTAAACAGAGCTTCCAAGATCCTCTATGAATTATTGGAAGTGAAATAGGAGGATACTTCAAAAGTGGGTGGTGTCTGTGCTAAATATATAGGAGGTAAGACATCTTTCACCTTATCAATTTTGTTCTATTCTCAGTGTAAAGGAAAAAAACAAAACAAAAGAGTCACCATGCCCCAAGGAAGTAATGTTTAAAACACAGATATTGTTTGACCTTATTATTAAGTTTCTTACTCTAGTGTTGAATAAACCATGCTCAATATTATTTGCTGGGTGTCCTTACATGATGCTTTGTTAGATTTGTCAGTTCAGCCATTCACCAGAAATTTTCCGAAAAGTATTTAAACGTAGGAGCACACAGAAGGTTTACAATACATTCAAGATGACACATTCCAGCCTTTTCTTTCAAATCACACACACTTCTGGTTAATGGGTCTAGTGGTAATTAATAACCGGTACTGTTTTGAAGGTTAGTTTATTTCTTCATGTTTGAAAGATGATTAATGTTAAGTGGATTTCTGAATTTTGGGTCTCTTTTTTCCAAGAACAAAAATATTACATTGTGAGTTACCCCACAGTATATTGTAGCTTCCATTATGTTGAATTAAAGTATTGTGCAGGTGACAAGTGTTTGGGTGATCAAAGAGCACTGACTTCAAATGACAAGCTGGCTCCAGACATTCTAGTTTTTTCACTAAGGGTGCAATCCTTTGCCTGTATAGACACAAAAACATGCAACAGTTCCCAGCATTCCTCAGTTTAGCATGACTAGTTTTAGGATTATTTCTTCTTCAAACATGCATAGGATTGTACCCTAAAATGCTTAATCACAAATTGTTAATTGAGCTTAGTTCCATTCTTTCCTTGTCATGAATTAAAAGCGTACCCTTTTTGTGAGGTGTGGTGCGATAAGGAAATCAGTAAATATGTGTGCTCTATACAGGGACGTTGCTTGTTTCCAGGTATTAATGCACATTCTCAGTGCTTGTGGCACTTCTGTTAGGAACCTGACACCAACCATACCAGTAGTCTGTCCAATGCATCACTGTCTGATTGTCAGTAGTTCTTCGTCGTGGTCTCCGTGCATCACACACATATGTCTCTTGGGTCTTGGTGGAGGTCTTTCCCATCATCTATTACCTGATCCTTTCCAGAGTTTCAACCTGGAGTCCTTTTCATATAAGCATGAACTATCATCATTGTGAGTTATTGTCCTTCCAATCCTTCCCTTCATAAGTTTCCATGAATCATGGCATTAGCTGTACTACTGTTTTTTTACCCTTAATGGAAAAGAACTGTTGCAGACCCAAAAGAAAAAGAAACACATGCAGTGGTAAAATTGAGTGTGAAAAAAGCTGATGTGCCATTAGGAGTCTGGTAGATCCTGAGGAATGGGATGAGCTGTGGCATGCAGGGAGGGGCAATCCCAAAAAATTAGAGACCTGTCTGTCATAGAGGGCCCCTTCCTATTGCGGAAGGACCCAACCCAAAAAGTGGTTATCTGAGAAAGTAGAACTGAAGAGCAAGGGATGCCTCCTCTGGCAATGTGCTTTGTGTTGGCTCTTGGCATGTATATTGGCCTTTCCATCCAGAGGCACATTCCATGCATCTGATGAAGTAGATTCTAATCCATGAAATCTTATACTGTGTAGGGGTGGTGGTTGTTATGTAAACAGTAATTCAAGTCAGTTCTCATGTGTTAATTAATAAGAACGTTCTGTCCTGGTTTCTGCATCTGTCTGTGCATTTTACAATTAACAAATGCAAAAAATAACAAAATAACAAAATCCAATTTTTAATACTTGGTCATGCACTTTAACCAAGATCTATGTAACAGAATTTGGAAAGGTCAAAACAAAACAACAACTTCAGTCTGCCTATTAATTTGGGAAGGTTGGAATAGTTTGGTTCTCTTCAAAATGTGGACTGAATGAAATTCTTGAACATTCTACTCAGAATACATTTTTTGCTTAAGGTACTCCAGGACAAGTTGCCTCTAGGTGCTGAAGCCTACCACAGCTAGCCCTTTTGATACCCTCCAGGCCTCTTGGGACTTGCTCTTAGTCTCATTCATGCATCTTTCAACTTTTGCATTTGCAGGATGACTTGCTATCTTTGAAAGTTGTGAGTGTCCTCCACCATCTGAGCATCAAACGTGCCATTCAAGTACTAAGAATAAATAACTTTGAACCCAACTGTCTCCGCAGAAGACCTTCAGATGAGGTAAGCACTTCAAGTGCTTACAGCGGCTATCGAGTCAATACAATAAATGCAACTACACAATGCTATTGTGTATTTCATTTTCTTTCCTAGGATGTATTGCCTGAACTTGTGAACCTTGATCCCTCCCTTTACTTTACAGCCTATATATTTATCACTGTCTGTCAACTTTCCCTATTCTGTTTTAAACTTCTGAAAATGGATTACCACTTTCATCTCCAAATCTCAGCCAATGAAATTACCACACTGAATGGATCCCAGCTTGTATTTGACTTTCCACTAAGTATTTGCTCACTAGTATTTCTGTGAACATTCGAATGCAATGTTAGAGCTACTTATCACAGGTTATAGAGGCCTTCTTGGGTTGTACCACTTCAGAATAAGGTTGATAATGTCAGAATAGGACAGGTAGAAATCTTGCATATCCATGCTAAAGGAAATTTAATCCACCCTTCTTTATCATCTGCTAGTTTCTTATAGGTCCAGAGTTTTAATTTTTAGCAGGAAAGAGCATTCAGGCCATCTCCTGTCTTCAGTGATATAATCATAGAATAATTTGAAAACTCAGAGTGACCTAAGAGAATAACCCTGTTTACTGCAGGAATCCACAACCACTGTTGAACAGTTCTGGCCAATAGGTAGCTTCTCCTAATGTTTAGCTAAATTCTGCATCCTTGCAATTTTCATGCTCTTCCCAGCTACCTACCACAAGGCCATTCTGCAAGTGTACTTCCTCTGTGGTTGAAAGGTGGGAGAAGAAAGTGGGTAAATTTTAAAGGTTTGGATTGCCTGTTCCTTTGTTTACTTCAGTTTACTTAATTGCCTTTTGTAACAGAGGCTCAGCCAAAGAGGAAGCTGGCCCCAAGGTTAATGTGTTTGGTTTGGAGGTGGACGTCTCTGGAAATTGAAAGAACAAACAAAGTTATGAAATTTAATCTCTTCAAAGACACCTATATTACACAGTAGCTTTATTGTATGGCTTTTTTATCAGGCCAACACAAGCGAAGACTTAACCATAATGAATCCAGCAGCAGCATCTGTCAACCCTTCAGTGGGTTTACAATTTACTATTTCAGTCACAAAGGCAAAAATTGGGTTTGCCCAAGCAAGTTACCAATTGTAATTAAGAGCCATCAACTCACACCAAAAGAGAATTTTGTTGTTATTTCTGTAATGACCAATAGTTGAACTTCTCTGGGTGATTCACAAGAATTCAGAGAAGTATCAAATGAGGACCTATGATGCATTTTATGGATAGTTTTGCAGCATTTGGCAAAATTAGAGCCACACTACTTGATCAGTACCAACACAATGAACATGCTTGCTGGGTTTGAACTGCAGCACAGGGAGGCAATGGCAAACCATTATATACAGCAGAAAGGGCCAAAGCAAGGCAATTTGAGATATTTGAAAAGGCTGAGTTTAACAGTCATGAAGGTCTGCTAATCAATAACTTGACTCTAAATGGTGCACTTTGAAGTCACATATAACAACTTATAAATACTGAATTAACCAAAAAATTGTGGTCGCAAACTGGTGCATGATGTCTAGTTAAATGTGCTTCTTCTTGGTAGAATAACATCACACCATCTGAAGTTTCACAGTGGACCAATCATCGGGTGATGGAATGGCTGCGTTCTGTTGACCTTGCAGAATATGCTCCTAATTTGAGGGGAAGTGGTGTCCATGGTGGGCTCATGGTAAGAATGTGGCGCTTTATATTTTTTTATCAGATCGTAGCATAACACCAGAGATAGACACAGATTTTGTATTTGTTCCCGGCAGTCACTCTCTGGAAGTCACGATCAAAATTACTTTTTAAATGTGATATTTTTGCTTTTTGTAATTTGATAATGGTTGAGGCCTTTAGAGTTTTATGAGAAGTTACTCAGTCTTGAGATTACAAGAATGTCGGTTTGATTTCAGTTCGAAAATCTTGCTTTTGTTGTGCAGGTTTTGGAGCCTCGTTTTAACGTGGAGACCATGGCGCAGCTGCTTAACATCCCACCAAACAAAACACTGCTGAGGCGGCACTTGGCAACCCATTTTAATTTACTGATCGGTCAAGAGGCCCAGCAGCAAAAGCGTGAAGCCATGGAATTTCCGGATTACGTCCTCTTAACAGCAACAGCCAAAGTGAAGGTACTGATTCCTTGGGAGGTCAGGAAGGGTTGACTAGCATTTCAGTGATTTAGGAGACATTCCAGTTATCAGGGATGAAGGGAGTGATCTCTTCTCCAGAAGATTGGCCCAATATTGCAGAAGATGGGCTGGAGCCGTTGACTTTGGACAGTGGGTGTGAATTGATAGCAGCTGGAAAGACAATTGGCCGGCTGGCATCATTCCATTGCCAGGAGAGCGGGGCTGAACAAACCCCTGGATCTGGGGAGCTTTTGTTTAGCCTTGCTGGGTCTTGATCCGGTGAGAATTGTCACTCCCTGGTTGGATGCTGAAGCCTTCAGAGCAGGAGAACCTGCATTGGGTAACGGTTAGTCTAGGGCTAGCTTTGTTGTTCTGTTTTAAGTAGCAGTTTTTCATGCATAGAAGATTGTTATAGAGGTTGGATAAAAGCTTACCTTTCTCTGCCTACAAAGTCTTTCAATAGATAACAGAATTTATGAATACTATTTACCATGTCTGCCACAGCAGTATTTGCTAGATGGTATCATTTAGTTTCTAATAATTTTAAACTTCACTCTGGAAGGGCAAAAGATACGTACCAAGTGTACAAAAGTGACTGGACTGGGCCATTAAGAAAGGAGAGGCATCCTGCTGGTTACTGTGGTATATCATTGGCCTGGAAGGAACCCAACCATTTCCTCTTCCAAGAAGCTTCCTTGGCTTGGTAGCCCAGGTGGCATCAGTGACTCAGCACAGCAGCAAGTGCCTATTCACAAGCCCAAATCACAATCTCTTCAATTAACACAATAGGCTAAATTTTATCCTGTATTCTGTTTTCTTTGGAACTTTCAATTATTTGATCAACCAGCTTTTTGTGTGATTATATTTTTGAGAAAGCCATAATCTTGTACCCTTTGATTGTTTTGTTGACTATCTACCCACTAGAAAAACCATTCTTCTTCTTTATGGTCTGTGCATCACATATATGGGCTCTGTACCTGCAAGGGGCCTGTTGGGAAGAAATACAGTATAGGAACAAGCAATAAACCAAATTTAAAGCAAATGTAAAAAGCTGCATACAAATTGCATCATTAGAGCTATATAAACAACTAACATAAGTCCCATTATAATATTAAACTAATTAAATGGCCACTGGAAGAGAACAGATATAACCTGGCACTGAAAGTAAACTTGGTACCAGGCAGGCCTTGATAGGAAGCTTGTTCCACATCTGGGGGCTACCACTAAAAAGTCCTCCCTCTTTTTGCCACCAACTGAGTCTCCCTGGGCGGTGTCAGTCAGAGGCAGTCCCCAGATCTTGATCATAGTGTCTGGGTGAACTCCAGTTGGGAGAGGCATTCTTTCAGGTCCCAAAGCTATGTCAAAAATTGTAAGAGTTTGCTAAGTAACAGGTTTTTTTTCTTTCATTTTCAGGCAAAGAAACTTGCTTTTGGTACTTTTGGAAATTTAAGGAAGAAGAAGCTGGATGATGGTGAAGAATATGTGTGCCCGATGGATTTGGGACAGGCATCAGGAATTGGTTCAAAGAAAGGCTATAAGCCAGGGTTAGATATCAGACTGTATGATGATGATGATCTGGACAGATTGGAGCAGGTAACAGCCATCACAGTGCAGACCTCATTCAGTGTGTGCACACATGTGGTTTATATGCGCTTTCTATATATGCATGGTCTCTGCATTTTTTAGTGAGCTTCGTGAACCGGGCTTTTCAGAGTCCTAGTCCAGTGTACTGTCCACATCACAGTGGATGCGCTATTCTTTGGTTTCTCCCTCTTTTTCCTTTTAAGCAGACTGAGTATGCTGTTCTTCTGCAAAGAGTCCCTCAAGTCCTAGCAATGTTTGCTTCTGAGTAAGTTTTGGAGGAATGGTCTCTATACAAAGCACCAGCATTGCTTGGTTGGCACATTGGGTTGGTTTTGATGCTCGAGCTCCTGAGCTTGTTAGGTGGGCTGCCCTCTTGTTCCATTTGTTCAACTATTTCATGTATCTGTTTTATGTACCATTTGAGCAGTCAGAATCTTTTGTTCCCCTCTCTGGTTCCTCAGGATGGGGCCATGACAGGGCCGTAGGCTTATGCAGCTGAGCTTCCAGCAAGACTGGTGTACAAGGGTGCCCACCGGTGCATAGTCTGTGTCAGCTTTAGCTCGTCTCCTCACTCGAGCACTACTCAAACCTACAAGAAAGCTTTTAAAGTTGTCCTGAAGGTTCTGCTATAGCCCAAGAAATGCTTGTGGTATAGTTTCTGTATTTGTTGATACAGTTTTATAAAACTGTATGGATTTACAGTGATATTTGAATTATTTCACAATCTCTTTCCTTCTTGTAGATGGAAGATTCAGAAGGTACTGTAAGACAAATAGGAGCATTTTCTGAAGGCATCAACAACCTCACTGTAAGTCCTTAAGAATTACTCCTTGCAAAGTGTGATTATTAGCATCACCACTGAAAAACCTTATGCCTGATGCAAATGGTTGACTGTGCTTTTAGATATTTCTCTGCATTGTCCTCAAAATGGGGCAAGATAACATTAAAATATCATTAAAAACTGAGTGTAAAACCATAGCTTTAGCTAAAATGCTTCAGGTTAAAAACCCATAAGATCCCCAGTTGAAGCTCAAGCAGCATCAACTTGAAGCTGGTTAGTAACCGGACTTACTTGTTCAGGTCCATGACAGGTATCCTGATCCTTCCTTTGCTGATTATTCATTTTCTCAGTTCTTTGAGGTACATGCATAGATGTATCCCTCTCATTTAGGAGAAGGGAGTCAAGGTCAAGGAAAGGTTCAGACGTTGACCAGAGCACCTATGCTTCTCAAAAATTCTCCTCTTTTTTTATGCTTTAGTATGTGGGGCTTTCCCCAGAGATTGTGTCCTGACCTAGTCCTCCACTGAATCTGTTGTTTGAAGCTGGCCTCTATCCTTGTTAGCCCCTGGCTGTGAGAAGAATAGAACGAGTAGAATCTAAGGGTAGAAAGATAGCTTTCCCCAGGAAAGGCCCAAGGAACTTTTTTTCTAGCACACATCTCAGCACATTCATGAAGTTGCTTCATAAAGGCTCTGCTCACGGATTCAGTTAGTCCAATATGGTCTACTCATGGTCTGCTTATGGTTTATCACAGCCTTTCACACCCAAGGGACAGCTCTTTCCCATCTTTGATGCCCAACAGCCTTTCAGTAGAATTGCTGGAGATCAAGCCTGGGTCCTTCTCCATGCAGGCCATGAACTCTGCCACTGAACTCAGTGTAAAACAAATTGAATCTGCCACAAACAAAATCAAATCAAAGATCCATCCAGGCTAGTAGGTCTACTCCTCTTGGCAGTATCCCTCTTTCCTGGGACCTTCTGTATCCAGTTACTTGGGACCGTCCATGTACAAAGCAGGTGCTTTGCCCTCATTGGTACCCTGGGTCTGTCTCCTGGCCCTAATTGGAAGCATGTCAACCTTTTGCCTGGCTTCCACTTGGTGTGCAATTCATCCTTGCTTCTTGGCTCTTGGGGTTCAGGAAGTGTTCCAATTGTTCCACTTCTTCTGTTTCTAGCACATGTTAAAAGAAGACGAAATGTTCAAAGACTTTGCCACGCGTTCTCCTAGTGCCAGTATAACAGATGAGGATTCGAATGTGTGATAGAATCGGCGCTGGACACTTCAGTCTCTTGATGCTGCTGCGAGCGTTGCCATTGCATGTGATGGAAACAGTGCATCGTGTTACTAAAGTTGCTTTTGCTTCTGTTAGAAGTGCTATTTTTTGGAGGAGAAGAGGTACTTATTCTAAAGTTGCCATACAATGGAGAAGAAAAACAAATCAGACAACCTATGAGTGAGGGGACTGAGTATTTTTCTCTCTTGTTTTAAAAAGTGACATATTTTAAGATGACTCTACTGCCATAATGTTCCTGCACGTAGGTGTGCCATAACCTGTATCTGTGTATTTCTCTCTCTTCTTCAAGTAATACGAAAAAACAAAATACTTAATTACAGACTTCAGGAATTAGCATCCACTGTAGTTATTTCAGCAGGAAAGAAACCCTGGAATTTCTCGATTCCTATTTCAACGAGCTTATCAAAAGTAAACAACCAATCACATACTCCCCAAAATGGAAATCTTGTTTGTCTTATTTTTATACAATTTTTATTAAAAAAGAAAAATGTATTGAGTACATACAAATCAGAAGTTTTATATTGTGATATAAGGGGATAACTTTTTTTTTTTTTAAAGAGAGGGTTCCAGATTGAAAACCAGCTGGTTACTGGCAAAGTTCGACTGACCTATGATGGCTTGTACCTCCCCAAGCCTTAAGTGATTCCTGCATTCTTACATTAGGAATAAACTGAATCTTGCAAAATTAAAGCCTTTCTCAGTTTTCCCTTTTTTCCAGTGTTAAAATGGAATTTTAGTAACATTTAAATTTTTTGTCATTTCTGGTGTGGCATTGAGAATGCCATATTTTGAGACTGAGAAAGAGCCTGTGACCTTCTGAACAGGTCATTTTCTCCCTCTCATACCCTGCAATGGAAAGTCTTTAAATTTAAAAGGAATATTAGCCAAGTCACTTTATTTTGCAGTATTAAATTGAAATATGATGTCTTGCCTTCTAAGTACAGTTGACAATAATGTAACATACTGACTGATGTTTATACTTGGTTTTTATAAGGTATACCATATATTGACTTTTTAAAAACTATCAAGCTTGCAAAATTCAGATTAGCCAGGGGAAAAAAAGTTGGTCAACTTTCAAGAGAATATATTTGATTCAGTCTTTCTCTTCCCAGTTCTGAAATATTTACAGCTAATTTCTACTTGCATAAAATGATGTTGCAAACATTTTGTATTGTCCTGTTTGAAAGGGATCGGTCTCACTGTAGATGCCAATTTCCATACTTTAAACACTTTGTGCCCAAATTAGGGTTGGTAGTTCAAAGGCTTACAGGAGTGTTAAGTCTGCTCAGGTACTAATAGTGGTGAATGTCAACTCAGGGCCAAGCGTTTTATTCAAATACATATTTTGGCATAAACTGGGTTGGTACCATTTCAGACGGCAAATGAGGAGGGGGAACAGCTTACTGGAATGTTCATCTACTCACATCTCTCTTTCTGTGAAAATCTAGTTTATCAGATATTTCTATCTTTGCTTTCTTTCTGAACATGCTTACTTTCTGCTTCAGTGAGTCCTTAAAAAAGAGGGTGAATATTCAAACTTATGATCCACCAACTGTAGTCTGAAATGGACTTGCGATTTATTTGACTGTATGCTTGGTCCCTAGACTGACTTCATGAACTGATGCTTTAAATGTGTTGCTTCTCACATGTTTATTTACAGTTTCAAAATAGTGCTAACATGGATTGTATTGTGTTTTCAATCATATTACTTTCTGTATCCTTAAGAAGCTTAATCAGAAAAGCTGAGCCGGTGCAGTACATTCAGTGTGGTCTGTCCATTGTTAATAACAGACTCTACCAACTGTTTCATAACCACTTCATTTCATTTGGTATCTAGCTAATTTCAATGAATGCAGGTAACACTCATGCCAGAATTATCACATTTACATTAACTGTGAATCAGTGTATTTATGAACAAAAGAGTTCACTTCCTGGGCATATAAAAAAACACCTGCCAGCAAGCCCCATAGTTCACTTGCTTAAAAAAAGTGCATACATTTTGAACAAGGCCTGTCACCTATAAGCTGGTTTTGCTTTCCATCAAGTGCTGATTGCATAAGATTGGAATAAAGAAGACTGGGTTCACATGCACATATATTTGTAGACTCAAACAACAGTCAGAAGAATTTCTTTGTATCTAGTTGGACTCTTGCATGTATGCACAAAATTAGACTTCTTATCATTTTCAGTTGTGATGTGATTGGAAATTGGTTAAACCTTTGGATCATCTTTTTGCTGGTGGGAAGAATATTTCTTACTCTTATTTCTGTGGGACTTGGGAGGGAAGAGTAATATAAAACATGATTAAGCCAAGTTGTTGACATAATTGTGTGCACATGAAATATCATTATGGTATTTTATTAGGCTGCGTGTGTACAAAGAGGTTAGCACAAACTTACCTGTATTACCGTGTTAAATAAATACTTATGGAGAGAAATGAAATGCTTCTAGGCTTTTATCTCTTTGCTAAAAATATCTGGATTATTTTCAGTAGCCCTTGCTCTCCCTTAGTACAAAGGTCAGACTTTGGATCTTTTATGGAGCAAACTTTCTAAAACATCTGCGCACATATGGAGAGCGTGTGTGGACAGCTTATCAATTTTGTTGGGAGTGCAGCTCAGCAGATATGCAACAGAAGATGCCCATGTATAAATGATGCTAAATGAAAGTTTCTCTGGCAGAGACTCCTGTCTATGTAAAAAGAAGAGAATACTTATCTTTAATTCCACAAAAGAGATCTGCAGAGAATAAACAGGCCCCAAAATACTTAGCAGGTAAGCACTTTGAAATTTTGTATGTGCAAGTAAATTAAAAAAATGCCTTGAAATATGTCTGCAATTCTCTTTGAGACCTCATTGAGCTTGACAAATGAAGAACGAGGGGAAAATATTGGTGAGTGATCCACTGCCTTTCATGTTGTGTAACTTTTGCCTGGTTATTGGTTGTTGTTTATATTCTTAATGAGCTGCTAAGAATTTGAGGAAGTGTTTCTTTTGCTAATCTCTTTTGAGTTTCTTATATGTCAGTTGCAGCCCCCATGGGCTGAGACTGCTCACAGAATGTTGCAGTTGTGTTATGTGTAATATAAAAGGTCAGAAAACTAGGAAGTGGCTGAAAATAGGTTGGTAACATGTACTGCAGCCCCAAGGCACATAACCATAAAACTAAAGATTTGCAGAGTTAGAAGTTATGTTAAAATTACACACATAGGTAAACAAGTTGAAATGGTAATAGAGTGATGGAAAATCAGTGGCATTTCACGTTGCCTGCTGTTGTCCATGTTAGAGAAGCCAGCTATACAACTCTGGACAATTCAGCCAATCTGGGTTTATTGAATAGTAGGATATATCAACATTATTGTGGGTAGTGACAAAAATGAGTTGCTTTTGTTAGACTGGTATTAGTTCATTTCAAACATTAAAGACCGTCCATAATCAATTTCTTATTTCTATTCCACTGGAAAGATCTTGCAAAATGAGTAACTGTGCTGCTGTAGCCCATGTGCATTTTTATTCAGTTGGTTCCCACTGAATTCCTGGGACTTATTCCCAAGGAGATGTGCGCAAGATTGCAGTCACAATGGTATTCCTTATGACGGCTAGGGATTCTGATTTGAATAAAACATGCACTTGTCAGAAGAAGAGTCCCCTGAGATTTAGCAAATGTGTTGTGACATACAAGTCACTTCCTGCTTTGCACATCTGCTTTTCTTCATCTTTCCTAGTTAAGACTGAATTTTAAAAAACTGCACTGCCTGTGTCAACATTCAAGGGAGTGGAAAATGCATGAACACAAAGGAAGTCTTGATACTTTAAGAAAGTAAATAACTCGGCCTGTTCAACTGGAACCAGGCACACCCAAGTTCTGTGCCTGCAAACAGAAAACTGGCCAGTTTGCACGGCATTGCTTTGCTTTGCTTGGGCAACAGCATAGGGACATGCTGCTAACTTAGCAGAGACAGCTCAGTAGCTCAGCTATATTCACTTGAATGAAAAAGCATTACCTTGAGGGCACTTAGCATAAAACTCCACCCTCAGAAAGAAGAGGGGCCAAAAACTATCACAGGAAAAAACTCAGGAAGATAAGGCAGACATCCAAATCATATGTGATGTATTTAGCCAAGGAGTGCTTTATGCATCACAGAAGCTGAAAGAATATCTTGGATTTGAGGATCCACAAAGCAAATTCCACCTATCCATGCATACCCTAAATGAGATTTTTCTGGTCAACTTTATCAGCTTCTGTGTTGAGAAAGGTGTAGAAGAGCGCATCACGACAAGCAAGATGACCAAGCAACAATCCTTGCTTTTTGGAGTTGATTGGGTCTGGACTCTCTCTGGAGCCGACAAGCAAATCAGGCTACAGATTGCTGTGCAGTCTCTGCAGATGGCTGAGCTTCCCAATGAAGAGCAAGCTTTTGAAATTATTGGGAGTAACACAGAAGCAATGGTACCAGATGAGCTTTTTGGAAACAAGAGCAGATTCGAAAGGCTGGAAGAATTCTGCAATCTTGTGGGAAGCAAGTGCCTTGGCTTGTTCATAATGTTTGGTGTTCCTGGAAAGCCGAAAGAGATCAGAGGAGTTGTTCTAGATAGCATCAAAAAGGAAAAACAGAAAAACCTCTTGTCTGGTGAGAATGCCCTCAGAGTATTTGCTTTGAACACTGACAGTTTTCTGCCTACAAGAGAGATGCTGGAATATTGCCTCTCCAAGAAAAATGGGATGAGGGAGGTGGGTAAGGTCTACATTAATTTTCTTTAGCCTCCTGACTGCAAACTCAAAAGGCACCCAACTGAGTAGTCGTGGTGGAATATTGCTTGCAACAGTTTCCTGTATGACCAGTCCTCCATGGCTACTCACAAAATATCAGTCTGTTTTGCCACCATTGACTTGGCAGGAATCAACGATCAAAACACCTCCTTGGACCCAAATCCAACAGACTGTGATTTGCAGATGGTATGCTGGTAAAAAGACAAGTTTTAAGAGCATTCTGTTCTTGCATATATGACAGGACTACATTAAAAAATGAAGATGAAGTATATTATACTCTGCTAGAAAAAGCAAGGACCAGTCAAGTAAGTTCACTGGGTCAGTGAAAATAGAGATTATAACTTATGGCAGGACTTGCACCACAGGTTTTATGACTGACTGTAATAATCTTCACAATCTTTTTCCCTATGTGCTCACCCGCCCCTTGAAATCGGAGGCTGAGGTCCTTCTATGGGAGCCCTCCTTGAAGAAGATGAGGAGGCTAGTTACGCAGAAAACGGCAGTGTCGTCCTTGCAGCAGCGTTGCCCCAACTCTGGAATTTGCTCTCCAGGGAGGGTTGCCTGTGCCATTGCTTTATTCTTTTCAGCATCAGATGACCCCCTTTTAATTTTCCCATCTATTTAATGTTTAATTGGTTTTATTCTGTGTTTTATTATTGAGGTTGGATGCAATGCCTTTTGTTTTCGGGGTTTTTTTTTTTCTTGTAAGCCATCCCGAGATGCTTGTAGTGGACGGCCTATAAAAGCATTGAATAAATAAATGCTTTTTACAAAGCAAGACAAGATTCTGTATTTATTCCAGTAACAACTTTATTAGTGGCATATTGGAATCTGAACAGTTTCTACTATGCTAAGCATGTATTTGTGTGGTAGCATCTTTCACTGAATGCAGTTACATATGGTTGATTTTTTAATATTCTGATTCCTGATGTGCTGTCACTATGCTTTTCAGAGGTTGTTATTATTGATGGTAATCTGTCTTGATTTTTTTCCTCTTGCAAGGAACCCAAAACATATGTACCTTTTCCATGTAATCCCTATGTTGGTGGGATGTCACTTAAGACATTGTGTGGTTTTCCTTTTGAGAATTAGTCTTTTCCACACTGGAGCCCTTGTATGAGAAAATGAACATGCATTGCTCTTTGCTCACATAGAACAGAGGATGCAGGAGTGATGGCTTAAGCGTTTGTATGTGGGGGGTGTAGCTATTTAATTCAAGAGCAAGTTGTTGGATTTGAAGCAAATTTGGTATGTAGAACCATTGTACAATGAAAATTAGTTTTTGGCTGGAAAATCACAAGCAGGAGGATGAGTTGTTTAGAATTGTTAATTTGGGTAGTTTCATGTATCAGCTTTGCACCTAGTGCTCTGACACCAAACTCCTTACACGAAGTAACTATGAGATTTCCCAAAATAGAGGTAAATTCACTGGCAACACTCTGCTGAATGCACAGTATTTTATACAGTACTACAGTGAATGCAAAAAAGAATTTTGGGGAATAATCCGGGTCTTCCTTGTTTTAATTAATCCAAATGGCAAAATGAAAAAGAACTCAAACCTTTAAGAGTTCAGGCAATGTAATTTGATCAAAAACATGTTCATCATTCAATTTCTGCCTCTAATTACTCCCTGAACTACTGCTCCTAGCATACTGCCATTAGGATTGCATACATGAAACTTCTAGCTGCTTGACTTTTAGATCTTGACTCTCTTAATTTTGTGGGTATCTATGTAACTCTGTCTTCCAAAATGGAGGGTTGGAGAACATGCTTTTGAACATAAGTATACTGCTGCAGGCAAGCCAGAGTTTTGCAATCCAGGACCCAAGTTTCCTTTCTAAGCAGTGCATGAATTAAAACAGTTGCACACAGTAACAGGACTAATCAGCATAGCTCTACAGCTGTCATTCATACACTTCGCCTAGAAATATCAAATTACCAGTTAGAGCTATTTAGTTTTTGCTGGCTCACCCTGTCAAAACATTTCTTCTGACTCAGTGACTCAGATGAAGGATCCTGATTATAGGAGAGGATGATGATTAATTGAAGCTGGAGCACTTACCTTTTGTTCCCTTGTTAAAGCACTTTATGGAAATTTAAATTGGTGGCTTCCGAAAGCTATTGTAGTTCTCTACAATATTGTGTATATAAGGAGGGACATGCCAGGATCCCCATGAAATGAGAGAGATAGCAAGACACAGTACTTTAACACATGCATACCTGCAATTTATACATATTTATCTTTCCATAAAATTATCTAGTGCATGGAGCATCCTGGAGACTGCAGCAGGGTGGCTGTTGTGTGAACTGTGAATGGTGCTTCAGACGTAATATTGGGCCATCCAGCATTAAAAGAACAAAAAAGTACAATTCCTGAAGACAAGCTTACTAAAGTTCTTCTGTATTAGGGTCAATGCTTTTTTAACCTAATCATACATGATCTGGAATTAGGATAAGTGGTGAAGTGGCCAAGTTTGCTCAATGCACCAGATTATTTAGGATAGTTAAAGAGACTGTGAGGTACTCCAAAAGGATCTTTCCATGCTGGGAGAAAGAGCATTAAAATGGCAAATGCAGTTCAGTGTAAGCAAGGCAAAACATTTCAAATTCTGATGAGATCTGAGATAGCAGTGACTGACCAAGAAAAGGATCTTAGAGTAGTAGTGGATGATGGCCCAGTGCGCAGTGTGAAAAAACTCCATGCTAGGTATAATTCTGAACAGAATAGAAAAGTGAACTGCTGAATTTTTTCTTCCCTAATACAAAACCATGGCATGACTGCACTTGGTATATTCAGTTCTGGTTGCCTTACCTGAAAAAGGACATTTTGGAAAAGTACAGAGAAGGGCAATGAATGAGAAGCTACTACTGGGACTATTCAGCTTAGAAAAAAGGTGAGTAAGGAAAGACATGATAGAGGTTTTTAAAATAATGTGCACTGTTTGCCACCATTGGTATGGAGTGCTAGACTAGATGATCCTTTGGTCTGATCCAGCATGGCTTTTCTTACATTATTATGTTAAGTCCTTAACTGCTCAAGTCTCTAAAATGTTCTTCTTGCTGGTTTTATTCTGTCATTTTTAATGTTTGAAAATGAGTACAAAACCCCATTCAGTTACATTTGAACATTAACAAAATAAATTCCATAGAGTTAATGATAAAGCAAATCAAGGTTTTATTTCTACCACAAAGATCTGCGAAAATCCAATAGTTCAGTAGACTGGATAATAAAGTAATACAAACGTTTATTTGAACCAAACCAGAGTTATTCAACATCAATAATACATTTAATAAAAGTTAAGGCTCCTTTGCCCACAGTGATGTATAAACATTAAGCAAAACAGGTACTTTATGCTGACTTTGCCTCCTTTTCCTTAAGTGCCTTTGGATAAAGGAATTTAATGTATAGATAGTAGAACTGTTCTAGAGTTTGTTTTCCTCAACCTTTTGCTTTTACTAGCATTAATCAAGAGGACCAAACTAGACACCACACCATTAGCAACTGCATGAGTGGCATTAAAAGAGTAAATTGCAGGAATGGGGAGGGACAACTTTATCCTAATCCAGGCAATCCCCTCCTCCCCCCATGCAATTTACTTTTTCAAAAGCAATGCACATGTTAATGGCATAACATCTGGCATAGCCCTTGATGCTATTACCTTTAGTAGGCAAGCTATGGTGTCAGGATGCAATCCTTTCTTCACATAGGACCTTGCATGTTTTCAGCAGCTCCATCCGCACCATCTAGTATGCAGTAGCTTACTCCCTCTCAGACACTTCACAACTGTTTCTGATTTTGCTGCAAGCAGCCTGAATGCAGGAGAGCTGGAAATGAATCAGATGCTTCAAGGTTGGGCATGTTGACATGAATTGCCTGGTAAGTACATTACAGGAAAGAGGAAAATGATGCTTAAGTCTGATAAGCCCTCCTGTGTGTGGAGGCAGAAAGACTGTGTAGAAAGACAGTTGGACTGCATTGAAAGAAGAAGCAACGAGTCCATATTAGTTACTGCTGAGAACAATATTTATCAAATATTCTAAAGCATTGTGTTTTGGGGTTTTTTGGGCTGTTTGCTCTCAGTTGCATACATGGTATAAAGTCTCAAAAGTGCCTGTGACATGAATAGTTTAATTTGAAGGATGTTGTTTCTTCTGACCATTTTTCAGGAAGCCTAGTACCAGCTGGGTGATTCTTGTTAAAAATCTTCCTCTGTAATAGCGCCAACACCAACATTCACTGTCAAACAGGCAGTGCCTAGTAACAATCTACGAGCACAAGCCCAAGCTCCTTTGAAAGGGAGTTAAGAACCTACCAGTTTTGTGCATAGCTCTATTTCTCAATAGATAGAGTGCTGACTTTTAAGGTTAATTTAAAAAGTTTAAGAAAAAAACCTTGAATCACACACACTTTTAGACAAGTACTAAATTTCACTCTGGAGGAAATTCTGCCACAAAGTGAGTAAGAGAGAGTCTGTCTTCAAGAACGAGAGACCACTAGTTAGCAACTTTAACGTATTTTCAAATCCACACATTTTTGGAATTCCAGTAGTTTCACTCTCCCCTTTATCTAAAATGTGACAGAACTCCAAAATACAGTGGAAAACATAGTATTTTAATATCAAATCCTATTAGACAAAAGCACACATTATATTTAAAATATAGGAAATATTTCTTTTCATAGCTTTTCAACTGACTGTAACATTCTTGGAACATTTGACACTTCTAAACTAAACTCATTACAGCTTAAGTAGACCATAAGCCAGACTTCTTTCCTTGTAAATATATTTTGTATTACAATGTCAGACAATCTTTGCTACTGAAAAAGAATGGGAGAGTTGGGGAAGGGAAGGCTTTAGGAATGAATGTGCATAAAGCTTTGCTTGGGAATGACTAGCAAGATAGAAAGCTGGTGGAGAAAGTAAAACTGATCTGCGGTCTCATTCTATACACAGGTTTCCCCCCATGTGTTTGCATCAAGGAAACAGTAATTTCCGAAATTAGCCAGAAAACCCCATCTTCAAATAAAGGCAATAATGAAGCATTAATGAATAAAACATGCACATTAAATACAAATATTCCAAGCCCTCTCATTCAAAGCTTTGTGACAGAGATGGCTGGAACAAAACCCCTCCTCCACTTATTATCAGCTCAACACCTGGTTATTGATCGGATAGACACACTCTAGGGAAGAAACTCTTTGGTATTGCAACAGCCAGGCTTCAATGCTTTATTCATTAGGAAAAAGCGTTAACATACTCCAGTGCTCTTATTACAGATCTGATAAGCAGAGCAAAGCTAAAATACCAAATACATCATAGTTATCTGTCTATAAAATTTCCAGCACAGCACTAGGTGAAAAAACACAAAGGGTTGTAGCCAATGTTAGTCTTAAGTTCCATTAGTTTTAATGGGTCTCCTCCAATGAGCTCTAACATTGGAAACAATCCCAAACTTGTATAGACACTCTGGCAGGCCGTGTGAACGCACCTCTGCATCAGCCACGCTTTGCCACAAGTTTTGTTCCCAGCTGATCCAAAGTGCTCCCTTCTAGGTTCTTTCCCACCAGCACATTCTACACATCCTGTCTCCACTTCAGTTTAGTAGGCAAATCTCATCTCCTTGGAATAGTTCAGTTTGTCCAGGTTGGGGATGCAGGCGTACTGAATCATTGGAGGAGGGCCGCACATGAGGATGAGAGTATCATCTTGTGGTGGGGGCATGTGGTCCTTGATCATGTCTTGATTCACAAATCCTTGGCTGTAATCCCAATCTGTGTTAGAGAAGATCATTCTTAAATTAACTGCTTAAATGAATGAAATGCCATGCAACTGGCAACCCCCATTCACAAAATGAATGCATTTATATATTCTGCCATTTACAGAGTTTCAAGGAGCATACCAAATGCAAGGAAATGGCATTACTCAGCAGAATCTACACTGGAAACTCAGCTCCAGTAAAAGCAAACAGAAGAGAGGAATACTACAGCATTCATTTCCTAGTGTCTAACAGATAATAAATAACAAAGTAAGTTGCACAAATTTAAGAAGGGAATTCCATGCCCTTGGGTGCTTTGGGCCCCTGTGCCTGTGTTACAACCCACTTAAGCAATAAAGTTGGAGGCACCCCAGAGAAGGGCTTGGATGAAGTTCTTAATTTCCAAGCAGATTCACAAGAGTGGCCAATGCACTTACTGGCTGAGTCACACATGAAGGCCATCATGCCATTATAGTCACAAAGGGACAATGTGCGTCTAAAAAGAAGCCATATTACAGAGCAATCCTACCAGCAGGAGCTAGGTGGATATTCCAGGGTAGTTCTTCTTCTGCGAATACCCAAAGCCCTGTTGACCCACTGGTCCTATTTGCATCATACAGTAAATCATGATTCAGAAAATCAACTATGCAGTGTGGCCTATATGTCCAACACACAGTCAGGCTCACCAGGGGCTGTCCCAGTCCTCCCTTGGTTCTTCTGTTGGTCCTCCATGGGACTTGGCAGCCAAACCTTTCGTATTTCCTCTCTGACCATGACCCCTTTGGGGTTGCTGCTGCTACTAGTTTTCCCCCTATTTTTTCCACATCCCTTTCATGAAGTTCCTCAGTGGCAGCCCCTCCAAAGTGTCCAAGTGGCACTTGGGTTACTACCATTTTTTGTATCAGAAATTTGTGCAAATAAATATATATATATATTTTGGTTAGTCTTCTGGAGATGTAAAAGGGCACCCCTCTGAAGAATTGAAATGTGAAGCCTTGCCTGATAAGCACCTCCTGTCTAAATGCAGAAGGCAACATGCATGGACATTAATAAAGCAAGGCTACAAGGAGTTTGACAGCTGGCTAAAAAGAGGGAATCTATTAACTGGTGTTTCACATAGTTATTTTGGCAGATATTATGGCAGCATATGAAATCTGCCAGAACCCTGTTTAACTTGTCAAAAACTCTGCTTTAATAAACATGCTTTTGAATCCATATTCACAAAAAAGAATGTGTGAGGGTTTATAGATCTTGCCTACGGATTCAGCGGAGGACGATGCGAACTCTTAGGGCGCTATTTAAAAACTAGAGGATCATTTTCCCAAGGAGATCTCCTCACCACCCTCTTCTATAAGCAAAGATCTCCATGAACTTTGCTTTCTCTTGACAGCTTGCCAATTGACGTACCAGCTAGTTGGAGGTAGGCACTCACTTCCAGAAGACTAACCAATAAAATATTTGCACATGCCCCTGGTGCTTTTGGAAAAATGGGTTGGTGAACCAGTGATGGCTGCTCCAAGGTGCCATTTCAGCACTTTAAAGAGGCTCTTGCTAGGAAATGTTGCAAAGCAGCTCTGAAGGAAGAAAAAAGTGGGAGGAAGTTGCAACACTGACCAGAAAGGGTTTGTACTGGGAACAGTGAAAGCAAGCCAATGACAGTCACACAAAAGTGCCACCAAGGGGAATGGCACTGCTGAATCCAAAGGGCACCAAGTGGTTTTTGCCCTTCTTGCTTAAGCAGGTTGCTCACTCGCTCCCTGGACCCACAAATACGTTCTATTCCATGGTTTGGATGACACAACAAACCATCATGGACTGAACAGCCAATATGGGCTGTAGATAGTCAAAGAGGCCTAGTGTCCCAAAACAAGTGACCCTATGGGAAGCAGCCCAGGTTCCGTGCCCACAATGAGTCGTCATGTTGCATGTTCCCACTTTCTGTGTCTGTATGGAGCTTTTCCCTACTTTGTTTCCCCCCACCCCCTTCTTCCAACAGGTCTCTTCTGATATGCCCTTTTGGGTCCTATGGCTGCTGGAACACTGTTACACTGGTTGTGAAATAAAGTACTTACTTTCAGGTGCTCTGTCTAATGTGTACCACAGTTTAAAGTGAGCTGGGTGCTGAACCTGCAATTCCTCGAGTTCTGGGCGCAGCAGAATATCATTCTCAGTCTATCCAAGAAAGGAAAAAGTTAAGACTTCTACTTTATATGTCCTCTACTGTAACACTTTAAAAGATATTAGGCCATAGGACTAGGATGATAATAGGAAGCAAATCTGATCCATAGTTTGAGAGCTATCACTTCAACTTGCTTTTCAAGCTCAGGTAAGGCTTTTTGGCTTGCTATGAGTAAACCTGGCTCTCTAATTTGCATGTGGCACCATGCACCTTGATATCATGAGCAAAATAAACCGAAATCTAGGAAGCTTTTGTATTGCAATATGTAACTGGACCCACAAGATAGCACAGTGCAAAGTTCACTGGGTTGTCTTTGACAAGCAACTTCAGCCACTTTCCAGACAGGCTGGGGAACATCACTTGAGTGAGGGCTGCTAGCCCCCACTTCAAAGAAAGAACTCCTGCCTCTAAAAGCAAGGGTGAAAGGGCAAATACTTGTAAGAGTAGTCATGCTATTGATATATCCAGAGAAGCAATATTACACTAAGCAAAATGATTTGGCACCAAACAAAGTATTATATTTAGAGTTTCAAGGAAGGAGAAGTTATTTGCACCTGCTATCAGAGGAAGTCTATTTCTGGAGCAGGGTCTGCTACAAAAAAAAGTTATTCTTGGATGGGATTATCTGGAGTCCAATGTCATAAAGGAAGATAATGTAGAAGTAACTTTGGAGGTGCAAAGCTCCCTATGAATCAACCACAGGGCTGCAAGACTGCAATAAGTAGACTGATCAGCAGCAAATGAATCTTAATATAAATTTCCTTGGACAGACTGAGGTTCAAGAGTGTACTTGGTAGTGAGACTACAAAGGATGGACAGATAATGCAAAGTAGGTTGACAATGTAGTCCTATAAATGACTATTCAGTCAACATGCTTTCTTACTAGGTAAATGGTTACAAGATTGAAATCTCAGTTACAGTTCAAGGTAGCTTATGCTTCCTTCATTATTAAATAATAATTTTATCAAGCTTATTAAATCAATGGATTCACTGCCAGCCCTCTAAAACACAAGTCAGATAAACAGCATAACTGGGAATATGAAGAAATCACAACTGACCTCAGGCTTAACAGTACCAATAAATGCTCAGAAACAAAGAAGTCCAGGTCTAAAGTCTAGGAAAAGGTACTGAAATCAAGCAGAAGCATCCCAGTGAACTTCTGGGATGGGATACCACAGAACAACCCTAGGTAAGTTGCTCTGAATGATTCCAAGTCAGGGAACATAGCTACACATGGATCTGAAAGGGGAGCCCATGTTTATTTCTGGAATAAACATGAACAGGGTGAATATTTTATTCATGACTCCTGGATATACAATTTGGATATTTAGTATTAAACACCCACCACCCTATTTTTCTCAGACATGGCAAGATGCTGCTACTCATTCACTTTACTATCTCACCAGGCATAACACTGAAGATGTCTATTTACCTGGTTAGCAAAGAGTAAGTGACAGACAGTGGTGTCATCTTTGTCCTTGATTATAGCCCGAATGAGCTGCAACATAGGGGTAATTCCTTCATGGATCCAAAATAGAAAAACAAAAAACCAGCAACAATCAACAAAAGCTCATTAAGAGTACAAGGTAACCCCACAAAAATGAATCTCATTTGTACCTGTTCCTCCTGCGATCATCCCAACCTTTTTCACATGCTTAATAGCTGGTTCAGATTTCTTGTCTGGACGAATGGCAAATACACCTGCAGAAGCAGTGCGAAAAGTGAAAATTAGGACTATGGGTAGATGGAGAAAGTTGAAAAGAATGAAGGGGAATGTAATACTCCCCACCCTACTTCCTTAACCTGATAAAGAAGAATAAAAAGCTCAGAGGAATGAATGTGTTACTCTGAAGGTGAAAATAAGCACTATCAAAGTGGGGTAGAGTGCATGTTGAGAGCTCAAGCAGGATCATATCTTGATTCCATCCAGAGCAGAAGTGCCTGGATCTCCACCAGGATCTTTTGCCTCTTGCTCTGGTTTACCTCTTGTGAGCCTTGCAAGAATATCTGGAAAACCCTCGGTCAGGGCCACAAGGGCAGTGCTCATGCTTTAACACTACCAGGGTTTTGCATTAAGAAGTGCAACTCTGTATGTGCTCTAGTATAGGGCTCACAGTCTCCCCTCCTCTCTTTGTGCACATGCAAGGAGGACATGTAATGCATCCACTGTCTGGTTATCAAACCAGCTTCTTGTCCTAGACTGGGAAATGCTGGTTGGTTACAAACCATCCCCAGAGGCTTAGACTTCTCTTGCATGCAAGGAAGTAGAGGGGGGAATGTGTGAGTCTATGGGCAACTGAAAGCTTATTCACACAATGCTAGTTTTTATTCTGAATATGGCTAAAATACTTCTGAACCTCGGCTTGACCTAGGATGGACAAGGTTAGATTTTGTCAACTCAGTAAAAAACAAGGAGGATTAATATATTTCTATGAGCATTCTGTGCCACTGTTGGCCCAATTCAAAATATCAAAAGACTCCAACATGTGCATAGAGAAAGTTCAAGTTTAATTGAAAAAGAACTACTTGCTTTAAGGAAAAGGACATTCACTTTCTGGAATTACTTGTTTTGTGGCATCCAGTATCAAATGAAAACACAACACCTCGATTTGTTATGGACAACATGTTACAATGTTGGAAAGAACACATACAAAGTGGGCCACATTCCTAGACCTCCAGCAATTGATGCCTTCAAGAGAACATTCTAGCAGGTGCAGCTTCTCATCTCTCTCTGTTGGACAAGAGATCATTCTACACTTCTCTGTAGGAGACCAATCTTACATCTCATCTAGTCAAACTACACACAGTGCTTTGAGCAAGTGAGTATTACTGGATTTAAAGACTCTACTGCTAACCTAAAATGGAGTTTTAAAAAAATGAATGTTCATAGTCTGTTAGTCATCCTTAAGCAAAAGACTAGAGTCTCACTCTCTGAGGATGTTAGAGCAATGTATGGCACTGAGGCATTTTTCTCCAATTCTTACAAGCTGCAATATGTTTGCAAAGTTCTTATTTTATAAGGTATTTATAAAAGTTAGTCTTGCCTTTCCCTTTATACACAAGCAGTCCGCTGGGTCCACGGAAGTCAATGGTGTCCCCATTCTTTAGGTTCTCTAAGTATTGTGACATTTTGCCTCCTTCGGGGAATTTGGGGTGAACTCCTTTGAAATAGATCTATATAAAAAGTGAAAGAAATGAGAAAAGGTTACCTTTAAAAGCAATCATTTGTTCCTGAATCAGGTTAGATTCAGGTATTATAAAGGGGGCTGTTGCAGATGTGCGGGAACGTTGCAATACAATGATGAGAAGCAGCTCTCTTGCTCACATACAAGCATCTGTAGGTGGTGGTGGGGGTATCCCTGAAGGCTGGATACCACCCAGATGTCCTTGTAATACAGTACTTCAAATACCTGTCATTCTTAAGCCAGCCTGGGGAAAATGAGGTCTGGCACATCCTGTTTGACTGCAGTTTCCATCAGTTCTTGACACTGGCTATGCTGGATAGGGATGAGGAGAGCTGCAGTCCAAGAACGTCTGGATAACCACACATTCCATAATCTAAGAACATCTGGAGGGCTACATATGCTGCCAGAGAAGGACTGTCCTCAACAAGCTAAGCCAAATGCTTTTACCTTCACAACAAGATCCACATAACCTTTGTCATCATCACTGCTGACTGGTGTGTAGGGCCTGATCACTAGATTCCCATCAATCCTTGTAGAGAGGTAAATGTGCTGCCCTATAGGAGAATGAAAAAATGAATGGTTAAAGCATATTAAGCTTTGAAGAGGATGAAGAAACATACGCTCCTTCCAGTTATGAGTCTTACTGGGTACTATTCTACCCTCCCAAAAGAGTTCTGTAGGCAGAGTTCATAGGCCTGTAGAGTTGGAAGAGGCCAGTAAGGCTGTAGAGTTCAATCTCCTGCTCAATGCAGGACTCCAATTTAAACTATTTGTGGAACTAATCAAATCAATAAAAGGAAAATTTCAACAAATCCAACTAAATTCAAGATTGGTCTCTAAGCCTCCTCAACTTGAATTTAACAATCTCTACATGGATCTGACTCAAAGGTAGATTTCCTCAAGAAACTATTATTTGTTTTATGTTTATTATTACTTGTATATACTTGCCATTTCTCCTACAAGAAGATCAAGGCAGCATAAATAGATCTTGGTTCATCCTCACAACCAGCCTGTGGAGTAGGTTAGGCCAAGAAATAGTGACTGGCCTGAGGTTATCTAGTAAGCTTCAGTCAGGTGGTGACTTGAACCTGGTTTACCCTAGTCACATAGTTTGACACTCATCACATTGGCTTATATCTTCTTTGAGCTCCTAGGTGTGAAAGCCTAAAAAGTCAAACTTTCTCATAACCAGAAATGCACTCCATACCTTCAGACCAATCTATGGCTCTTCCATCACTTTCTTAATGCCTTCAGAAGTATCCATTATGCAGAAAATATGGCTTGTGGGGCAATAATTTTGGGTATTCTTCTCTACAGCCGTCATAATGCAAATTTTCCCTATGTTCATGCTATACATCAGTAACTCAAAGCTTGTGAGTTGTTTTCTTGGTTGCCTCACCACTGACTACCTGGTTATACTGAATTAAAGGTTTATTTGAAGAAACATCTTTCAAATCTAGAACAGGACATGGTTGTCAGTTACTTCTGCTCTTTCTCCAAGTTGGGAAGATGCTAGAACATATTTCCAGTGAAAAAAAAAGAGATGGACAGTACAAATGTAACTGTGTTTTCCTGGATAAATCATTTAGAGAAGGGACTGATCTAAAGGACTCTTGGATTGAAATACTTCAAGCAAGAGGTTTTATGGCATTGCAATATCTAGGCCACATACTTGATAATGCTTCAAGCAGCTGTCTCCACATTTCCATGCATTTCATGCAGAAAACTTAAATTCTTCATATATGAATTGCATTATCTTCCATTATAGTACAAGAGATGACAGCTTCTCAAGATTGAGAGCTGTTAACTTGCACATAAAATTGAAGCTGGGCTGATATAGTGTAGGTCAGGGAGTTGGGTGTGGAGAAACACTGAGGAAATGTTTAAAGATACAGACTGAAGTAACATCTGTTTAATGGCAAAGGCAATGCTGCAAAGCACACTGTTAGACTAAAAAGGTGATCCATTAGTCCCTGGACAGAAGTAAGCTCATCAGCGTTTTCATAATGATGATACTTAATGGTGGAAGGAATGTTTAAGAAGCCTATGGATTATGGGTAATGCATGCCAATGTGTAGCAGTAACAAAAAAACCTCATGGCATCTTCTGTAAACAAGAAGATATTTTCAGTCTCAAAACCCAAGAATAAAAGGAACTTGAGTACTTATGCTATTTCTGTTCTGCTCAACATCACTGAAAATATACTGGGGTAGGAAGAAAATGAATTTGGATCTCCTGGTAGTTCTGCGTTTCTGCCCCCAACTGTCTAAACAAGTGAGCTTTTCTCTCAAAATATGGATGCTTGGAGGAAAAGCAGGACTGAATATTTTGTTGAGCTTGGTTCTGTTACTAACCACAAATTTCAAGTTAATTCATAACTTATGCCCGCTCACCTGTGCCACAATCTTGTACCTGGTTGTGGCTGATGAGCCTTCAGGTTCCAATAAAACACAAAGCAGATCCTGTTAGACTGAAATCTGCCCACTTCTGATTCTACTCATAACTGTTGCACTGGTGTTTTATTATAGTCATGGATATAACAGTTGTGACAGAAATAAGAAATAATTTTTATTTCATCACACCACTTAAGATTTCCTAGATGTTTTAACTGAACTTTCCATGGTCCATTCCTAGCAAGAGTTGGAAAAAGAGCAGAAAAGGACAACTAAAATGGTGAAGGGGCTGCAGCAACCCCCTATGAAGAAAGGCTACAACAGTCCAACTGTTTAACTTGTGAACAAAGATGAATAAGAGGAGATGGGATAGGTGTGCAAAATTATACAAGGTGTGCAGAATATGGAGAGAAGACCATATTTTCCTTCTTCCATAATACTAGAACCCAGGGATATCCCATGAAGCTGATTGGTGGGAGATTCAAAACAGATAAAAGGAAGCACTTTTCACACAGCCCATAATTAAACTATGGAATTCACTTACACAAGATGCAGCAAAGGCCACAAATTTGGATGACTTTAGGGAAAATTGGGGGAATGGACCATTTCATGGAGAAGAAGGCTATTAATGGCTACTAGTCTTGATGGCTCTATGTTACCTCCAGTTTCTGAGGGCATATTCCTATGTGCACCAGTTCCTGGGGAACATAGGTGGGAGAGTGCCTTTGTATTTAGGTCCTACTTGTAGGTTTTCTGTGGGTTAGCCCATGGGTGAATGTAATGCTGAATTAGACTTGTTCCAACTCTTCTTATCAGAGGCTATATTCCTATGTTGACTCAGAGAGAGAGCAGGATGCATTTCCCTGTTCTGTGTGTCTTTGAATATTCAAAGGAGCCAGCAGTCTTCAATTATAGATCAGCCAATCAGCCATCAAGCAGGAAAATATACTAACTACAGACATAACAGCCAAGGACATTTACTCAATCGCCATCCCAGTCCCTCCAATAGTGCACAGAACGCACAAAGAAAGTTGCCACATTGTTCTCTCTTTACCTGGGGTGCCACTTTTGCCCAAGTTGAAGGTGGGCGGACAACAGACACATTAGTGTTGCCTTGCACTGCCTTTTTGGAACTTTTTTAAAAAGTCAATGTTAACCAAATTTAAAGAAAGAAGATACATTATGATTAGCTAACTATGATTCAAGCACTGACCTAATCCAAATCTGGTTATTTTAAGTACAGCTGCGACATATTTTTAGGTTCTGCAAATCTGCTGAATATTTTAAAGCATGTACAGTCATCCTAGTGGCCGTAATTATTTTTCCATTCAGTCTTATAACCCGGTTGTTGTTAGTTGCGAAGTCGTGTCTGACCCATCGTGACCCCATGGACAACATTCCTCCAGGCCTTCCTGTCCTCCACCATCCCCTGGAGTCCACTCAAGCTCACACCAACTGCTTCAGTGACTCCATCCAGCCACCTCATTCTCCGCCATCCCCTTCTTCTGCCACCTATTGTTCCCAGCATAGACTCTTCTCTAGGGAGTCCTTCCTTCTCATTAGGTGGCCAAAGCATTTGAGTTTCATCTTCAGGATCTGGCCTTCTAAAGAGCAGTCAGGGTTGATCTCCTCTGGGATTGACTGGTTTGATCACCTTGCAGTCCAAGGGACTTGCAGGAGTCTTCTCCAGCACCACAATTCAAAGGCCTCAATCCTTTGGCACTCAGCCTTCCTTATGGTCCAGCTTTCACAGCCATACATTGCAACTGAGAAAACTATAGCCTTGACTATAAGCACTTTTGTCGGCAGGGTGATGTCTCTGCTTTTAAGTATGCTGTCTAGATTTGCCATAGCTTTCCTCCCCAGGAGCAAGTGTCTTTTAATTTCTTGGCTGCAGTCCCCGTCTGCGGTGATCTTGGAGCCCAGGAAAATACAATCTGTCACTACCTCCATTTCTTTCCCATCTATTTGCTAGGTGGTGATAGGAGCGGATGCCATGATCTTAGTTTTCTTGATGTTGAGTTTCAAGCCAACTTTTGCACTCTCCTCCTTCCCCAGCATCAAGAGGCTCTTTAGTTCCTCTTCACTTTCTGCCATGAAAGTGGTATCATCTGCATATCTGAGGTTGTTGATATTTCTCCCAGCAATCTTAATTCCAACTGGTGATTCATCTAGCCCCACCTTTCTCGTGATGTGCTCTGCATAGAAGTTAAATAGGCAGGGAGACAGTATACAGCCTTTCTCAATTTTGAACAAATCAGTGGTTCTGTGTCCAGTTCTCACTGTTGCTTCTTGACCTGCATATAGGTTTCTCAAGAGACAAATAAGATGGTCTGGTACTCCCATCTCTTTAAGAACTTGCCACAATTTGTTGTGATCTACACAATCAAAGGTTTCAGCATAGTCAATGAAGCAGTCGTAGATGTTTTTCTGGAACTCCTTAGCTTTCTCCATGATCCAGGGTATGTTGGCAATTTGATCTCTAGTTCCTCTCCCTCTTTGAAATCCTACCTGTACTTCTGGTAGTTCTCGGTCCACATACTGGTGGAGCCTAGCTTGTAGGATTCTGAGCATAACTTTGCTAGCATGTGAAATGAGTGCAATGGTGCGGTAGTTCGAACATTCTTTGGCACTGCCCTTCTTTGGGATGGGAATGTAAACTGACATTTTCCAATCCTGTGGCCACTGTTCAGTTTTCCAAGTTTGCTGGCATAATGAGTGTAGCACTTTTACTGCATCGTCTTTTAGGATTTTGAATAGCTCAGCTGGAATACTGTCACCTCCGCTAGCTTTGCTGTTGCTCAGACTTCCTAAGGCCCATTTGACTTCACATTCCAGGATGTCTAGCTCGAGGTCAGTGACCACCCCATCGTAGTAGTCATTAGGGATGTTAAGCTCTTGTATAGTTCCTTTGTGTAATCTTGCCCCCTCTTCTTAATCTCTTCTGCCTCTGTTAGGTCCCTGCAATTTTCGTCCTTTACCATGTCCATCTTTGCATGAAATGTTCCCTTCATATCTCCAATTTTCTTGAAGAGATCTCTGGTCCTCCCTATTCTATTGTTTTCTTCTATTTCTTTGCACTGTTCATGTAAGAAGGCATTTTTTTCCTAGCTATTCTCTGCAATTCTGCATTCAATTGGGTGTATCTTTCTCCCTTGCCTTTAGCTTCCCTTCTTTCCTCAGCTATTTGTAAAGCTTCCATTTTGCTTTCTTGCAGTTCTTTTTCTTTGGGACGGTTTTATTTGCTACCTCTTGTACAATGTTGCGAACCTCCGTCCATAGTTCTTCAGGCACTCTGTCTATCAGATCTAATTCCTTAAATCATGGTATCCTTCTGGATAGGCTTGCGGGATTGGGGGTTGGAGGCACTGCTTTGCAGTGGTTCCGCTCCTATCTCAACGGTCGATTCCAGAAGGTAGTGCTGGGGGACCATGTCTCTACGTCATGGCAGTTATGCCATGGAGTACCACAGGGCTCCATTCTATCCCTCTGCTATTTAACATCTATATGAAACCGCTGGGAGAGGTCATCAGGAGGTGTGGACTGCGGAATCATCAATACGCTGATGATACCCAGCTCTACCTCTCGTTTTCCACTAATCCAGGTGAGGCAGTGGCTGTGCTGAACCGGTGCTTGGCCGAGGTAAGGGAATGGATGAGGGCCAATAAACTGAAACTCAACCCAGACAAGACGGAGGTCCTGTTGGTTGGCGGATTGGGTTTCGGAGAGGGTGGATTTGACCTGGTCCTGAATGGTGCAACACTCCCTCTTAGGGATAAGGTCCGCAGCTTAGGAGTACTCCTCGACCCGGAGCTTTCTTTGGAAGCTCAGATGACAGCGGTGGCGAGGAACGCCTTCCTTCAGCTTCGGCTGATTAATCAGCTGCGCCCCTACCTGGAGTACGACTGCCTGGCGACGGTGACACACGCGCTGGTGACTTCCCGCCTAGACTTCTGTAACGCGCTTTACGTGGGGCTTCCCCTGAAGACGGTCCGAACACTTCAATTGGTGCAAAATAGAGCTGCCAGGTTGCTGACGGGGATGGGGCGTTATGCTCACATGACTCCAGTCCTCCGTCAACTTCAATTCAAGGTGTTGATTATGACCTATAAAGCCCTAAATGGCTTGGGTCCTGGCTACCTGAACGAGCGCTTACGTCCATATATGCCCGACCGCCCTTTGAGATCTGCGGGAGAGTCCATTCTCCGGGAACCCTCCATGAAAGAAATTAGGAGAGTAAGTACTCGGAGGAGGGCTTTCTCTGTGGTGGCGCCCAACCTATGGAATTCACTCCCCAAAGAGGTCCGCCTGGCACCGTCGTTACTGGTTTTTCGGCGCCAGGTAAAGACCTTTTTATTTAAACATCATTTTAATTGTTAAAACATATGATCTGGCCAGGGCAGCTTCTTCTTCCTTCTCTTTTCTCCTCCTATATTTTTATTTACTTATTTTATACTGATAATTTTAATTTTATATTTGTAACAGTGTATTTTTTGTATTTTTGTATTTAATGGTAATTTATTATGTTCTATTGTATTTCAATGTATTTTATTGTGTTGTAAGCCGCCCCGAGGTTTCGGCAAGGGGCGGCATAGAAATGTTATAATAATAATAATAATAATAATTATAATTATAATAATTTGTCACCTCTACTGTATATTCATCAGGGATATGAATTAGGTCATACCTGAGTGCTTTTCCCTACTTTCTTCAATTTAAGCCTAAATTTTGCAACAAGAAGCTCATGATCAGGGCCACAGTCAGCTCCTAGTCTAGTTTTTACTGACTGTATAGAGCTTCTCCATCTTTGGCTGCAGAGCACATAGTCAATCTGATTTCTGTGTTGACCGCCTGGTGATGTCCATGTGTAGAGTCGTCTCTTGGGTTGTTGGAAAAGAGTGTTTGCTATGACCATCGTATTCTCTTGATAAAATTCTACCAGCCTGTGCCCTGCTTCATTTTGTACTCCAAGGCCAAACTTGCCTGTTATTCCAGTTATCTTTTGGCTTCCTACTTTAGCATTCCAATCCCCCAGGATGATATGGACATCATTTTTTGGTGTTAATTCTAGAAGGTGTTGTAGGCCTTCATAGAACTGGTCAACTTCAGCCTCTTCAGCACCAGTGGTTGGGGCATAGACTTGGACTACTGTGATGTTAAGTAGTTTGCCTTGGATTTGAACTGAGATCATTCTGTCATTTTGGAGTTTGTATCCCAGTACTGCTTTTCCTACTCTTTTATTGACTATGAAGGCTACTCCATTTCTTCGGAGGGATTCTTGCCCACAGTAGTACACCTGATGGTCATGTGAATTAAATTCACCCATTCCTGTCCATTTTAGTTCACTGATTCCTAAGATGTCGATGTTCAGTCTTGTCATTTCTTGTTTGACCACGTCCAGCTTGCCTTGATTCATGGATCTTACATTCCAGGTTCCTATGGAGCACAGATCTTTGCAGCATCGGACTTTCCTTTCACTATCAGATACATCTGCAACTGAGTGTCCTTTCGGCTAGTACTAGCTCTCTGTTCTTCCCCAGTAGCATATTGGACACTTCCTGACCTGAGGGGCACATCTTCTGGCGTCATATCTTTTTCCCTTTGGGTACTGTCCATGGGTTTTTCATGGCAAAGATACTGGAGTGGGTTGCCATTTCCTTCTCCAGTGGATCACGTTTTGTCAGAGCTCTCTGCTATGACCTGTCCATCTTGGGTGGCCCTGCATGGCATAGCTTCATTGAGCTATGCAAGCCCCTTCGCCACAACAAGGCAGTGATCCATGAAGGAGCTTATAACCCTAGGTCATGCTAATATAAAGATTAAGAAACACCAATGTCTTACAATCAAAACAGCAGGTAAATAAATGAAATATAAATCAGTAAATACTGCCAGATAAACCTAAATATAAAATCCCACAATAGTAACTGCCAGTTTAAGAAGTTGCTGTTAACCAAACAAGAAATTAATCAAAAACAAAATTATTAAGGGTATAATAGTTGTGTCAGGACAATTAAAGAAGTAATAATGTGTATTTCTGAAGGATAATAACTATAATAAAAGGAGTATGGGGAAAATTCTTTCCCACTGAGCTAAACTCCTTCTATCAATGAAGAAGAGCAACAACAGCTATGGAAATGTAGAGGAGGAACTGATGCCTACAAAGATTGCTCTTCTCTAAGCCCACAATCCAACCAAATTACTTTGCTTTCTATTTTATTCCCTCCTCAAACTTAGTTACATAATAGAAGGTACAAAACAATGTTAAAAATGTTAATTTCCTTCATCTAAAACATACCAATAGGAAGGCCCAGGACGTGTTGTGGGGATGGCAGGGCAAAACGAAACCTTCTGGTGTCATGGCTGATATTCTGGGGAAGGAACAGTAGCCATGTCAATACTTAGAAAGCAACTGCCTTTTTACACATGCACTATCCAAACTTAGAAATGTATAGTCATAAATAAAGCTAATTGTCTTCAAAATTAAGCATATTCCAGGAGATGCTTGCTCATAAAGAAACTAAACACACAGCTGTGCATTTTTGTTTACTTGTTAACAAAATTTCCTCTAGGGTACTCCCTATCAACCATTCCCCAACTGGTAGATTAGAAATCAGAAAAGTTGCGTATCTTGTGATCAGGAAACTTAACTGACAGCAAAGTTCATATCCTAGCTGGTTAGGACAGGTAGATCCTAAACAAAGAGCTGATATACATATTTAGAAAAATAACGACCATTTCAGAAAGCATGAACTAAGTTGGACATTTAGTTGGATTTCATGTATTTCAAGACCATAATTTGTTGTCTGTAGCAATTAAGGACTGGTCCATAAATAGGCCTGGTTCACATACAGCAACAACCCATCAGTCTAAAAAAATGTTTGGTATCAAAGCCAATGGGCTGCTGTGTATGAGCACACTTGTCTTTTCCACTGCAGTGCTTCTACAGTTGGCTTCATCTTGGATTATGCAGCCTTATGTATAAACCCAGATCACTAAATGGACCAGTTGACTTCCATTCTGTTAGGTGGCTTAGCCCCTAAGTTCACACATCATGCTGCACAACCTATGAAGGAACAGATCTCGATTTATACATTAAAACAGAAGAGGCAGGCCCTTGCCAGGCAGTGTGCCTGCTCATGCTCAACAAGCCATTAAATTTTAAACTGATACAGTGTTCTAATTCCATGCTAACAGGGCCAGTGATTATAGGCTGAATGTGTGAACTGGAACTGCCTTAAAGCTTTTCTTTTAAAGATGACACTGGGCAGTATAGAAGTTACATTTGTGTTTTGTATTTGCAATGCTCCATTCAAACTCCTTAGGCACCACTGGCAGTTATCAAGTGATGAATATACATGCATGATCCCAGCTTGGCAGACTGGGCTCTCTTTAATACACTGGACAAGCATTAGACATGTTGCTGTCCTCCCCACCTGTATTATCAAGTGACACAGTACTTCAGTTGCTGAGCAGTTGAAAAGTACAACCAATCAGAAAATCTTTACCAGTCAATGTTTATGAATTCATAGATTGGTCTAAAGGCATTTTCAGATAGTAAAATTATACCCTACTCTAGAAAGGTGGGACATGTGGTATATTCCCAATAGCATACTACAGTCTGCATGGTAAATTTATTACATCTATTAGAACCATTTGTATATTCTGTTCTGTCTGAACTGGGAGTGTGGGCAAGAAATGAACGTTTATGAATGTTTATTACCTCTTTGTCGATCAGCCTCAATGCATATTTCACTTCTGGATCCTCTAGAGTAATGGAAGGCTTTGATTTGGAGAAAAGTCTCATGATCAAGTTGATTACAAAATATACTGGAGACAGTGCAATGTTTCCCAACTGTAAAAGAAAACAAGAGCATTAAGCTGACTCCCATAATTCATAAGATATATGGAAACAAGTCCACATGAGTAAACTGCTACGAGCATAATTTGTTAGGGTGGAACACATCTGGTTTGTGGCTTCTACTGTGGAGGATTCTGCCATTATGCACATAACATTTATCCTGCAAGTGATACACAGTGTATTAAAGGTACAGTGGTACCTCGGTTCATGAACTTAATTCGTTTCACAATTCTGGTCGTGAACCGAGTCAAATTTCTCCATAAAGTTCAATGTAAATAAGGTTACTCCGTTCTGAAACATATGTAAATTTTTTTAACCACAAAAATATGTAACAAAGTACAGTACAGTGTGGAGAGAGAGAACACTAACCTTACTTGAGGCAACTTCTGGCATGGAGGACAGGAAGGTGGGTGGGGAGGAGCTTATGGTCTGCAACCATGATCTCAACTAGAGGAAGCCATGACCACGTGTCAGAGTGGGGAAGATGGCTGCATTCATGTTTATACAAACATGAACGCAGCCATCTTCCCCGCACGAACACACTCTGACATGTGGTCGTGGTGCGAGTAAGATGGCTGCGATTGTGTTCGTCACCCAATGCAGAGTTTGTGAACAGGAGCAAAATTTTGCCGAACTTCAGTTCATGAACTGAACTGTTTGCGAACAGAAGCATTTGTGAACTGAGATAGTACTGTATTCATTTCTTCCTATAGGTAATGTACTCAAATTATATTAGTATGAAACAGAAAGGGTACATATAAATATATATATAGCTATTTATAGTTTTTAAGTTCTTCACATACAGTATTTCAGTAATCCTTGAAAAAATGGTACAGGTTAGTGTTGCTATCATCATGCTGTACATGGGAGGGATCTGGTTACAGCTAAGATATGGAGGCTTTGTTCAAGGCTAGGTGCTGCATTTGTGGTTGAGACGGTATCTGAACTGGAGATTTCTCCAGCGTATTCTCATAAACATTACAACAAATACTCTGCCACCCACAGGCATATATAAGCTCTCTCTTTCCAAACAGTGACATGCTCCAAGAGACAGTGCTGGGTTTAGTTGATTCTGACAGAGATCTCACTGGAGATTTATGGAGTGCGCTTTATAAATGTAAAGCATAAGATGGGAGCAAACACTAATCTACCACCCTACATCCATTCCCCAAGGTGCCTTCAGCCAACTCTCAGCTTTGTCGCTGCCTCTTCTGTAGCACCTATGCCTGTTTTTCACATATACACACACCTGATCCTGCTGTTCAGCTGTGTTCCATGCTCCCTAAGCTCTGTCTGATATGTCATTTAAAAACCACAGAGATTTCCAACTATAGGCCTCCACCATGCAACCATTCCATAACCCAGCAATTTGCCTAGTAAAATAGTATGGTCGCCCAGCCTCCACAATTTCAACAGGCTAAATACACATTCTGGACTCTTCTATGTTAACTAGGACATTTGCTTAAACTGAGTAGGAGACATTTTCATTTATTACATTTTCTGTACTGCCCAAAAGCTGAAGCTCTCTGGGTGGTTTAAAAGATTACAACTTTTAAAATTACTTTTTAAAAAAGGCAGGATATAAACCTAATTAAAAATTAATAAAGAAATTACCAAAGGACTGGCCAGATCAAAACTTGCTTAGCTTCACATCAGCTTATCCAGAAATTATTATATTATTTCTTAAGCACGTGAGCATCAAGATACTGTCTAATAAAAAGTATATAAGTAAAAAGAGCATGAATAGAGAAATCATACAGGATGAGAAATGAAGTTTCTACAATAGAGGTGCCTAACTATAAATCTGAATGGCTGTGCCCATCTGATACAGTTGTATTCTAGACTCTAGGAATGCCAAATGAGCCAGAGATTTGGGTACCATTAAAAAGATGCAACAAGATCCTTATTCCCTAGTCAGTTTTATACTCCTGTTACTGGGGGGAGGGGGGGTTGGTTGGTGGACCAGATCTGCCAAAGTGGACTGCCACTGAGTCAAGTCCCCTCTAGATTAGTAACTGGACAGCTAGCATGCATTTCTCAGTGGGCGAGATTTGGAGGCCTCCAGCTACCGAATTCTATTCCAAGTGCATTCAGTTCTTCATTTCCCTCATTCCACTGGAGTTGGCTCCATGACTGAACCTTAACTGAACTTTCTATATAGTGGTAGCTTATTCACCTGCTACATAGATGACTGTCATGGCTTCATTTCCAATAAAGAAATCTGTGACCATGTGAAATGAAAGGGAGAGAGGAAATTTACCTTATATAATAGATACAAAAATCAATTTTTATGATTGTAGTTGTTTAGAAATACTGAAGACTTAAGTCTATTGCTCATCTTCTTGTAATTTGTAATTCCTCCAAAACCTCAATTTCACCTCATGATCACCACTGGAATTCAACATTGTTCCACATTTTCATATCTCCAGTTCACCCAATAAAATGTAGATTAAAACTAGTATCTGCTTTGTTGTGTGGGACTAACATGACTTCAAGTGCTCTGGTCTATCTTGTATGAGTTTATTTCAACTGTGGGTGTAGAGTTTAAGATAAAACTATCCAAACTCATCACATTCAAAAATCCTCTATAAAACAGCTGGTCGAATTAGTTATTTTAGAATGGTTATATTGACAGACAACAATAGCCATGTCATAATGCTGCATCATAATCTAATTAGCCTTTAATGCCAAATTTAGATAGCAGCAAATCTGGAATCTCTTACTGCAGTTAGGTTTCTCTGATTTTGGGGGAGGGGGTTTCAGAGAACAACTTCACCACGAAGGACACCCGACAGACATTTCTAAATACAGAATATGAACACTCACCATGCAACCTAAGAATAAGTTACACTCCCTTGTCCTTTAAACTGGTACTGGCTAATCATTGCCACATGTCAAATGGCATAGAGCAGTGTAACTTTTCCACAAGAGGAAGATTTTCAAAGCCATCAAATTCCCAAAAGCCAAAGCAGAACAAACAGTGGGCCAAACATTAGAAGGTGAATCCAGCCTTCCTCGTAGCCTCAAAATATTCCTTTTAACTTTGGCATCACAGAATTAATATCAAACTGGATCATCTCATCAGTGAATGGCCTTATATTAGTACACATGAATATATTTCTCCCACTGTAGATTTAGGAAAAAGCTGGAAAATTAATTAGTTTTCTTAGGCTAATCAAAAGTCAGCAGCTTTCAATCTATGGACATGAAGCTTGCATTCCTATTCTCACTTGCTAGGGAGCAAACTTTACTGAACTTATTTGTGAATAAACATATATAGAATTGTGCTGTCAGCCACGCTACTAGTACATCTACAAAATCCTGGAACACAATAAATACCTACCTACATCTCATGGTCAAATGTTTGCTGTAAAATGACTAAGAGGCTTTTATAACTATCAAGCTATCGAAGAAGAACAGATTTTTCCTCTTATTTGAAAAATACTCATTTCTTTTGTTTGGATATAAGCTAATATTGTTGATGCAATCAAAAACATCCCTGTACTTCCTCTAGCTGCAATATCAGATATTCCCAAAACTAGCATTAGGGTTCATTAAACACAAATGCAGGAAGCTTACACAGAACAAATTCTCTTATTTTCAGTGTCCTGTTGAACTTGAAAACTCTTTATCAATAACCTGGGCATAGTATTGTTGCCATTCATAGGCAGAAAATGAATCACCCTCCAATATTTTAGCTGCTTCTGTGGCCTGTAGGGGCCTGGATACCCTTACATCAGAAAAGCCATCTTTATCCTTTTCTTCTTAGGAGCTCAGGCAGTCAAACTTCTTGCAAATTGTACCAGGGATGGACAACCATTTTCTGTACTGCTAGCCTGAGTTCTCATCTACTATTCCCAAATTCCATTTCCTACAGACTGCTCAGTTTGTTGTTCTTAGTCGCGAAGTCGTGTCCGACCCATTGCGACCCCATGGACAACACTCCTCCAGCCCTTCCTGTCCTCCACCTTCTCCCGGAGACCACCTATGCTCACACCAACTGCCTCAGTGACTCCATCTAACCACCTCATCCTCTGCCGTCCCCTTCTTCTTTTGCCATCTATTGTTCCCAGCATTAGGCTCTTCTCCAGGGAGTCCTTCCTTCTCATTAGGTGGCCAAAGTAGTTGAGTTTCATCTTCAGTATCTGGCCTTCTAAAGAGCAGTCAGGGTTGATGTCCTCTAGGACTGAGGACTCGCAGGACTCTCCTCCAGCACCACAATTCAAAGGCCTCAATCTTTTTGCGCTCAGCCTTCCTTATGGTCCAGCTTTCACAGCCATACATTATTTACCAGCCATGTAAATACAGCACAGAGACAACACTGCAAAAACTGCAGTAGCTCTTAGGGTTCTGTTTGTGCCATCTGGCCTTGAGAGAGAAAGGAAATCCTCTTTTCTAAATTTTAAGCACTGGTAGTTATCCTTTAATCTATTCTTCACTCTCACTGAGGGACACAAAACAGGGCAGGAGATTGCAGCATAAAGAAAGCAGACAGGGTCATGTCATTAGCCCTGCAACCTGCCCAAGCAAGATCTGAAGTTCAAGGTAAGGCTACATTCCGGAATATGTAAGGCTACGTTTACATGGATGTACAGCAACCGCTAAAGACAGCGGCCTTACTTTTTTCCACTCTTCTTTTCAACACCACCATGACTAGTAACTAAATACTTGTAATGTGACATCACAATTTTCAAGTTTCCCTGTCCCACTTCATTGGCCGCTGCTTGTGGGGTTAAAGAACTCTGAAACGACATATTGTTATGTGACTTTCTAGACATTATAGAGGAGAAAGATGTACTCTGGTGATTGATAAGCATCTCATCTGCCAGCAGCATGGAAGGGCATGTGAGCAAAAACAATGCAGAAACTAGACATAGATGTGGGTTAAAAGTACCCTTCGCAGTGTGACTGCTTACACAATTTGTTGTGCTGCAGGACAAGGATCTAGAGATCGGACAGCCTGACTGCTGACTGATATCACACACTGGGGCAGTGGGGAAAGATTGATGGTGACGGCTGGAATCTCAGAACAACCAGCACAGTATGAACCAACACCATGAGCCAATACCACAGGCTATTCTGGCTTGGTTCTGATAGACATGCCAGCCCTTGGGTTAGGCTGAGCACTGCACTCACACTAGCAGGTTCCTTACTGGAATCCCCCAGGGATGTCCCTGGGCAACCCTGCTATGAGCCAAGCTAGTCCACCCACAACATCAATTTGTGACAGAAATATATATATAATCATGCAACTTAAGACAAAGCGCTTAGCAGGGCAAGTGGACAGGGCAACTAGTAGCAAAGCCCCAACCTGGTCCCTTTTTATATCCTAGAGACAGATCAGAGAAAAGGCTTTTTAAAAATATCATAGCTACAATATCTTTTGTATAAATGGAAAACTTGTTATACACAATCATATAATTTATCAGCAACGTAAGATTCAGTGAAAACAGTATAGAAACACCTTTCCCAACCTGGTGGTCTCTACCCAGCATTGCCTTTGGATAATGGATGCTGGTCAACTATATCAACCATTGGAGAGCACCAATCTGGAGAAGGGTTATACAGATTGAAACTTTTTACTTTATCTGATTAAAAAACCAGTGAAAGTGCCAAGGAAAAGAACACTGAAACATTGGCATCTATTTCCTGCAGTATCACAATCTGTAAGAACTGTTCCAGCCCAAGATGAGAAATTTCCAATATCTCTACTATCTCAATAACAACAAACTACATCAAAATGTTTCCTCTCCTCTGGCCTCATGGTGTGAAAATTAGGTTCCGTTTAAAGAAACAAGATGTTTTCTTTGCTACTGCCTTGCTCTTTAAAGAAGGATAGCAATAAACATTCTATTCTTAAAGCTTTAAGAACTAACCAGGACCTTAATGGAGGATCTTGGCTCCAACTTTAGGGTTTGGCAAGCTCTAGGTACCATGCAGCTAATTCAATTTGATACTCTGAGAATGCATCTTGGAGAAGACCTACAAACTGGGCAAAGAGAGTGGTAGGAAGAATGTGCAAAAGCTAACCATTTCAGTCTGCCAAACAGACTGAACCACATTTTGTAAATATTTTAAACTCATTTAATTCTTATCAAGTTACTTCTCTCATAGAACACTGTCTTACTAACACATTTTCCTAACATGTATGCACAAATGTTATGTTCTACATCTTTGCCTTTACAAACACTACTGATTATAAAACAGCATATCCCTTCAGGATACCCCTGCATTCCCTGACATTTCCCCCATCATGTGTATTTGTTATCCAGTCCAGTCTTCCCTAATCTGTTCAGGGTGGTGGTTCATCAAGAATGCAACACGTGAGAAGGTTTAACCCTTCCCTACTTCACTCCTAGCAAACCCACCCCTGCAAGAAGCAGCTGCAGAAAAAAGTTCCTGTTAGTACCAGCATCCCAGAAGGCCTTAAAACAGGGCCAGTTAGCTCACTGAGAGAGGATACAAAGCAGCTGAGTGTGAAGACAGGAGGGCAGAAGGCATAAGGAAGAAAGTGTCAGTTAACTCTGTTTTTCTTTCTTCCATTCTTTTTTATTTGGTATTCTCTTCCCTTTTCTCTGTTCCTCCATCCTTTCCTCAAGGAAGAAGAGAAATGAAACAAAAGTAGGGTTGGAAGAAGAGACTCATAGATATTAAAATGGTAAAAAGAACCATCTCAGTGTCTTGCCAATTCGTTTCCTGCTTTACACTAAGATAATGTGTAAATGTGACCATTGATAGAAGTATAGGCTGCCTGTTGAAACCACTGGAGAAATCAAGATTTTAATGTAGCTGCAACTGAGCTGGGGAAGAAGACAGATGAGGAAGAGATGTAGGAGAAAGTTACAAAGTGGGAGGAGGAAGAAGCAAGTGCTAAGAGTAGACACTGGGGAAAGAAAAAGACTGGATGAGCAACAGCAGAGATAGGAAGAGTAAACAAATCGACCTACAGTCCTGAGAAAACCAGAACCGTAGTCCATCAAGAAACTAAGGAGGCCCTTACGTACTGCCTTTCCAGAGATGCAGCATTAGCCCCACAATTTTGAGCCAACAGGCTCTCAATGTAGTATTCGAGCTCTTGCTTGATTTATACAATAGTGTCCTAATTTAGCTTTTATTTATCTTATTATTTATCTTGGCTGTCAAATTTAGAGAAGTTCCCCAAATCACCAACTGCCTAAAAAGTTAGAAAGTACATAAAACAACAAGTTTTTAGGGCAAAATAAAAAGGCAAGGAAAGTTGCTGAAAGTAGTAAAAAGGGCAAGCAAGAAGATAATGTCTTTTACACACAAACACTAGAGAAAATTAGATACAGATGGACAACAATAAGAGCTAGGATAGTCCCAATATTCTGTGTTATGTGGCATGCATTTTTGCCATACTTCATATTATTGAGTTAACAGCAGAGGTGCAGGGGAAAAGTTAGGAGCTAAGCAGGAATACTTGTAAGATTTGTGTTAGTGACTTTTTTTTATCCCCATCCTTCTTTCCAATGAGGTACAGCCTTAAAGCACCTGATACCAACCCTATAGCTTCTCCAACCTGATGTCCTCCAAATGTGTTGGGCATGCTGGGAATTGTGGTCCAAAATATCTGGGGGACATCAGGATGGGGAAAGACTGCTCTAAGTATACTAGGCTGACAGTGGTATGTGGAACACCACAAGAAAAGCTGGTTCACAGATGCATGTACTTTACTTGATTTATCTGCATATGATGAGTGACAACAGAAAGTTTGAACTGGCTCTAAAGAAAATGACCACGTATAACACAAAATGAAAGTTATGTCTGTGATGACACTTCCATCACTTAGAGACACATCTCCAAAGGTGAATGAGGGTAAATGCTCTTCATAAAGGAACTACCCAGCCACAACTGCATATTGAAACAAATAACACAACTGAAAAAGGGACCAACCATGTGATGCTGGTGTCCAACTATCTGCCACAACTTTGATCATAGTAAGATTATCTTATTGTGGTAACTTCTGAAGAGAAATTAAACTGGAAAGCTTGCACACAAAACACATATGCTCCATTGAAGATCTACTTTTGAGAGCAAGATGGTTGGCCCCATTAAACTATTAATGGGTGAGCAATGCGTGGGTGTGGGCATGAAGCAACATCCACCAAAAATCAATAAAACACACAGGCAATGGTATGCAGCTTTAATTAGAAGCATGCCATACTACTTGTTTTAGGTTGCTATTTCTAGGCTCACTTAAACATGCCAAAACCTGCTTCTAAGCGAAGATACACAGTCCTGGGCTATTTTTCCTAAGCAAAAGCTGTTTAAAACCAGGCTATTAAAGGCTTTGCCCTTTTTTTTTTTTTGGCAATAAAACACCAGCTCAGTATTTATGATTACTATTCTTACAATAAAAATCCCTTAGATTGCATCATGCATTTGCATCAAGAACTTTCTGCACACCCGCCTTTTGGGGGGGGGGGCGGAATCAACTCTCCGTGGAATCACTTAAAAGTAACCGCTGATAGATGGCAACAGACCAACCGGCGGTGATCGCCAAGGAAGTCTCAAATATTTTTCCCATGAGTTGTCAAAGCGCGCTGAGTCACAAATTCCTCCCTGCGAATTTCGGAGCAGCTGATGCATGGATGAGGGAGGCGTTTATGCCCAATTTTCCCTCCTGAACCAGCTTCCCCACTTCAATCCAAGGCCGCCAGAGCGTCCCACACCCAAACCACGTGCAACAATACATCCCCAAGAATATTTTCCATTCACTGAAGGAATTGTTTCTAGGGCCGACAAACGGGTGGGGCAGATATTTAACAATGTAGGAAAACGGGGAAGGGCGAAAAGGGCATAATTCCTCGACGTGACGGCCGTGCAAACACTCCCTGCATGAGGCCTTGCACAGCGCAGCATGCTGCACGCGATGCAAGAGCTGCAAGCCCGACCAAGGTGGGCTTAGGGAACGGATGCTATCTGCAGAAGCTCCACTACCAAGAGGGGAACAGAAGGGCCGGGCCGTCTGCACGGGGCCCACTTCGAGCAGGGGCTTGCACGCAGAGGCGAGGCAGCCTCTCGTTGCCACGCACCGCAGGGAGCCGGCCACCGGCCGCTTCCCCGGTCGGTACTTACGGTGCTCAGGTACGCCCCCATGGCTTCCACAGGCTCCGGAGGCTGCAGCCGCGAGAGAGAATGGATCGCCCAATTTCTTCAGCGAAGCAATAACACGACAGACCGCTCGCTCGCCCCGCCCACCTTGTCCTCGCCCGGTCGCTTCCTCAATGCTGCCGTCCGCATTGCCTCGGTGGCTTGTCCATCACAGAGGACAAGCAAACCCACAGGCACGTTTCAGGACTAGAACCAGCAGGCTCCGCCTCCTCCACTGCTTCTTTTGTTTGTGATTCGCTGCCAGCCGGAGGCGGTGGAAACTCTGACGCCAACTGATTTGCAGTGGCCAGGAGGGCGTGTTTGAATTTAAGCATGGAGCGAATGGAAAAGGGGGAAACGCCTACAAATGGCAGGGGCTGCTGGGAGTTGTAGGACTTTTCTCGCCAGTCAAGGGACAGGCCTAGAACTGTATCTTTAACGATGTGGCTGATAATTATGCCCCCGTTTCCCCACTCGCAGCAATTTTTATTCTAGAGTAAGCACAGGGACTCCGATCCAGATATAGATGCTTTAACGTAATGCATATTGGGGTAAAAAAAATCCCTGCTTCCAGTATAAATTGATGCGATCTGAGCTAGTGGTGACTGACCAGAAAGGGATTTTAGGGTTACGCCGGACAGATTGATGAAACTGTCAGCTCAGTGCAAGGCTGCTGTGAAAAAAACAAACTCCAAGTTAGCATTAATTAGGAAATGAATTGAAAATAAAATTGCCAATCTCATACCACCCTTCCATGACCTCACTTAAAATACTGTGTGCAGTTTGGGTAGCTGCACCTAAAGAAAAATCCTGTAAGGTTGGAAAAAGAGCAGAATAAACTAAAATGATCAAGAGACTGCAGCAACTACTCCATAAGGAAAGGCTGCAACAGCTGAGATAGTTTGTTGCTTATTTTATTTATTTATTTATAAAATTTGTATGCCGTCCAATTACTTGCGTCTCTGGACGGCCTACAACATAAATTGACCATCCACACTGGCTGCAAATTAATAAAATACAACAATGAAATTCAATATTAAAACATATTAAAATATTGATTAAATAAAAAGGTCTTGACCTGGCGCAGAAAAAAATATAATGACGGTGCCAGGTGGACCTCTCTGGGGAGCACATTCCATAGTCGGGGAACCACCGCAGAGAAGGCTCTCCTCTGGGTACTCTGTCTCCTAATGTCTTTCACAGAGGGTTCCCGGAGGAGGGCTTCTGTTGCTGATCTTAGTGGGTGGGAGGGAAAATAGGGAAAATGGCGTTCCTTTAGGTATCCTGGTCCCAAGCCATTTAGGGCTTTATAAGTAATAACCAGCACCTTGAATTGAGCCCAGACTTCGATGGGAAGCCAATGGAGCTGAGAGAGGACTGGGGCTATATGAGAATAATGCCCAGTCCCTGACAGCATCCTGGCAGCTCTATTTTGAACCATCTGAAGTATCCGGACTGTCTTCAAGGACAGCCCCACATAAAGTGTGTTACAGAAATCCAACCGGGAAGTAACCAATGCATGTGTTACTGTTGCTAGGCAATTCTCCTCCAGGTAGGGATGCAGCTGATAGATTAGCTGAAGCTGGAGGAAAGCGCTCCTCGCCACCGCTGTCACTTGGGCTTTCAAGGACAGCTCTGGGTCAAGGAGCACTCCCAAGCTGCAGACCCAGTCCTTTAGAGGGAGTGCAACCCCGTCCAGGGCAAGGCCAAAGTCACCTACCAGGAGCTCGAATCACCCACCAACAGAACCTCCCTCTTATCTGGATTGTTGTTGTTACCTGCCATCAGATTGTTGCTGCCTTATGGCAATTCTATGAATGCATATCCTCCAAAATGTTCTGTCCTTGGCTGCCCTGCTCAGCTCTTGTAAACTCAAGGCTGTGCCTTCCTTTATGGAAGCAATCCATCTGGTACTTGGTCTTCCTTTTTTTCTTCTGCCTTCAGCTATCATGACTGTCTTCCCTAGTGAGTCTTGCCTTCCCCTGATGTGTCCAAAACATGGCAGCTATAGTTTTGTTATTTTTGCTTCTAGGGAAAGTTCTGGATTGATTTAATCTAGGACACAAGTGTTTGTCTTTTTGTCATTCTGGGGTATTTTCGAAGCTCTCCTGCAACTCCATATTTCAAATACATCATTTTCCCCATCATTTTACTTCATTGTCCAGCTTTCACACCCATACACAGTTATCAAGAATACAGTAGTGTGGCTGATCTTGGCCTTGACTTGTGGAAAAGGAGAGTAATCGGGGATATGATTAGGTGTACAGAATTATGCATGGTGTGGCACAGTAGATTTGATTTAAATCAAAGTAGTAGTTCCCCTATACTCCTCACTAGTCAGACCTCATCTGGATTACTGTGTCCAGTTCTGGGTACCAAGATTTGAGAAAGATGCAGAAAAATTAAAAAGGTTCCCAAGGAGGGCAACAAAAATGATCCAGGGTTTGGAAACATGCCCTACCAGGACAGACTGAGAACTGGGCGTGTTCAGTCTTGAGAAAAGAAGACTGATGGGGCCATGATATCCCTTAAAGGCTGTCACAAAGAAGGGCAAGATCTCTTCTTGCTGATACCAGAGTGCAGGACACAGAATAATCAAGTCAAGCTGTGACAACCCAGAATCAGACTAGATTTCAGGAAAAGCTTCCTCACTGTCAGAGCACTATGGCAGTAGAACCAGTTGCTTAGAGAGGTCATGGGCTCTCCTACACTAGAGACATTCACAAAGAAACTGGAGAGCCATCTGAGAGGGATGGTGTAACTTGGTGTCCTGAACAATGGCCTTCATGGCCCCTTCCAACTCTACTATTCTATGATTGTATGAAATCACTAGTCAGTATGACTAGAATTAAATTATGGTTTTGCATGCATGCTTGCCTTACCCATAAGTAGAAAAACTTTATTAAAATATTCCCAAACTGAGTCTCTTTTATGGCCTGCTGCGATTGTAGGTTTTCTCCTCCAGGGAAAGAATAATATGATAAACCTCAGGCTATACACAAAGACTTGTGAAGTATTCTGCTCAAAAGGTTTCACTTTCATGTTTACTGTTATACCTTCCCTCCCTCTCTGGGCTCCACATTATAGGAGAGGCACAGCTAGGTTAGAAGGATGAGAGGGATGACATATGAGAAGAGATTGAGGGAACTGGGTCTTTTCAGCCTGAAGAAGAGGAAACTCCAAGGGGATCTTTAAGCAATTTATAGGTATGTGAGTGATGTCATGTGGAGGAGGGCCATGACCTGCTCTTCCCTGCAGTGGAGGGCAGGATGCACTCCAATGGGGCAAAGCTCAAGGAACCAGGCTTCAGCTTGAATATCAGGAAGTACTTGAGCGTGGTTGAGGTCCTATTGGTGAGAGTGTTCAAGGGAAGATTGGACAACCACATGTTGGGGATTTCATGAGTGGAGCCAGCATCAGACTAGATGGTCTTGGAGGCTCCTTCTGACTCACTTTATTTCTATGTTTCACATATTTAGCTTCCTGTGTAGATCTATTCCACTCCCAACAATCTTCTATTCATTGAGGTTTTTTTTGAAACTTAGCATTTAAGAGGTAAGTGGTTGATTTGGTGTACATAGATTTGCAAACGAACGATTGGATTAAGGTCTTTTTCTCAGCTTCATATGTCTATTTTATAACATGTTTGCTGTGAAGAAGAGGCACATGATCTCTGCAGACAAAAATTCATAGTTTTGTGAACTGTAAAACCAAATATCTGTGATATCTTCTAGATATAAAAAATTGCCCAATAATCTTAGAGAAACTTCTGGAAGAGCATGACACTGTGAAAGGATTAATGGAATTCATTTACCAAACATTTTAATTACTGCATGAATGTTACATTCAATGCTATGCTATACAATTAAAAACTAATGCATATATTGTTACAAATAACCTTTGGACTATAATGTATCTTAAACAGAAAACTATCTTTGGATAGATTTTTCCTCAAAAAGCACTGCATTTTTAAAAATCTGTTTTAAATTAAAAATCTGATTTAAATTTTTAAATATGATTTTTAAAAACACCATTGATTTTTATCCACCCTGTGATGAAGAAGAATTGTAGAGGAAGACATTTCTCTCTCTTTGTCTCTCATATCACTAGATCTCAACATGGAACCTTCATCGCATGAAGCCGATTGGTGGGTGATCCAGGACACATAAAAAGAAGCACTTCTTCACACAGCACACAGTGAAGCTATAGATTTTACCATAGCTATTGAGACAAGAGTGGTGGTTGCCAATTTGAACAGCTCTAAAAGGGAATTGGACAAATTGCTGGATGGGATATAAATTGCAGTCAGAGGTCTCTGTCCTGGATGAGTGATGATGAAAGGAGCTTCACACTAAAATAAAAATGGAGAAGAGCAGAAGAGATGTAGCTGTTAGTCCTTTCCCCTATGCATCTGTCTAGGTCTAGGAAATAGAAGCCATTAAGTTTCTTCACTGATTGTATTTATATCCCATGTTTACTCCAAGGAGTTCATAACCTTTCCCTTCTGTATGTTATCCTCACAGCAATTGCAGAAGGAAAGTTATGCTGACAGTGACTACATCAGGGGCGAGTGAATTCACAATGGAGTGGGGGATTGAATTTGGGTTTCTGCTTGCCCCAGACTGACTCTCTAGTGGTTAGACTCACCACTGCATCATATTGAGCAAACGTGGGATGGAATCAGCCTACATGCTTTGGCTGTAGCCTTATCCTCCTAGTCAAGCATCAATTGCTTTATTTGACCATTTGGTATCTTTGCCCTTTATTATTGTTCTTTATTTGGTTGAAGAAAACAAGCATTTTGAGAAAATTGAAATAAGATCTCCACCCCACCAGCCATTGCTTCTGCAAAATCCTCCCCCCCCCCGCCCCCAACACACCACACCACACCCACCGATTAGGTTCTATGTTCCAGTCACTGGGAGGCACTCAGCCCCTGCTTCCTGGATCCAAATTTAATTGTGTCCTCCCCTCTACATTTACCAGGCATTTTTAATTACAGGATAGCAAACCTAAACCCTTCTTTCTCCTATCTGTCATGCCCATTTTGCATCATCCAAATGAACATTTTCAAAGAAACATGCTTTTATTTGTATGTTTTATCCTTCTAAGACTCTAGGC